GAAATCCTACATACTATTCCTTGCTTTCTCTTTTTTTTTTTTTTTTTTGAAACACACAAAAGATGAAAAATTATTTTGGCACACAAAGCTACTACTACTACTACTTAACACACAGCTGAGATAATAAATTGAAAAACTATGTACAAGAGATGAAATCGGCGGTGTTAAAGGTGGTAAATGTTGCCGAAATGATGTTACAAAGCCCAGAGTCTCACAGACGGAATTCAGTCATCGTCCGAGTCAGGGTATGGGGGCAGAGGGCGGAAGTACCACGAGAAACCTGCAGACGTCCCAGAAGATGTGGAGGGGACGGGCTCTGGGGAACTGGAGGAAGGACGCGGCCTCTTGGAGCTGGGGTCTCCCTCTTCATCCGCATCTTCATCTCTGTGGCGCTTGGATCCACCGAGAGGCAGGACGTCCAGAGCAAGGCCCACAGGGGGAGGGCAAGGAGCAGGATGGCAGGAGGGCGCAGGAAGCACAGCAGCGGGAGAAGACGGGCGATGCTCCTCTTCAACACCGGGACTGGGTGCAGGAGAAGGGCTCTCTGCTCGCTGCCAAGCAAAGGGGGTCGGAGGACGATCTCTCACATTCCGAGCTTGAGCAGGACGGGCCGCCTGGCGCCAGTCGGCCCAGAACTCCTCCGGAGGGAAAACCTGGTCGTCATCTTCCCCCTCCACGTCAACATCTTCATCTTCATCGCTGTCTTCCTCTGAGAGACTTGAGTAGCCAGAGTCAACGTCATCCAAGTCCTCCTCCTCTTCTTCACTCCAGTCCTCTTCCTCTTCTCTGTCCTCCTCTTCCTCATCCTCTTCCTCTCGTCCAAGCACGTCCTCTCGCCGAGGAGGGGAGAAACGAGCAAGAACAAAAGGTATACTTACCTGCACCTCACCTGCGTCGTCCTCGCCTGGCGAGGAGCCGGCAGCAGGAGGGTCCCCCGGAGCGTCCCGCGGATCCAGAGTCACTGCAACATTTTACAACATTAACAAGTTGTTCCATACAAAGGTTTTCCTGATGTTGTGTCGATGGCACAAGGAGCCAGACAAATTTTTACACACAAGTCATTCTACAGAATTGTAAAAACAGGGAAAGACCAGAGCTGCTGGTCAGTGCAATATATTAGCCTATAACTACTTTTCCTTGGCTCACGTCCTGAATTACAGACTTACCAGCAAGGTTTTAGGTATAAATACAGGCCTACAGTTTTTGTACAAGACTCTAAACACAGAGGTCTGTCTGGCTTCTCTTGCACAAGTCCACAGTGCATCTGCCAGTGTGCAGTGCACCTCAGTAATCCCATTCATCCCTAAAACTCGAGTAAAACTCAACCAAAACCTCATAACATGATCTCTTTCAATATAAAAAGTACATCTCTGTAAATATTCTAGTGGAGAATCTTTGGCTTTTATTTTTTTTTCCAAAAATGATCTAAAACACTGAATTTCGACACCTACAAACTAAACTGTCCTGTCAACCTCCAAGCGCTATTACAGTTTAAATGTCCATCGATTTGAGCTACCCGAGGCAGAAGATTTGCGGCAGAATACCTATGTTAGATGATTGAATAGTTTGGATTTAATATTTGATTTTATCGTCATCATTTTCATTTCATCTATTTTATTTTGCTTCCATGTGTAGAAAACATTGTAAATTTGTTTAGAAAGCTGCTGAATAAATAAAACTCAGTTGCATAGAATTGTCCCATCTTTATTGTCCCCAGGATCACAAAGGTCAGTTATGCTATCTCTAGTGGATGCAGTATTTGGGAGAAGATAGTAGGACTGTCCAGATAAGCTACCTCAACCCATATTCATACAAACAAGTAAATAATGTTGATTCTACAGTGGGAGCATTATTCAATTGGCCCAAATTGGCCTGTCGATATGTGCTACCTTTAGTCGGAGCCCTATTTGATAGCATAATACAACTGTCGAATATTCATACGCATATTCATAAAGATGAGTTGAAATGTACATGACTTAGGTATAAGTGTGATCACCGTGTGCAAACAACGGCGACCCATAACAACGGCGGCCCATATCAACAGCGGCAGTTTTCCAGAAAATACTTTGATAACTTTTTACTTTGTACCCATACCAAGAAAAATAGGCCCCTTTTACCAGTTATTATTACAACCACAGTAAGTAATCGTCGATTGAAAGTCATAACCTCTCAAATGAAGCAGTTTCATATTCGACCTATGATACCATTTTACCCTAACCCGAGTAGAAATAGCCATGCGTGGATAAAATGGTTGACAACATGTAGCATTTAGTTCATTTTATCTATCTTCACGAAGGTTTCAGTGATCTGTCTTACCTCCAGGGAAGAGGTCCAGGCGGGCAACAGGGCGAGCCATGGTTGACTTAAGTTGAGTTGCAAACCTTGAAAAGAGTTAACAAAGTAGGATTAGAAAGTGTGCTGATGCCCAAAGTGTAGTTTTTTTTTTCAAGAAATATTGGTATTAAGGAATCTCAAAGTGTATTTTACCAGCAGCAGCGATATTGCGTGAAATCTCTCACTCGAGCGTTCAAGTGAAAACAGACCGATTTAAAAGATGCAGCGCTTTATATAGTCCCCGCGCCTGTACGTTGCTATGGCGCCGACGCACGGACGTGTCTCTCACGTTCACCGGGTTTAGGAACAAGAAACTTTAACTTCACCTAAAGTGTAATCTTATCCGCGGTGTCGGCGGCAAGGTGGGGCATTTGAGGGCCGAGCCCCCCCTAGCGGCCACTGGTGCCTCACCCCCCAGCACAGGCCGTTATTATTACTATTTAAAAATTATTTTGATTGGCGCATTTCACTTCGGGCTGAGGGCACAAACTTTACAATATCACAGTCTCTGCTTATTTAGTGTAGTGTGATTGGACAACTGTTCTGTCACGTCACGTCAACCTGCTGCGTCAACAAGTAGCTGCTTCACGATTAGCGGCAGCTGCTACTTTAGCCTAAAGCTCCACACAGGACACAGGAAATGGCGAGAACAGAGTCAAAGACACACTGACAGACCCTCCGCCGGGACCCGGGACTGTCGCCGCCCGGACTCGGGACAGTCTCTGCCGGGACTGGGGCAGTTTCCACCGGGCTGGGGCTCTCGCGGCCGCCGCCGGGGCCAGGGCAGTCGCTCGCTGCTCTATCCGCCTTTGCCCGCTCGTTTCTGGGTGTAAAAGTTTGACCTGAGCATAGCGCGCAGAGGCATAATTCTACCTGGTGTCCTGGTGCTGATATGGACTGACCGTAACTTTCACATTTAAGTGGGAAGTGGGATTAAGACTAATTTTACAACCATCTTGTGCACTCGGCTCCTGGACCTCGCGTCACGGACCAGTTTCATCTCTTCATATTGGACAATAGACTTTTGGAGACAGAACCAATGGGACAGTGGACAGAGGAAACACTCTGCTTCAGTGTCTGGAGAAGGTAAGAGGCTGGTTTTCATTAGTTTGCGGCAAATCTGAACATGAAGCCTCACAGGTAAAGAGTGTTATAGTGTTAATAGTTAAATAGTGTTATAGTGTTAATAGTTAAATAGTGTTAATAGTTAAATAGTGTTATAGTGTTAATAGTTAAATAGTGTTATAGTGTTAATAGTTAAATAGTGTTAAATAGTGTTATAGTGTTAATAGTTAAATAGTGCGTAAATGAGCTCGCGAGTGCGATGGAGCTGCTCTGGTTGTTCTGTCGTGTGCTGTAGGAGCGGCATCTGTGTTCATGTTGTGATCGTAGCCTCTTATTGTAGTTTTGCTGACGTTGTTGGGTCTGGGTGTGAGCGTCGTGTTACGTTGTGTTGTTGCGTAAAGTTTGCGCTTGGCTGTTCATTGTGCTCTGATCGATATTGTTCAGCCAATAGTAACCAAAATGTCTGTTTCTGGTATTTGTTATAATACTATAGACTAGATATATAATACATATATTGTTAGTAATATATATTTATAATTTTGGCCTTGGTGCCCCTCCCAAAAATTATACCACCAGCTGCCACTGGTCCTGTTTTAGTCCTGGTTTAGTCCCGGTCCCTCAAGTCTCAGGTCTCTATAAGACAGTACTGGACGGCGCACCCTCGCGTACCACGCACACTACAGCCCTGGTGCTGTCCGATGCGTGGCTATTTCTTGCCCGATTGCTTCTTTCAGTGATGTTGTTCAGGGGTGTTTTTGACGAGAGGCTGTTGTTTAATGTTTACAACCAGTGGCAGGCCTTATTGTTTTTTTTAATAAACCTCAACCTTTTATTATTGTCTTGTGTGCGTATCGTCTACCATACAGCCTCAACAACTATTGCAGCTAATAATAATAATTTTAATATAATAATGATAAAAATAACAACACATAATTAACCTAATACCGTTAAAGAAAAACGTGTTTGATAGCATTTCTTCTTTGTATGACTCCACCGCATTAAAATATTTCTGAAATGGCAGTGCCCCCCCTGCTGGTGACCCACGCCCCTTCAGTAGATGTGCTCTGACGCCGACTCTGGATGCGTGCCTGTAATCCCACCATAGGCTGAGGTCGAGGACCGCTCGAGCTCCAGAGCTCTGAGCTGCAGCGCACTACGTGGAGCGGGAGTCCGCACTAAGTTCGATATCAGTATGATGAGGGCTCCTAGGGGAGCCCAGGACCACCAGTTCCCTAAGGACGGGTGCACCTGCCCAGGTCGGACACGGACCAGGTCAAAGTCCCCGTGCAGCCCTGCAGGGGGGTCGTGCCGGTGAGTGAACGCTGTAGTTCATCCAGACCGCGACAGAGAAGATGCATCTGTGCTACACTGCCCCCTACTGGACACAGGCGGTGCTCTGTTTCCACCATTCAACAGGTAGAGTTTATCAAAGCCTTATCAATAAATCCCACCTCAAAAGTATATGTACCTATGTATCTATATGTACCAAACAGACAAAATAAATGTTAATTATAAGAAATTCAAGCAAAGTTGTTGTAAAAAAGTGAATGCTCTTTATTTAGACATGTCAGATCCCGTGTCACAGTCCTACAGCTCTACAGTTAGTCGACAGTGGGTTTATCTGAAACCTTTTTCTCCCAGTTCAACAGCTGCTCAGTGAAGCGTTTATCAAACACCACACTGGGTTTACACTTCTTCACATAGCTCCAGGCCTTCTGCATTATTGACATTACAGTACATTAACATTGGCATTGGCATTAGCAGACTCTTCTTTCTGAGAGCAGCAGCACACTCACCTGGAGGCTGTGTTTGTGGTGGAGCATGACGTAGGCTGTGGCTGCCGCACTGCAGCGCCTGGACCCATGTGTGGACACCAGCAGGACTCGGGAGCCATTACTAATATGGGAATCTCACCATGTAGAAAGAAGAATTTATTTTAATTTCAGTCTGTTTCAGTTAGATATATGTTAACTGAAAATAAGTAAATAGAGCTCTCTGGTTTATAGTAACATGACTGAGGCCTGTACTGCGCTGGAGTGTTCTGGACTCACCAATAAAGTCACAAATCTTCTCCAAACACAATTCCTTCTCGTCCGCCTCTGTTCCTACTTCCACTCTGAGCACGTCACTGTTCAAGACCCGCCTAGAATTATCCACCAAACAGTCAGTGATCCACAACATTATGCTGAGGCAGGTAGTACTCAGTTACATTTACTTGGGTAACTTTTTTTTTAAGAAATTGTACTTTATAGAGCTCTTTTCTAGCTGCATACTTTTGCTCTTACTTGAGTAAAAGTTCTGGTTACTCTTCCCACTGTGCGTAAGTCTACATGTGATAAAAGCTTTAAGTTGGCAATATGAAATGATATGAACATTTGTTTTTCTTGTGCCTCCCCTTCAGACATGATTTAATTTTTGTCATTTTAGTATCCATCCACTGAAAACACCAGATTTCAAAATACATCAACATCATATTATGAATCAATTGTTACATCCCAACGGTTACTCTTTAGGTTTTAAGTTGCTCTTATTTGAGTAACTTCTTGGACCACTACTTTATATTTCTACCTGAGAAACATTATTTTGCAGTAACGTTGTGGTACATTTTTGGCTACTCTATTAATTTTTGGCCCACCTCTGACTTTATGACACAGGCTAATTCAAAATCTTACATTCGATACTTTGATATACAAACAACAGCTTTGATTTTTAAGTCCTCAATGGTGGTTTTGCAGTTGGCGTGTTTCTGGTTTCCCATGAAGAGCTTTTTTGGGATGATCTCCACCGGGTAGGTCCTCAGGCTTTCCAGCTCCTGTTGAAAATAACACAAACATTTATTGAACTGAATTTATTTGGACTCAGGTGGATTGTGTAACTTTTCTGGTGTAGGGTCTGTCAAATTCTCCATGTAGATGTTATTCCTTTGTTTGGAATGTTTCACAGTATGGTATTAAACCTGTATATCTTCATGGAGACCAAACCAGGCCAAGGTACAGGTCAGATCTGTGGAAAGGCAACCCTGCTCACAGTGAGAATGTTTGTTTTTCTATGTATTTTTGAGCTATAAAACCACCTGTAATTTAATACATGTATGGTAGCTCTCTTTAATGTCATACTGTGGAACATTTCAGGCAGAGCAATGACATATTATCCATAGAAACAAGCAGGTGGTGGATCCCCACTCAAAAAGTTACACAGTTCACCTTTAAACTGATCATTTCACTAAGATATAATTAAAATATTGATATATAAAAGTATGAGAATGTGTCATATGCACTTTAAGTCTTGAGAAGTCTTACCCCAATGGTGTACATGATCTTTATTGTCGTTAAAAATGGATACAGAGCTGAGAACCTTTCAAAACCACATCTCAAAATATGAACCTTGCATAAACTGGATTTGGCCACCATCATGGCATATTGAAATGCTCTGCCTGTACAAAGAAACACAGTGTGTTAGTTTAATGAGAAAGCAAATATTAACGATGGGATCACATGTCGACAGAGGTGGGTAGAACTCAGTTATCAAGTTGTGTATTTGGACACAGTAGCTCACTCACCACAATATTATATAATAACAAAGAGTAAAACTTATAAATAGTAATGATAAATACTAAATAATCAGACATAATTATATAAATGTAAATGTACAAGTAAAAATGCAATAGAAAAACCAGTAATACAAATATATATATAAATAAATATATATATATATATAAAATTTCAGCTTTATACAAGAGGTCATAAGGAAGACAAAAATGCAAAAATTATATGATGATTGACAGGCCGTAGGGTTATCTGTGACATAAGAGTGAGTTGTTGTACAGTTGTAGGGAGTATTATTTGTTGCATAAGGGTGAGTTGTTGTACAGTTGTAGGGAGTATTATAGTATGAATGTAGTCCTGTATCTCTCACTGTTTGAATGGAGCTGTAGGAGCCTGTTGGAGAATAAGCTCCCTCTGTAGTACCCTCTGAAGTACTTAAAGTACTTTTCTATGAATGATGTATTATTGAAGTAACAATGCTCTAACTTGAGTAAAAGTTTTGGTTCCTCTTCCCACTGAGTAAGTCTACAAGTGACAAAAGCTTTATGCTGATTTATGATTTAGTTTAGATTCTACTTTTTTACTAGATTGTGTGCATTATTTAATGTTTGGTCCTTCAAATGACATTCAATTCAAATTATAAATCAGATGTTATGTCTGCTGGACAGCTGCAAATCACACTAGCAAGATGCAGATTTGTATTTTATTTGTACCAAACAGACTTTGAGGTGTTACAGAATCCTGTATGTGTATCACAGGTTAAGACAGTTGGAGAACGAAGGTGAAAAATGGATCAGCAATATGGCGTCTTGAAACTATGCAATTAAATATTGCTCAAGCATGCACAAATCACTCACTGAGAGGGTAAATGAGAAGGGGAAACAACTATACCATGGTTAAAAGCTCTAAAGGGTCAATTTTGCAAAAGAACTCTGTTTTAAACTACTGTAACTTTGACTATTCCAGGTCTAAAAGTGGACTACCTCATTTCAAGTAGTATTTTAAAAAGGGACTCAAAATTAGGCAAACTGACAAACTGAAGAGCCACTGGGAGGTACTCGTGTACCAGTTTGTGAAACACTGCCATAGAAAATACACATTCAGATTCTTCTTTGATTACCCACTTGAGGTATCCAGGGAGTCGGTTTTGCTGTCATACACAACTATGTTCTGCATTGTGTCCATCTCCACATACTCAAAGGGTTGGAACACCCCTTTGGCATTCTGAAAATAAATAAATAATAAAACCCAAGCTTGACTTTGTTGTTATTGTGTGAATAAACATAAACATTTACCGTTTTTCCATGTTTGGCTGTTATGATGTGGCTTACATTATAATCCTGAGCTTCACGAGCATCTGCAGTTGGACATAGTTTTGATCAGTCTGCTAAATCTGTGCTCAATAAATCTAAAATAAACCTGCAATGGATGTGTAAAGACAAAAGACTGTTCTCACCGATGAGACAAAGGTAGTTGATTTCTGCCAGTCTGCACACAGTCACTCTCTGGTTGAGGAGGTTGTACAGGTCCTGGAGCTCACATAAAACAATGGCAGCCATCACTGGTAACTGCGCAGGCAACTGTAAAACTGTAAAAATCTGTTCAAAACAAGATGTTCAGTTGGTATTAATTAATAAACTTGACATATCTGTGTAATTAGATACAAGGAAAACATGTTCAACTCAAATATACTTTTTACTGATATGATAATTTTGATTTATTGATAAAAAAAAAAAACATGTATTATTGTTATAATTTTTTATTTTATTATTTATTTTGGGTCACAAGACTATTATCCATTCAGAAAACAGAACGAGTCTATTATTTGGGTTGCGAGAATAGACTGTAAAAAGAAAAAAAGAAAAATAAAAGAATATAGTCTATGGTAGTCAGTTTCAATGCTGAAATCCAGTTGTTTTAACTGTCTACGGTATATCTTTATTGAAACTTTAGCCCGTGTACAGAATTATGTTGACATAATTGTTAATGATATTACACATACGCTCCAGCTTGTTTTGGAGACACTTGATTGCTACATGCCGTTAGAAGGCTAGCGTTAAGTTTCTGCTGTTTAACTGGTGTGAAATGTGAAACGATCAGATAGTGTATAAATTATAATAAATTATAAAATAAGCGCGTCATTAAGGTAAACATTAATTTAACAACAACCAAAAAATTTAAGAAACATTACAAACGCTGTCGCTGGTTACCTGTTCAGTCAACGTGGTTGCTATGGCGACTAGACGTACCGACGTAATACACGTACGCCGCAAAAGACCACGCCCCCTCAGAAAGTAAACAAACCAAAGTTTTCACAGGAGATGCCACACACCGCGGCTTTTAACGATGATCAAAACATTTCAGTGGGGTATTAGTGATGTATTCAGATGAGGATGCACATGTTGCGCGTAGGTATTTATGTTCATCTCTGGTGAGTTATATCAGTTGTTTAGAAACGTCTGTATAATTCAGTCATGTGCATATTACGACACAATGATACACTTCTTCGTTTAGCTGGTAATAGTTGCAGCCGAATGTATTTATTTATATTTTTATATTTTGTATGTATTAGGTCTATTTGGTTTAATTCAATAGTAACTAAAATGTTTGTTTTTTGGGTTTTTTTTTATGTGTGTGTGTGTGTGTGTGTGTGTGTGTTTCTCTTAGTACAAAATTTGTCCATAAAGTTCATTAATGAGTATGAAGTCTCTGTGTCCATGGGCACTGTGCTATCTCAGAGCAGAGGTTTAACTGCGTAAGTTCAAAAGTCTTTGTGGTGGTATTTTCAGGCTATTGCTTTCATTTTCCTCCAGGCTGCATAAACATGCACATTAAAGCAGTGCTGTGAGCCTGCGGAGGGTCCCACATCCATACTTCCACCACAGAGGAGCTGAGTACAGTGGAGTGCAATAGGCTCTAAACAGAGAGCACCAAACAGTGAAACACATACAAAAAATAAAAACATTTCTCACCAACATGTTTGCCTGGGAATACAGTTTACAGAACTCATAATGTTGTAAGCAGACATACAAAAATGCAGCCTAATATTTACTTTTTTTGTTATCAGAGATTGATAGCTTCAGATATGGGCTTACAGTGAAAGGATGAATGTAATGGATAACATGTAAGAAAACAAACAATATATCCTATTAAGGCATTATTTACCATTTTAGCATAATTTTGCATCATCAATTCAAGTACTATATAAAAATAATGCATAATGCAAACATAATGTATACATTTTTGTTTTCTCTTTTTTTTTCTGATGTGGTTCTGGGTGTGTAAAATTTGAGAATCACTGTATTAGTCACAGCTTTATTATCTGTCATTAACTCATCATTTCTGCTCTACCAGATGTAAAACCCCCCACATAATAGATACATCTGTATCTCTCTTTGCCAAAACCATTACAACCCTCCCAAAACACACAAGCAGCCATCTCTCAGTGTACCCTGGCCTACATACAAGCCAAAGATGACATTTGTCCAGCTGTTTGACACACACAGACACACTTTTGTCCTGTTTCTCCTCTGGTGTAAGGGAACAACATGTACCCAGTGTCCAGCGAGCGTCTCCTCTCCAGTGAATGACCCGCTGTGTGCTGTGCCCTCTTCCCACTGCCACCACACTCGGAAGCCTCACACCCAACAACATGAAGCCCGCCGCAGCGCCCAAACCCAGGATTCTACCTCATATTGTTTGGATGGTCTCGCTTGGGTTGTTTAGTTCAGGTGAGAAATCTCAATTATTGTTATATTTAGTTCTAGACATTCGTTGTAAGATCCTGTGATTCTGCTCGTCAATGACGCAGTTTTGTGTGATTAGCCTCAGCATTTTTCTACAGCTGTGTCAGATGTTAAAGTTTTGCACTGAAATGTGTGTTGTATTGGGCTGGAAATGTATGCTAACTACAGCATGAAGAAGGACCATAGATAGGATATTAAAGCAGCACTGCATAAGATTTCAGGAGGCAGGCCTGCATGATTCCCTTGATATAGAAAGTTATAGCCAACTTTGGAAAAATCTCCATGAAGACAGATCAGCTTTAAACCATGCAGAATGTTGCAGGCAAAATAATAACACCTCCATGGAAACAACCAATAAGTTAGATCTGTGGAGAGACATGTTTTTCAATGTTTCTTAGTGGAATAAAAACATCTGTCATGAAGTAAATGTCTTTATTTCAGTCTATTTTCAAACTGAAATCTTACGTGGTGGGGTTTTAATAGAGTATGTGCGGTACAATTGTATTTTCCTTCAAAATAATAATAACATTAAAATGCTTAAAATGACAACACTCTTCATCACTAGATAGATTTAAATAATTATAGGTATTAGTTATTACAAAATATAATTTGGCCTGTGACAGTGCATTGTGAAATTACAACAAAAACTTGTTGAGCCGTATCCCTGCCCTTGCCGTGGCCTACAGCTGTTACCATGGTTATGTCATTCTTACAGTAACAGCTCAGAGCAGAGGAGAGGAATGTGTGTCCCACGCACTGCCTTCCCCTCAAGGAGATTACTTTCAATACAGAATTCTGTGTCACTGCTTGCATATATATTCACTAAATAAAACTTAACTGCTCATCTGCATTCTCCTGTCCTGTTCAGTTTCATTTTAAGTCACACAATGCGAATGTTGATAGTTAGACAAAGCAGAATTACACAGTCAAATACTTATGTATAGTCTATTAAATTGTCCTTTGTTAAAAGTGTAACTGTTCTGTTGGGAGGTTCTGGTACCTGCTTGTCTCCATGGAGATGTTATTGCTTTGCTGAAAGTGTTCCATAATATGGCATTAAACTTTTATATCTCCATGGAAACATACAAGGAACAGCATTAGCATTTAGATGCGTATTGTGCTCTACTTCATTTTACCTCCACTCTCCTCCCTTCCAGAGTTTTGAACAATGACGTGGCATTTTACTTTGCTGTGGCATTACTCTGGAGGAGTGCTGCATGTCCGTATGGATGCAGCCAACTGGAAGCCAAATAAGCTTTAAGTCTGAAAACTCAGACAGAGCAGTGATTCCAAGTTAGATACACCCTCCAGGGAAGGTTAATGACATGCATTTGTATAACTGTGTTGCCAGGTGGAGTTGTGTCCGTCAACATGACCATTCCCTCCACCCTGATCCGCTCCACAGTCGGGGGAGAGGCCCTGCTGTCCGTGCGCTACATCAGCTCCAGCCTGGACCTGCCCGTCATCAAGTGGACCCTGAAGAAGGAGAAGTCAGTCACCGTGGTGCAGTCCATCGGCACGGACATCATCGGGACCCTCAGGCCGGAGTACAGGGACCGCATCCTGGTCTTTGAGAACGGGACCCTGCTCCTCCATAACCTGCGATTGTCTGACGATGGGACCTATGACGTGGAGATCTCCATAACCGATGATACCTTCACTGGGGAGGGCAGCATCACGCTCACGGTGGATGGTGAGGGGCTAGTGTTATAATACTGATACCACAATGATAATAATAATCAGATCTACTGTTTATGTTGACAATAGAATGTGATTTTCAAGATTAAATCACAGTATTTTCTTTACTCTTCCCATGCGCTTTTACATCTCTGTCGATACAGGTAGGTACCAAAGTGGTGCATACTAGTCTTTGTGCTCTTATACTTGTTCTTATACAGCTAAAGATCATTCTAAAGCTATTCAGGAAAGGTTCATTTCTAAGTAAATCAGTGTAGGATCGTCACTGCTTTTGACAACCCTAGAGGAGGCAGACACTAGGCACATGAATATTGAACATTTTACACCTTGCAACCTATTTTGTACCATATTTTAGTGGCAAAATTTTTCTCTAAAACACAATGTAGACAATGTTTGTTTATATTAAATCTCCAACTTACATCTAATCTCTTCTCCAGAGGTCATATCCAAACCATTCGTCCACACAGAGTCGTCTTCGGTGCTGGAGCTGACCGAAAACGTGGTCCTCAACTGCTCTCATAACAACGGAACCAAAGCCAACTACACCTGGCTGAAGGGCGGGAAACAGCTGACCAACGAGACGAGGTTTATCCTGTCACCTGACCAGAAGTACCTGACGATCAAACGAGTGCTAATGAGCGATGATGACCTGTACAGCTGCGTGGTGCATAACCCAGTGGGCACAGAGACGAGTCTGCCCTTCAGACTGTCTGTGTACAGTAAGATACCGTCGTATCACTGAAACATTATCAACAACAATACTTTGCTGCAGTGACATCAGGACAGGAACGTAAGGTGCATTTTGTAACTTTTGTGGTGGAGGGTCCATCACCTGCTTGTTTCTATGGAAATGCCATCACTCTGCCTGGAGTTTTCCACAGTATCTAGCTCTAATAGCTCTACCTTACATTTATTCAATTGCACGTGGTTTTATTGCTCAAAAATTCCTTCAAAATCAAGCATTCAGACTGCGAGTGGGGTCTCTATGATGATAGAAAGATTTAATGCCATACTGTGAAACATTCCAGACAAAGCAGTATGGAGACAAGCATTTGATGGACCCTCCACCAGAAAAGTTACACCTTTTATACATTCATACACCTTTTTAGCCCTATTCACACTGCAAAGTATCAATACATTTATGGATATTGTGCAGGATGTCCTCGTCAGTTCAACAGCCATTTTGAATTGTTGTTTGTCCCATTAGGAAGAAGCTCCCTGTACATTATTCTGTCCACTGGAGGTCTGTTTCTGCTCATCACGCTGGTCACAGTGTGTGCCTGCTGGACCCCGCCACAAAAGAAGTAAGTCTGGTCATCAAAAGTAACTGTCATTTCCACATAGAAGATGCATCATTATTTATTATTATTGATGATCCTATTGCCCCAGGTCTAAGAAACCCTCCAGAAAGCCCTTGGACAGGCTATATGACTACTCAGACTGCCCGATCAATCACCCAGGTACTAACAGAAATGTCGATTAAAGATCATATATAGTGTTTTGTTTCATTCACACAAGTTTGAGTAACACTTTATTATTAGTCTGTCTAAATTTCTGTAGCTCAAAATGCTCTGTCCCACCTTTTTTTTCTCAAGTTAACAGCTCCTTTTACGTTTAGTTCAGTAGAGATTGGAAATCCCAGGACTGACATCATCCAAATGATTCTAGTAAAGGTGTATGGAGTTTAAAAACACAGTGGAGCACTTCCTGTATTACCACATGATGTCACAAGGTGGAACAGAGTGTTTTCTATTTGTGTTTTAATCTTTTTTGTATTTTGTTTGCCATGCACAGGTGAATTATCTCCGAAAAGAACAGAGAGCACTCGCAAGGCTGCAGTAACGTCTCTTTATGTCCTACAACACAAGGTATTTTGGAAAATCGCTTAAAGGTGCATTATGTTACTTTTTGGTTGAGGGTCCAGCACCTGCTTGTTTCTTTAGATATATTGTGCATTGTTCTGCCTGGAATGTTCCACAGTGGCCACGTTTACATGATGTTTTTTAATTCTGAATTATTCTGAATTAAATAGTTTTGAATTAAAATATTCTCCTTCGAGTTTACATAGAAATAATAATTCCAAATTGAGGTTTGTATGGAAAACACATTAAATAGTCCTGTATTTAATTCCGCTCAACGTCTGGGGGTGGGGAAGGGTTCTGATTGGACAGAGACACGAATGTATTTACATCTAACCGAAGAAAACACACACTTCAGCTGCTACCGGCTTTTTTGTCGTTACGCCATGGACACAAACATGATCAGAACTTTTTCCTCAGTTGTTCCAATGATAATGAAGCAGCAGCTGGAAAATTCTCTCATCACGATGTCTGTCGGCTGAGGAGGAGAAGGGAAGAGTGTCGGAGAAGGGAGGAAGAAGACAAACTGATGCTCTACCTCAGCCCACTCCCGCATCCCGCATCCCGCGGGATGAGTCCAAATCCAAAGAGACGTGGATGAAAGTTTGAAGCCAGGGCTGGTGGAGCCTGACCGTCCGATTCACATCAGAAGGGCGGCCCAATGAACATGCGCTGAACGATTGGAATTATTTTTAAGAAGAATAAACGTTTACATGGTCGAGGAATAAATTAATTTGGCTTTAAAATCAGAATAAACCACCCACTTACTTCAGAATAAAGTTTAATTCCGAATAACCATTTTCAAGTGTTTACATGGTCTTTTTAAAGCGGAATTCATTTTTATTCAGAATTAAATAATTTTTATTCGGAATTAAAGCTCTCATGTAAACATGGCAAGAATGACAGTAAACAGCTCTGCCTTACATTTATTTAATTACAAAGGGTTTTATAGCTCAAAAATACCTAAAAAAACCAAAAAAAACAGGCATTCTGACTGTGAGCGGGGTCGCCTCTCCACAGATCTGAACTGTAACTCTGGTTTGGTCTCCATGAAGATAGAAAGGTTTAATACCATACTGTGAAGCATTCCAGATAAAGCAATAACATCAGTTTTGAAGGACCCTCCATCAAAAAAGTTACAAAATGCACCTTTTGTTTTTACTCAGGTTCCCTCTGACGACTCTCGCTCCGAAAATGGCGGACCTCCTCACTACAGCCCGTACCCCCCGCGACCACAGACCACCGTGAACCTGAGCCCCGTCACGCCCCCTGCCCCACGCTCCATCCTCAAGTGTAGCTAACTGTCCCGACTCATACCACAGCCTCTAATCTTTCAATACAGTAAGTTACAACGCATTAAGGGGCGAGGATGTAACGATATCCAAATCTCTCCGTACGATAATTTCACAATATACATCCCACTGTACGATATTTATTGTGATATTTTAGGATATTTTGAGGCTAACCAAACTGTGAATATGCTATTTTTTTTCTTTTGGTACTGTTATAACACAAAGAATTAAGATTTAAAAGTACAGTTATTTCTTCATTTCTGCACTGAAACAGCAAAGGATCCTGGTCTATGTAGTCCACTCTTGTTATTTTTTAGCTATTGCTGCACCATAACAATGAATTTAAGCAAAGAGACTGATACCGCACAATGTGAGACTTCTGATGATACAGTATCACTATATTTTGGATATTGTTACATCCCTAATTAAAGGTGTACTGTGTCACTTTTTCAGAACGTGAGTCTGCCCTCTGTTCATCTCTTTTTGCTCTATCTGAAATGTTCCACACTATGGCGTTAAACTTATCTATCTTGCATTTATTTAAGCACAGGTTCCATGACACCCGTTAATCATTATGTTATAATTTGCATGTTTAAGATACACAGTGCACCTTTAAATATAGACACTAGTAGGAGGGTAGTTACCATGGGAACACCAGGAGCACTGCCACCAGGACACGGGACCCCGGGGAGAGATGAGACACCAACACTTCACCAAGACGACAAAACAACATGAGCTAAGAACTAGATTATAAAATACCAAGAACATAGTATAAGTTGTACATTCATAACTCCAAAAAGACTTTGTACAATCACCATCATTGTGTTATAGCCCATTTACATTTAAAACCTGTAAACCTAGCCACATGGAGCAGAGACGGGATCATTTATTCAGTTATGCATTTTACTGTGAATAACTAACAAAAACTAACTAACCTTTTACCTGTTAGAGTCACTGTAGATAATGTACATATCTTATTTTTGATGAATTATTGTTTTTGTTGTCATTTCAAAGATTGTTTCTTGGCAGTAAACTAACTTTGGCATTCAGTTTTAATACATTTGTTGGATGTAGACAAGTACTGTTACCATATTGGTTTGTTTAATAAATATTTTGTCAAAGTGAAACTGAGTTTGTTACTAAAATACTAGCTCAGTTTTTTCTCCCACGTTGACTGATAACAACTGATTAGATATGCTTTTATCCATAAAAAAAAAGTCATTACATTTTTCTTAAACACAATACAGAATTTGTAATCATTGAGACTTAAACTAACCGCCTAGACAGGCTGGCACCACCTTGTACCTCCGCTCAATTTAATTTCTCAAGCAACTAGGTCAGGAATCGGAATACACTAGACGGTTTGCAAAAACACCGGAAGTGTGAGTCCAGCGATTGGTTAAATAAAAAAGTGCCCGCCTACCATTGAGCGAAAGAATCCTAATGCTGTGAGGTTAGACGGTTTCCACAAAGTGAACCCAACTGTTGAATCAGGCTAGTGACCGCCTGCCCTGGTTCCAGAAGTACATTTTCCATCCATTTTTCCCCACAGATCTTTAATAGTTTTGTGGTTTATAGAGTTCCAGAAACTTTTAAAAAATGGTTAAATATAAGTATAGGTCTTGTGGTCATTAGTTACCAGTTTTTATTTATTATTTATTTTTATTCATTTCAAAAAGACCGGAAAAATTGAGAGAGAAATTTACTTCGGGAACTGGGTTGTGGGCGGTCACTGTTTGAGTGTAACTTTTCTGGTGGAGGGTCTATGAAACGCTTTTCTCCATGGAGAAGTTATTGCTTTGTCTGGAATGTCTCAGTGTGGCATTAAACCTTTCTATCATGGAGACCAAACCAGACTAAGTTACAGGTCAGATCTGTGGAGACGCAACCCCGCCCACAGTCAGAATACCTGTATTTCTAGGTATTTCTAAGATGTAAAACCACCTGTAATTTAATAAATGTAAAGTAGATCTGTTTAATGTCATACTGTGGAACATTCCTGGCAAAGCAATAACATCACCATGGAGACAAGTAGATGGCAGACCCTCCACCAGTCACACAATGCATCTTTAAACTACCAGGACACATTTTCTTACAGGAACATTCAAAATTTATGTGAAAGCTACAATTTAGCTTTAACATTTTAAATAATTTGACCAAAACGTTACACATTTTGACAAATTTTGATTTTATTAATGCACAGTGACAAGTACAATTTACCACAGGAGTGCACATTGATATTGTAGAAGACTTCCATCCATACATTTGGCATTAAAACACTTTTATTTTGAAGGACAGGACTGCTTTAACAAAAATACTATACCATTTACATAAGGGTAATTTAATGATTAGAGACAGGAATGTGATTTAGCGGAGTATTCATGCAATGTTAAGGATATGAAACAACGTGGAGTCCTAATATTTGATCTTGATTTTAAGCACAGTACATCACCAATAGACTACAATAGGAAACGCTAATGCTAACATGTTCTACCCAATACGACAGTTATTTGAGAATTATTTTTAAAAGTGGCAACATTTGAGTGGTTATTTGTACCTGTGAAATACATAAAACAATATGGCAGCATAAAAAAGGGAAAAACAAAGAGGTAGACGGGCAAATAAATAGGAATGTTTATTAGGCGGAAGCTAGCTGGAAGTGAAAAAACTTGACAAGCTAACTAGCTAAAGCGAGCTAGCTTGTTAGCCAGGATGCTAACGGATTTAATCAGGAAGAGCATTAATATAGATTTGTTTTTTGTTTTTATTATTCACAACTGAAGCAAAGCCAGAACCAATCATAAAGCGTAAAAATAGAAAAAAACACCTGTATCATTTGCACAACATTAAGACAATATCATATTTAAGAATGGAATGGATTTAAAGTGAGGAGTGTATAGAGGAATTACTGCTAATATTGACTTAGCTTAAATGCTAGCCTGATGCTAAGCTAATGCTAAAACACTGCATCGGGTGCTTTAGTTTTTCAGAATGGAGTCGTACATTTGGTAGATGTATTGAGACACTTCCGGAGCACGACATTTCAAGGACAGCTGTGGAAAAAATAAAACATGGTTAGAATAAGTGTGGTTCTCCAGTGATTTTCAATTTAAGACTTTTAGGTATATAATAATGAGTAAAAATGCTTGTATTGATACTTTGCAGCTGATCTACATCGTCAATATTCCCTTGGGGTGTCATGCTAACTGTAGGCTCTCAAGTTAGACTTTAATCTGAGCTTTAGTTTAACACAGGGTGACCAGATCAAATCAAAAACTTGGACACCTTGGTATGTGGTAACTGGTAATAATAAAATTGTGAAACGAGTGCGTAATTAAGGAAAACTGTTCTGCGCTCGGCCCATTCATGACTAACATGTGAGTCAGTATACCATATTTTTCGGACTATAAAGTGCACCGGATTATAAAGTGCAACATCAGTAATGTTGAATTCTCTCGTCTATTTTCATACATAAAGTGCACTGGATTATAAGGCGCATTTAACAAAAAAAATGGACGACACTTGAGAATGATCCTTAGCCCAGGCATTTACGATCCATTGGCAGATTGTGGCGTAATTCGCCCGGCATTGCCTCCCTGTCTTGGTGAACGTGTATTATGAATGTGAACGTGGGTAGATAATTTAAGTTTGTTTTTATTTCCAAGAGGACTCAAATATATATCGAGCAGCTTTGCGCACATTTGTTTACGAAATGAAACTTAAACCCACATGGTTAATTTGTATAAACTATAAGCGCTGAAAAAAACAGCTCGCTTCTTGTGCCCTGATACGTTCAGCTTCTGTCGGACTTACTCCGCGAGGCTCCTGACTACAGTAGCCACAATGCTCTGACAATCCATCAAGCGGTGCGGCTTCGTAGTTTACCAAAGTCGTACTAAAACATTTTGACAAATTTTTGAGTGCTGTGTACCACATAAAGTCAGTTTGAGGTCAGTATGCACAACCACAATTAATACATAAGGCACACTGGATAAGGGGCACTATTGCTTTTTGAGAAAATTAAAAGGATTTTAATTGCACCTTATAGTCCGAAAAATAAGGTAATCACATTTTCTTTATGTTTTGATCATTTTAAGCAGCTTTTCTGTATTTTAACTAAACAAATGTCAATTTATGCCTCTCTTTATTGTTGGCAGGGATCAAATTGGTTAAAAATAGAGACACTGGGACATTTCTTGTATAAAACTGGGACAAATCAAAATAGTTACCTCCGCCTTGTTTGTTTGTTTGCTGTTAGCAACATAACTCAAAAAGTTATGGACCGATTTTGATGAAATTTTCAGGATTTGTTGGAAATGTCAAAAGGAAGAAATGATTTCATTTTGGGGGTGATCCGGAAGAAATCCTGGATTCTGGATCACTTTGAAATTTTAGTTAACATTGTGGTAAATGGGGCCAAAAATTTTGTTTCTCAATATCTCGGTTAATTATTGACCAAACCCCATGAAATTTGACTCAGGGATGGACAATGGGATCCTCTTTCATATTCCAAAGGCTGATCCGGATCTGATCCAGAAGACTGATTTTATCGCAATTTATAAAAAAAATGGGGGTAGTCCTTGGCGGAGGTCTGCGCTCTCTGAGTGCTTTTCTAGTTTTTGGATAAATCTGCTGGGACACAGAGCTCAAAACTGGGACTATCCCGGGTAAAGAGGAACGTCTGGTCACTGTAACAAAATGTGATTAGAAATAACTGACTTAGGTGAAACTACAAGAGGTGAGCTGATTTTTACTGTTAAACAAGTCAAAATAAACTCCTAAACAGGACTATGAACAAAATACACAATACATTTTCAGGAGCCTGTGATCGACACGAGCGTTCATGGTCCTGTTTAGGTGAGACTGAATAACTAAAAAACTGTTGGCTAATGCAAAGTACAACAGGGAAATGTACCGTGTAGTTGGGGTTGCCAGGTTGGATGCGCAGTTCGGCCAGAATCCAGATGCCATTGGTGAGTTTGAGAGACTGGTAGAGCATGTCCTGGCCTTCCACGTTCCTTTTGGCAATGGTGTAGATATTGTTGTTCTGAAGCTTTCCTGATACTGTGTCTACAAAGAGAGAGAGAGATCAGACAAAAAAAATAAAAAAATTACAGTGGAAGATGCCTGTTCAATTAAAGGTCCTATATTACGCAAAAATGTTCTCTTGTGAGCTTTAAGTCACGTTATAATGCTGTTACCTCATCAAAAACAGACCTGGAGTTGTGTTTTGTTTCATCCACACGTTTGAGCACCGTAACTTCCGGACTACAAGATGCATCAACAAAATTTTAAAAGAAAAAAAAAAAAAAAAAATTGTACATATATAGGCCGCGCTTGTCTATAAGCCGCAGGTGTTCACGTATTCAAGAACGTTTTCAAGTTCAGGCTATCTGCTTTTAATGCCTCTGAAACCTTTTCTAGTTGTTTTGCATCGAGTCAGTTCGTCGCGCTACCGTCGCCAACGTCTCAACATCGATTCTTCATGCATTTCTTTGTGTGTTTTCCATGAGAAGGGTATGTGCATGAAGTGCAAAATAACTGTTCAAAACAAAATCACTCTGGCATCTTCCTCTGCGCATCGTCTCTTCCACCTGTCTGTCTCTCTCTTGCACTGCAGGGTTCAAAGTCTGAGAAAAAGTAGCATCTTAAAATTACGGTAATCCTTTATTATTAGTCTGTCTGTATCTCTAAAACTCAAAATGCTCTGTAATGCTTTTGTGATGGCATGAAGTTGTAGTTTAAGTTAACAGCTACAGTATCTTTTACCTTTTTGTAATTCCAGGGTTGAAATTCTCGAAATTATTCTAGTGAAGGTGTACGGAGTTGTACGAATTAAACAAAACTAAACAAAAACGACTCCAGGTCTGTTTGCGATGAGGAAACAACATTATAACACAGATCAGAAAATAATGCAATATGGGCCCTTTAATTGGTATTAGAGGAAAATGTGTGAAATGTAAAATTCTGTATAAAATGACTGAACTATCAGCTTTATAATCTACTATTTTATACCAAATGTTATTGTTGTATTAAATAGTTAAAGGTGGAGTATGTAACTTTCTGGAGCTGGTACGTCACCCGCATGATTCCAGGCAAAGAGAAAGTTAACACAAGAAGTTTAATGCCATACTGTGGAAGATTATAGCCAAAGGGACAACATTTCAGTCCAAATAGGAGTCAGGTTTGTGGAGTTGCAAGCACACTCAATGTGAAAAGCCAATGTAGTTTTTCAGTACAATAAACTCACACACACACACAAACACAGAATTATTATTTTAGTCTATTTTGGGCTAAAAAGTTACATACTGTGGCTTTTATTTGGGTAATTTTAAAGTATAAGTCTCCTGATTTAAATCCCTTACCATAATAATATTAAGAAAATCAATGAAGATAAACATACACTTATTAATTTACTGATTACTTATTACAATTTAGCTTGTTTTGGCTTATTTTTATGTATTTCTCATAATTTTATTTTGGCTTTCATGTTCCTATTAAAGTACCATTTTGAAGACTTCACAATTCAAATGGATAAAGTACAGTAACTGACTTTTTTAATTACACGTAAACTCATGAAGCTCTAGTTACAGGGAAGTCTACCACACTGCCCAAACGGTCTACAAGGGAAGTAATCTTTAAAAGTTCCACACAAAATTGAATACCGTCTCTACTAGGACCAAGCCAACAGCTAAGAGACCTGAGAAGGGTTTAGGAGCAAAATCCCAAAACAGACTCATCCTTGAGACAAAATGAGAAAGCAGAATCCACAGAAATGCGTGAATTCAGAAAGGCAAAAAAAACGGTTAAAGGAACATGAATGAATACTGTACATAGAGTTAATTAGTAACAACACTGTGTAGCTCTTACCTGCGTTTAGATGACATTCTTTTATCTGGTACTGGAGCTCGTTCTCATTAGGGATGTCTTTCCAAGTGGCCAGGAACACCTGTCGCTCTGGAAACACACACACACAGTCTGCGTTATAGTCTGCACTGGCTTTAAAGGTGCACTGCGGAACTTTTCTGGGTTACACGCTGCTATTCCGACATGCTGCCATTTAAACATTGACATCTAATTGAGTACGGGCATAAACATTATTTTTCAAGTGGCCCACTACTTAGACATTTTTTTTCATTGTCGCTTGTAATCAGAAACACCAGACTGTAGGACAGTCCTGCGTGGTGTCCCATAGTACTTAGTGCTGGGCAAAGCTGCAAATATACCAAGTTTGGATTGAAATTCCCCCTGATAGGACTTGGAACAGAAGACAATGCTTTTCAAACACCATAAACACAGATTAGTGACTAAAAAGTTGATTCAGTGTTTAGTTCTACTTAAAAGGGCCCATATTACATTATTTTCACTATTTGTTTCCTTGTTGTACTGTTTTATTCACAGGCTATGATTTTCTCCCAAACACTCTGTTCCACCTTGTGATGTCATGTGGTAATACAGGAAGTGCTCTATTGTGTTTTTAAACTCCATACACCTTCACTAGAATCATTTGGATGATTTCAGCCACGGAATTGCCAATCTCTGCTGAACTAAAGGTAAAAGGCAGTTGTTAACTTAAAAAACTACCGCTTCATGACATCACAAGGTGGAACAGACCATTCTGAGCTTTGGACATGTAGACAGACTAATAATAAAGGATTATTCAAACATGTGTGAATGAAACAAAACACAACTCACAAGAGTCAATTTCGTGTAATACAGGACCTTTAAATCAAACTGGAGATCAGACTTACCCATTTTTCCATCTTCTACAAAGAATATGTTTAGAGGAATGAGCACGCTGAAGTAGAAGACGTCTATGTTGTTTTTCACAGCCACCTGAAGACAAGCATAAAGTGTTTGTAGCTTAATTGGCAAGACAAGTTTATTTATATACAAAAACAAGACAAAAAATACATTAAAATCACAATACTAAGAAAATCAAAACAAACTAGAAAAGCACTCAGAGAGCGCAGACCTCCGCCAAGGACTACCCCCATTTTTTATATAAATTGCGATAAAATCAGTCTTCTGGATCAGATCCGGATCAGCCTTTGGAATATGAAAGAGGATCCCATTGTCCATCCCTGAGTCAAATTTCATGGGGTTTGGTCAATAATTAACCGAGATATTGAGAAACAACATTTTTGGCCCCATTTACCACAATGTTAACTAAAATTTCAAAGTGATCCAAAATCCAGGATTTCTTCCGGATCACCCCCAAAATGAAATCATTTCTTCCTTTTCACATTTCCAACAAATCCTGAAAATTTCATCAAAATCGGTCCATAACTTTTTGAGTTATGTTGCTAACAGACAAATAAACAAACAAACAAACAAACAAACAAACAAACAGACAAACGCCGGCAAAAACATAACCTCCTTGGCGGAGGTAATAATCATCATAAAATTAATGTTAAAAGAGGAGAGAGAAGAGTTCAACAGGCTCTGTGTACCTGTAGGTTGTTGAGGGGGTCCATCTTCATGACTGGACCAATGGTGTTGATTGGCAGAGAGACTTCGATGTTCTGGTTTGGCATCAGTGGAGTGTGAATGGGCAGAGGGCTGGTCGGAATCATCCCAAAACTAAAAAAAAAAGAGAAATTTTTACTCTTTTACTCTACTTTAAAGTTGCCACACACTACAGGATTTCTTGGTATTAAACGATTTCTTAATGCGTGACCAAAACGCAGGCAAACGACACAAGGAGAATTTTATGAGACGTAAAATCTTCGATTGCAAAGACTGCATCGTGTCAGCTGTTTCCTGCCTACAGTAAAACCACTCGCTTTGAAACTCTTAAGTGTTCAGATCAGAGCACTGCACTTTTAGTTTAGATACAAGTCAAAACTGTGTTATTATTATATTATTTGTGAAATGTGGTGCAAAACTTCAATTTTTTATGCTTTAAAAATCGTGTATCTGAAGATAAAGTCCACAGGAAGTAGAGTCACTATCACTAATCGGCAGCTTCACCTCAATTCGAGCGCTGTGTGGAGGTCAACAGACATGTGAGCAACTACTCTGGGCTTTTTACTTTTAAATAACGCCTCAAACTGGATTAATAGTGTCATTATTTGCCGAGGACAAATTCTATAGATAATACTGCAGCTTATACTTTTTGAGTAATAATTATTTTCGTTATATCCTGAGTTTGTATCTTGCCTCGGCGTCCGTCACTCCTCTGCCCTTGACGCTCTGTTTTATCGGCTGTTATCGCAGCATTGCTGATGTTTGGTCGGGCTCAGAGTCACACTGACACCACACACCCAAAGCAGCAGCAGCTTCAAAATCACACATAAAGATACAAAGTCGAGTCACGCCTCCCTGAACTTGGGAAGAAGCAAATCGCAGCCAAAATAAGGCAAATTCTCTTGTAGTGTGAAAGATGTATGGTCTGGAAAGGCAGCCTATCTCCACAATTTCAGGATATTATGCTTGTCTTATAATAAACTTTGCATTGACACTACGCTATGGGTGTTCTACATGTATGCCTACGGTGGAGTGTTTATCCGTTACCATCGTGACACATTGCACACATTACCAAATATAGCCGAAAAAGGTTTAAGATTGTCTGAAAACTCAAGAAAAAACACAAAATGGATTTAAACACTACATTTTCAGGAGTCTGTGATCAAAATGAAAGTTCGTGGTCCTGTTCAGGGGTTTTATTTTTAACAAAAAGGTGAGAATAACTAACTGAAAAACTGTTGGCAAATGATTTTAACTGTAATTTTATGTGGGAGAGACTACAGTTTAACCTGCTGAACCTGTTGTAGTTCAAACTAAGCCAGCTATTTCTGATCAGATAAAAACATAAAGCTCACATTTCAGTCTAACTTGAGCTTAACTTGAGCTACCAGAGCTTCTAACAGAGCATGTGCTTTCAGAGAATGTTGAGATTCAGTGCTACCTGCAGTGTAAAGCACAGTTTTGTCAGCAGGCCTGTGTTGTCCTCACCTGTTCTTGTTGAACTGGATGGCGAAGTCTGTCATGTGCTGCAGGGCTTTGTTGGTGAAGGTCATGTCCATGTACATGTGGCCCTGTCTGCGCGAGAACGTCCCTGAGATCTCCAGCCCTTTGGCCTTCACCGCGGGCAGCCACACCTAGAGGAAAGCAAGGGACAGTCAGAACATATGAGAGACGCACTATATACAGTTAGGGCTGGGTATCAAAGAAGTATTAAGAAGTTGCCGATACAATACATAGGCCACAATATGATAAGTTTTTCGATACAATGCACTTTCTATCCAGTATGATATATTTCAAATCTATCTGATGTAGTTCAGTAAAAAGCAAATGCTAACTCATGGCTGTGACACTAAAAGTTTTTGTTAAACCACTAAATTTATGAAAAACACCCACTTTACTCAAAACAGTTTATGCCAGTGATGGTGAAAACAGGGGTTGATCAGAAATACGGTGTCTTGAAAATCACACAAATCATTCCAAAAACAACTTCAAGAGGGTAAATGAGAGGGGAAAACAAATATAAAATGGTTAAAAGCTCTGGAAAGTTGGTTTTGCATAATAGACCTGCTTTAAAGCGCACATGACTAGACTACTAATTTTACAAAAACATAGTTAATGTGATTATTATTCATATTTTACTAAAAATATTGTTTGTTTTTTTCGTTCAGTATTTTTTTTATAGATACTTTATTGACATACTTATTGACAACCTGTCCATTGAAAACCTCTCATATGAACTTTAAATGTATCAAAACTGACCAAAACTAGGATGTGTATAAAAGTTTGAACACTACTCACTGCTTTGGGAGCCATGTATCCCCCGGTGGTGATGGCCATGCTGGAGGAGAGCTCGAACAGATCGTTGAGTCCACTGGAGGCGGCCGGAGGAGCGGGCGTGGGCGAGGGGGCAAAGGTACTGGGCACAGATGAAGGGATGAAGTTCTGACCAACCTGAGTCACACACAACAGCAGAGTTAAGCACAGGTAATGCAGGGCTCTATTAAACACTGTGAAAATGAAATGTCTGCATGATTCGAACAGAGAATTTTAATTTAAAGTGGTGACTTTTTTAACTTTTTATGTCATATTTAAAGATGTACATTTGTAACTTTTTGATAGAGGGTCCGTCATTTGCTTGTTTCTATGGATCATTGGTCATTGTCAGTATGAAATTAAACAGATCTACCTTAAATTTATTACATTACAGGTGGTTGTATAGCTCAAAAATACCTAAAAAACAGGCATTCTGACTGTGAGCGGGGTTGCTTCTCTGCGGATCTGACCTGTAACTTGATCTGATTTGGTCTCCATGAAGCATTACAGACCCTCTACCAGCAAAGTTACACAGTGCACCTTTAAAGAGCCCATATTTTGCTATTTTCTGATCAATGTTAAAATGTTTCTTTATCACAAACAGACCCGGAGTTGTGTTTTGTTTCATTCACACATTTTTAAAACATACAGATCCAGAATATTTAGGCTGAGTTCTTCTCTCAAACAGAAAACACTCTGTTCATGTGGTAATACAGGATGTGCTCCATTGCATTTTTAAACTCCAGACACCTTTACTAGAATCATCTGGATAATTTCAGCCCTGGAATTGCCAATCTCTTCTGAACAAAAGGTAAAATGTAGCTGCAAAACTTGTAAACTACCACTTCCTTCTCATTTAAACAGAAAACATCACAAGGAGGAACAGAGCATTTTGAGCTTTGGAGATGTAGACAGACTAATAAAGAGTTACTCAAACATGTGTGAATGAAACAAAACACAACTCCAGGTCTGTTTGTGATGAGGAAACAACACTGTAACAAAAAATCAGATCAGAAAAATCGCATAATATTCGCAGTTTAAATGCAGATACTCCATCATACACAGCACTGAGCACCACAACATGCAAAGAAAAGAGAGACAAGAAAAACAAAAGAAACAAAAAAATAATAAAAACATAAAAAAACAAACAAACTCCTCATTAGAACAAGTGAAAATAAAAAGTAAAATAAACAGCAATCGGGTGACTTCAACATGAAGAACCATATAATCACGCAGACAGACATTACGTTTGGACACACCCACTCATCTCTTTTATTTTTACTACTTTCTACATTTTATTTATATACAGAAGACATCAAATATATAACATAAGATATATGTAATTATGTAGTAAAGAAAAAAAGTTAAATAATTCTACACATTTTTCAACAAATCAATGTAGCCACCCTTTGGTTTGTTGAAAAATATTTAGTAGTGTTATGTAATATTTCTTTCTTTTTTATATAATTGCATATATCTTGCTTCATATATTTTATGTCTTCTGTATGTATGTAAAATGTAAATGTAAGTAGTAAAAATAAACAATAAAAAAGGAGCTGGTGTGTCTAAACTTTTAACTGGTGGCATAAACAGGATTAAGAGTTGCAAAGGAAATAGGAACTTACTGCTGGACTTCCACCAACACCTCCTCCCAGGTCTCCCCCCAGCTACAGACCACAGTAGCACCAGGAGAACCACGAGAACCAGGAGAACCAGGAGAACCACGATAGCCACGAGAACCAGGAGAACCACAAGAACCACAAGAGCCACGAGAAAGAGCAGATAGGGGAGAGAGGGGAGAAAGACTTAGAGAGGAGCGAGACCACACACCATTAGGTTTGTCATGATCATTACTATAGTGTTTGTAATTAAGCGACTGTTTAAAAGAAACGGTGGGGAAGATTCTCATTTTATATGTCATTAATTTGACCTATCTGTGTCCCCAGATACAAGGTAAAAAGTTAAAATCAAATGTAGCCTTTACTGATAACATCTGTAATGCCAATTTACTGTTTCTTACAAAAACATTTGATATCACGGTCCATTTATTTGATGTTTTGGTTCTGAGGACCATTATTTCCAGGATTTCCATGGCTGGTAAAGCCAACTAGTGCCTCCGCTCAATTTCATTTCTCTCCAGCGAGCCTCCTCACACAGGTCAGGAATCAAAATACAATAGACAGTTCAAAAAAACCCTGGAAGTGCAAGTTTCATTTGTCACCAGTTAACCCTATTAGTGGAGCATTACATACGTCATGACCAAATAGCAGTGATTGGTTAAATGACAAAAAGTACCCGCCTACTGTCGAACGAACAAATTCGAAAGCTGCGAGGTCAGACGGATTCTATGAAAAGAAACCTGCTGATGAATCAGGCTAATTTTTCATCAGAAAGCAGAATTAACCTCACATGAGTCTGTCATTTGTGTTGCCAGTTTCATTCCTGAAATCCAGTTGGTTTAAACCTAAAATGGCTCTGTGATCTGAATGGTTACTGCCTAAATCTCAGCATCTACAGCCAGTCATGAATCAGTGCTAGTGCAGCCTGTGCAGCTCAGTGAGGTAAATCTGGACGTTCTGAGTTTTCACATGAGGCAGGAATGAGAAAGACTTGTATGTGTCCTCTATCTGCAGGTTAAGGCACTGACAATTCAGGTTCACCTGTGATTGAAATATCTTTTAAAACTGTAAGAGCACAGGCTACATACAGCTCCTTTAAGCACAACCATCAGTGTTTGGAAATACTGCAAAGTAAATTAACAATTCAATTAATAACTATAACTATAAATATACAGTATAAGTCCAGCTCTAATTCCAGACTAAATAGGCCGATGTATCTTCTTACAGTTGAATGTGATCTGTTGTGTACAGTGAAAGAAAAGTGGAGAGTCCCGTGTCCCTCACCAGACTGTCCAGACCTCCCCCGAGCAGGTCCACCGCCCCCATCTGCATGGAGGACACCTGGGGCACGTTGACCGGAGGACCCAGGTCCAGGTTGAGCAGATCCCCGAGGAGGTCTCCCTGACTCGGAATGACATGAGGCTGCTCTATCCCCGCGGCCGGTCCACTGCTCACAGGGCTCTCTCCAGTGTCGATACTGCAACACAACACGAACAAAGAGTTATTTTGTTTTGGTCAAAGATGCAAAGACGCATTGTGTAACTTTTTTCATGGAGGGTCCGTCACCTGCTTGTCGACTTTTCAGAGCTTTTAACCACGTTATAGTTAGATTTTTCAGTCAGTGTCATAAATTGCTATAATATTATTTTTTAACTTCAATTTTTACTTCAGGGTCATTCCACGCCAAATCTCCTAATACCCCCACCCGACCATCTCAGATTTGACAGAAAAAATTCTAGGAGGTTCACACACTTTCCAACAGGAAAAGTCCCAAATTTTAGCTCTCAAAAGCACATGTGTAAAAGTCCAAATTTTCAGGGGTTAAAATTTGGCAAATATGAAGGACCTACCTAAAATATATATTTTTTTAGATACAGCAATCTGAAAGTGGCTCCTTGGAAAACTCTGCTCAAAACAGGTCAGGGCAGAGTTGACAAAATATTTTTTAATGACAAAACTATAAGGAGTTGGGTACTAAAATTTGGGACTTTTCCTGTTGGAAAGTGTGTGAACCTCCAAGAATTTTTTCAGTCTAATCTGAAATGGTCGGGCAGGGGCATTCGGAGATTTGGAGTGGAATGACCCTTCAGCAATATTTCACATTTCAAATTTCAAATAATTTGTTTGTGGCAGCTTATTATTTTTTGTGGCTTTGTGGTTTAAATCTGCTCTTGGATTATTGTCTCAGTGTCAAACTAGTATCAATATTATCATCTATATTTACTTCAACAATATACTGTACTTTAAAATCTGTTATTCTGACAGGTCTAGTTGTGTGTGCATCTGACCTGCTGTGCTGGACGGGCAGGTGTTTGCGGTGGATGCCATGGCTGCCCTCCACGAAGGCGTTTGGCGGTTTGTGGTAGACGGAGGCGAGCGAGCCGATGTGGCAGATGAGCTCGTCCAGCAGCGTGGGCTCGATCAGGTCCGTCTCCTCGGAGATCAAAGGCTTTTCCGACAGAACCACCTCTTTGGCTGTCACCGGGTCTGTGGACAGCAGGCGCCAGTAAGATGTAGCCGCGGTCACGCAGGTCTGGGTTGTCCGAGTCCTGAGGGGGAGGAATGGCAAGGATTTTGTTACAGCAGTGTCCTTCATGATCAAACTCAAAGTTAAATGTCAATTGATTTGTGCATGTTTAAGTAATCCTGTACTGAAGCTTGGATGCTCTATCCCCACTCACTGCTAAAAATATACATGAAGAGTTATAAAATATCAGCAATAAAAACCAGCAAGATTGTACAATGTTATAGTAACATCCCTTAAGATGCTTTTAATTTTTGTGTTTTCTACTTTTCTACACACAACCAGTACACACAACCAGATTGAACATTTGAACTAGAAGGATCTTACAAACTACTGCACTACAGCTTAAACAGAATCAACTATACATCTTTTTTTTTAAATTATTATTATTTTGAGGTGGTTACAGAGGGCAAAATGTAAATGAGAACATGTACAAACACATTATTGAATGATTTTCTGCTTGCTACAGTGAAATGCCACTCTACAGAGAGATCAGTACTGCACTTTGGAACAGACGTTTATGGAACGGTCTTTCATCAGATTGTGGGGATACACTGTGTGTGTGAAACGTCAGATTAGAGGCAATGCAGATTGATTTAGGACAGTCAAAAGATCGAGAATGCAGATTACTTACAGATTACTTACAGATATATGAAATGACCAGTATTACGCAACATAAAGTAGAGTTTTCCCTCACCTGAGTGGCCAGGCTGAGGACCTGCTGCACCAGCTCCTGGGTCTCTGAGGGCTTCTTGAGGAACAGCTTCACGATGGCTGTCAGCAGAGTCAGCTGGACCTGAAGAACACACACCAGACAGGAACAAGTGAGAAAATCTGTGCATTAAAAGCATAAGATAGTATGTTTTCTAAGGGATAATAAGTCTGATAGAGTCCTGTGCATGTGTCCTGACCTGCGTGCTCTCGTCGTGGAAACCCTCCAGAAAACTCTCCAGCAGCTCGTCGGCGTTGTCGATTCTCTCGGCGTATTCACCCACGATCCAGATCATGGCGGCGCGTGCGTCTGGCTCGTCCAGAGAGTCCAGGTTCTCACACAGGGTGGCGATGATGCTCTCATACCTCACAGAGGAACAAAACATGTCATGTACTGTATTTGTTTATTAGCTGCACCCGAGGGCCAGCTTGTACTGTATGTAACAAAGCAGTAACATTTAAAACACAGTTGTAGAGTTGTGTTTGAGCACACTCACTTGTTGGGGTACTTGCGGAAGATGTCCCTGATGACGACAATGGCCTCCTGCACCACGTAGTTGACTTTGGTCTGGATCAGGTCCAGCAGAGTGCTCACACAGCGCTCAGCCGATTGCTGAAGAGAACAAAGACATTTTAACTGTGATAAACCAACACTACACAATGATATTTTAACCACAGAAAACTGTTAAAGGTACAAAAGTGTTATGGCTGCATATGTGAACAGCATATTATTGACACAGAAACACTCTGCACAGTTCTATAGCATTTTTTTTTTATGTAATGTGTTAAAATGTTTATGAAATCCCTCAGTCATCCAAGACATATTTGAATAAAAACATTTGACCTTTTCTTTCCTCCTCACCTCAACTTTAATGGCACAGCGGCCAATGGCACGAACAGCTTTACGCACGAAGTCCACATCCACCTCAGTGGCGTACTCCTTCAGCTCAGCCAGAACCTGCAAAACAACACAGCAAACGTAAATATGAACATTAAAATACAGTTAGCATGAATATGACTGATGTTACTGAGTAATTTGATATCTCATTCACAGACAGATTTACTCTTCCTGTACTACTTTACCTGTGCGATATTGGCCTGTGAAGCCAGACGGATCATGATGTCCAGTTTCTCCAGTTTGACGTAGATGGGGTCATTGTATTTGACAAAGAAAACCTTTATCTCCTGCTTCAGAATCTCAGGCCTGCGCACAACAAGGACATAATGACAGCTTTTTTAAAATAAAAGGTGGCAGGTACAGAGGCTTTGAACATGACTCTATAGTTTACCTCTTCTGCACAATGAGGTTGATGTTTCTGAGGGCCACATACTGGACCTCTGGCTCTCCGGAGATAGCAGCGTGACCAGAGGAGGGGACAGCTTCTTCAGCAGGGTGTTGTAGTAGTCCGAGTCTTTGGGCAGGAGCTCCAGGAACTTCATGAGAACTTTGACGGCCGACAGCACCACGGCAGAGTTGGCATGGGACAGTCTGGGAGTCACACGCTCACAGATGCTACAAGAGACAGAAGACAACATAGAATGTCATAGGATCACAGACCGTATACTGTATTTTTCGATCTATAAGTCACACTTTTTTTTCATGGTTTGGGTGGTCCTGCGACTTATACTCTGGTGCGACTTATATTTTAAAATTTTCAGACTGACAACCGCGAGAGGGCACTCTAGGCTTGTATGTCAGTATCTAGTACTACTATTACCCCTGTACCACTGTCACTTCACATTCATTCACACAGCATTTGAACATGGCTTAAAGCTCACAACAGTCAATTTTGCATAATATAGGGCCTTTAAAAGAAACTAGCCCAGATTAACTTTAGAAACATGTTTTCTCATAGATGGCATGTCTTTAAATGGAGATAATTTTTTCATGTGATTGAACAAAACTAGTTTTCCTTGCACGGTCAAAATGAGACAGCTGTGCCTGGTCACCATCTAATTCTAAAGTGTTTCTTTTTCTTCTTTTTTTTGTCTCTGAAAGTTGTGAAAAGCGTGAATAATTAGAAAGCTTGGAATGCATAAGGAAAGTGAGGAATACTTCTTTTTTTCTATACATCACAACAAAGCATTTTCAGACGTCTTTTAACACACCCACTCCAATCAAATAAAGAATTTCAATCATGTAAATAATCAAGGAAACCGTCTGCATGTTTCTCCTGACCATAACCAAAACACAAGATTTTTTTGAAAACTAAAGTTGCTTCTCGAGGAAAGGCCGTGCTGGTGTTACCTCTGGGCCTCGCGCTCGTCCTTGGGGTTGTAGTTGGAGAGACAGTCCAGGATGAAGATCTGGCCCCACTCGGTGCACTCGTTCAGGGCGGTGAGGAGCTTGTTGATGTTCTGGGGGTTCAGGTCGAGCAGGTTACTGTTGGGATGAGACTCGCTGATCTCAGACAGAGCTGCCACCGCGTTGGCAACCACCTGAAGAGAAGATATTTGGGAGAATAGTTAGTAATAGTTTATTTAATTAATCATGTGTTCATAAATATTCATACAAAAATACAATACTAAAACAAATTTACATTGTACTCTCACGAAAAATGATGCAGTGAATTGTGAAAATGTGAAAACCTCAAAATCAGAGTGTCGAGGTTAATAGTGCTGCACATGCGCTACAGTTCTCACCACAGAGCCACATAACAGCTGTGTGTTGAATACTAGAGGTGGGAAAAGTATGACTGTTACATGCAGATGGTGGTATGTGGTATGACGGGGCCACAGCGACAAGACACAGACTGAAGCAAAGCATTGTGGGTCTGCTGAGAAGGTGATCGGCTGCAGTTCATATACTATTATTATTCATTGTTTAAGGTTGAACCATAACAGCACAGTAAATTCCTACTTTATGAATTTTGTTTACTGAAAATGGCAATAAAACAAGAATAACAAGGTTCCCACTCTTTTTCACTGACAAAATTTCTAAACTTTTCCTTGACTTTTTCATCACGTAAAGTGAATTTTCCATGACTTTACAACACCTACATGTGTAGAATTGATCAGACTTTTAGGGCTAAATATGAAATGTTAACCCTTTCCACTCACCTTATGGTTTGGTATTATAGTTTTTAAACATTCAAAATACTAATTTATTGTCGTCTCTTTTAAACAAAAAACGTTGGGAATTAATCATAACAGCCTAAAGAATGCTGTAGATGCGTGAAAGAGATACTACAATTCCATGACTTTTCCAAAACTTTCATTGAATTTACAAAATTTCATGAGTTTTTCAAGTCAGTTTAATTACATTTCCAATTTCCATGACTTTTCCAGAATTTCCATGACTGTGGGAACTCTGTAATAACAAATTGATACTGTTGAGATATCATTAAGAAAACTACTCCAAAAAGAGTTAATAAAAAAGTAAAAACAACAGAAAATTGTGGTGTAATTTTCCAAAAATAGTATCAAGTGTTTAAACATAAATTTACGTTTTGTAAGACACTTGAATCTTAATAAAGTTGTATTTACAGCCACGTCTTACACATTTCCATTTGTAAAAATATGACCAGATTTTTGTTATCATTTTGTTAGAATATAAATGTGGAGCTGGAGGATTTATTTGAGGTGAGGGAAATCTGTGAGCCCTTGTTTAGACTCCTGCCCCTGTGACTTGATCCCCGATAAGCAGAAGAAAGTAGATGGATGGAGAATATAAGAAATCAAAATATCTCCCCTGTATACAGCAAACACAGGAGCATTAAAGCCTCCTTCAGTCTCACCATGGGGTTGGAGTCGGCGATCAGGTCTCGGAGTGAGTCCAGAAAGCCCTGGTCCTCCACCATCTGGGCGTTGATGTCGTGGAGTTTGGCGACGCACACGGCGGCGGTCTTCCTCACGTAGGGATCCTCGTCCTTCAGACACTTCCTCAGAGGCTCACACAGATACTCCGTGATCTTGTCCACTCTGATACAGCCCATGGTGCGCACAGCCAGGGCACGGATCAGAGGGTTTGGGTCCTCACAGTCCTGGAGCAGACACAAGAAAGAGTCAGAATTCAAATATACATCTCAACTTCCATGTTCTATCAATTCATGTACATTTCAGTATTTTTACATTGTCCTTAATGGGTAACTCTGACTTCTGAGACTCACAAATAAATCACTGATTGGTTAAATCCATCATTCAAATTTTCTACAGTTTAATTTTCTCTTGTATACTCAAAAATTTGCTTGACAATGAATTTTTACAAAGTTTTTGCTTCTAATATAAATTACAAATAAACTAAATAACTCAACTGCGCTTCATTCAGTAACAAGTAGAAAAAAGAAAAGCATTTTTTGGGAATAAAATGATAACATGACACTAGAGGGCAGCTAAAAGAATAAATGTAGGGATGTAACAATAACCAAAATATTGTGATATTGTATCGTCAAGTCTCACAATAATAACGTGGGCTGTCACAATATATCGAATTACAAGTTCCTTTGCTTAAATGCATGATTTTATAGTAGTAACAGCTTATAAACATTGGAAACTACATATCCCATGATTCATTTCAGTGCAGACAACATGAAGAAATATGTTTTTTACTTGAATTCTATTATGACAGAAATAATTCAAACCAAAATCTTGTCAAGGTGTTTTAAAAGCAAAAAAGTGTCCTATCTACAATTATATTAGCCTCTCCAAAATATGGCAATAAATATCGTACCGTGAGATGCATATCATGATAAAATCGTACCGAGAGAGTTGGACATCGTTACATCCCTAAATGAATGTATTTATCATTTATTTCATCAAGAACAGTAATCAACAATGTGTTCAAATAGAACTTTACCTTTGTACTGTATGGAATAAATTATTATATTTGTAAATTTATTTTAACATTACACAGATTTTTGCTTTAGAAAGAACCATGTGAGAGAGAGGAGGGCCTGACCTTCACAAAACTGTTGACGGCCATGATCGCCATGTCGGGCTGACTCTTGGCGTAGTTCATGAGGTACAGGTACACGAGCTTCTTCAGCTCCAGGTTATCTGTCTGCATACAGTTCACCACATCTGGGAACAAAGAACTGGACACAACCACAGACACATCAGGATATATATGAAATCTTTACTTTCAAGAGGATGCTTTTACATTCTGGGGTCTGCTGATGGAGGAAAGGAATCTTTAAGAAGTGTAAGGGAGATTTACAGTGATCCACAAATGTTGAACTGTTTCATTATTTGTTGGGAATTAGTTCCACAATGTTGTCATGTTCATCTAATGTTTTAAAATCCTTTCATCGCACAACAATCAAGTGCTTGGGTTAAATAATGACACCTCTTGTAACAATGGTCTCCAGCCTTTTTCCTCTGGTGAGCTACCTTTACAAAACAAAAATGCTAAAGAGCTACTTATTTTAACAGTTGCAAGAAATTTTGTATATATATAAGAGCCACACAGCCTTAGATTGAGGACAGTTAGATGCGTATAAAATATAAACCATTATTAATTTATTAGTGCACAAAACTGGGCATTAAAATGATAGATTTACAATGGTAATTAATCTAATTTTACTTATTCAGCACAATACGTATAGTCATCCTTCACTATATCGTGGTTCACCTTTCGCGGTCTCGCAGATTTTTCTTTTTGTGCAATTTTGCATACTTTTTTTTTTTTTTTTTACAGTGTATGAACGTGCATTGCATTCTCCCTACTGCGTCCTAATTGGCTAAGGGACTTCTGTCTCCTTACGATACAGAATGCATTCAGCTGCCGAATTTACATGAATGTTACATAAATGCAAAGGCACCTGCAGTCGCACCCAAAAGGCAGAGGAAGATGCAAACCATTGCACAAAAAGTTGGACTTCTGGACATGCTGAAGGAAGGTCGAAGTTACGCACTGTAGCAGAGTCTTGCACCGGGTCGGGTATCCGCAAATATTACTGAAACCAGGACTTAAGAGAGAGAACCGCGAGCCTGGGCAGCGCGATAGGGCTACGGCTACGTTTACCTTCGTGAGCTGAGCCGGTCCTTTCTCCTGCGGTCACCTTCGAGCCCGTCCTGACAGTGAGTCCTGTTTCAGTCCTGTTTCAGTCCTGGTTCAGTCCTGGTTCAGTCCTGGTTCAGTCCTCGTTCAGTCCTCGTTCAGTCCTCGTTCAGTCCTCGTTCAGTCCTCGTTCAGTCCTCGTTCAGTCCTCGTTCAGTCCTCGTTCAGTCCTCGTTCAGTCCTCCTCTTCAGTCCTAGTTCAGTCCTCCTCTTCAGTCCTGGAATCAGTCCTGGAATCAGTCCTAGATTAGTCCTGGGTTAGTTCTGGTTTAGTCTTGGTTCAATCCATGATGTATACGGCACAAAAGTTTGACATAATCTTGGGTTAACGGGCGGGTGCGGTGCTGTATTGCACGGGTCTCTGCGCTGTAGGGCTCCATTACGGAATAAATGAATCTTCAGTTCGTTACATAAAGAAGGAGGAAAATAACAAAAGGACGACAGCAGCAATAAGTTTTAAGAAGGATGCAAAAAGGGTTGTAAGTGTCCTGTTTTAGAAAAGTGTATAAAGTGTGTGGTGAGGGGTTTTACAGCCTTAAAACAGACCCCTTGACGAGCTATGTGTAATGGCGTGGAGAGCTACTTGCAACTAATAACATAGTAGAAAGATTTAAAATTTGCATAATATCCCTCTTTAATCATAAATATATGTTAGTAGTTACGTAATAGTAGTTCATAAATCTTGCTTATGAAGTACTATACAAACCTGACATCCTTGCCCACGGTCATTGCAGCGATCACTTTCTTGACCGCCTCTTTTCTTTTCTCCTTCTTCTCATTGTTCAGTTCTGCCTTCAGCTCAAATATCTCTCCTGAAGAAAGAAGGAAGAGGCTTTCAAGAGCAAATCGAAAAGATGTTCACAAAAGATTAAACAGACAGAGGAAGTGACATTTTCAAAATAACTGTAAACTGTGTTGATACCAGATAATGCAACTAAAGGGAAGTTCCAAATAGAGGAAACATACATTATTTATCAGAAAACAATTTATGAAGTAGCATATTATAAAAAAATAAATAGTACTGATACTTTGGGGAGGTTTTGTGCATGCATTTCTGGTGTAATGTCCAGCAGTTACCATGGTGATACAATACAGAAATGAGCAAACACAGCCTGATAAGTTTTTTAGATTGTCTGAAAATGCAAGAAGAAAAGTACAAAATTGATTTAAATGATATGCACAATTATTAGGCAAGTGCGTATTTTGACCATATCATGATTTTTATGATTATTCTCCAATTCCAGGCTGAAAAAATGTGAATTCTTAGTGGATTTAAGCAGATTTGGTGATGTATATTTGGGACGGTGTGATGTAAGGAGATCAAGGATTTTGTCTATATTTGTCAGATTGTTTTTTTGAAATGTCAGAAACGTTTATTTGTAAATTTTGAGTTGCTTTCTATTCTGACAGATTAAAATAAAAAGTGAGAATGGAAAATGTTGCGTAATAATTCTTCACTTTAATAGTTGCTCAATAATTGTGCAATCATAAACTTTGCTTTTACTTTCTTAAATATTCAAGTCTGAAGTTTATTAACATTTAGGATTAACCCAGAGCGCTGTAGCTGTTCAATTATAAAATAAATCCTCATAAATACAACTTGCCTAATAATTATGCACGCAATCAACTCAACGGTTTTGTGCGTTTGTTGCTACTAAAACAGCTCTTTCTGGTAAGATTGTGTTAAACTGAAGCTCAGATTAAAGTCTAACTTGAGTAGACTCAATATCGTGATATTGTATCGTCAAAAGTCTCAATAATATCGAAGGCCATCAGAATATACCGAATCTCAAGTTTCTTTGCTTAAATTCATTGTTTTGGTGCAATAATAGCTAAAAAAAAATAACAGAGGGAACTACATAGACCATGATCCTTTGCTCCGTTTTGGTACAAAATACTTTCTAAACACTTTGAAAACTGCTTTCAGCCTTTATTGTGTATAATTATGATCAAACCGAGACAGAACCTCCTGACTGGACTTACCCTTCTTGTTCGTTGTAAAATACTTGGAGTCCGTCATGGCTGCAGTTTCTTATCTGAAGAGAAAAAGTAAGAAAAGTTTTGGCATTGGAATAATGATCTTAGTCATTTGCAAACATGGATTTCTGTATTTTGGCAAAAGAAATGACAATTTATGTTCCTCTTCACTGTTGGCAGGGATCAGATTAGTCAAAAATGATGATAGTCCTGTTTTATTCCTGGTTTCCAGTTGATATAGTCCTTGGTTAGTCTTAGTTTAGTCCTAGTTTAGAGCTGATGTAGTCCTGGTTTAGTCTTAGTTTAGTCCTGGTTTAGAGTTGATGTAGTCCTGGTTTAGTCTTAGTTTAGTCCTGGTTTAGAGTTGATGTAGTCCTGGTTTAGTCCTGGTTTAATCTTAGTTTAGTCCTGGCTTAGTCCTGGCTTAGAGTTGATGTAGTCCTGGTTTAGTCTTAGTTTAGTCCTGGTTTAGATCAAACTGGTCAAAAATAGGGACAATTGGGACATTTCTTCACTTTCACTGGTTTTGTATAAATCTGCAGGGACAGGGGACATGGGGCTCAAAACTGGGACTGTCCCGGGTGAATAGGGACATCTGGTCACAATAATCAAAGCAAAAATACAAATAATTTCCAAATAATTTCCCTTGTAGATCAATAAAGTTTGTTTAAATCCAAGTATGATCCCTCAAATCACCAACAACTACTGATCCTTTCATCATTGACATATCAGACAACTCACCGAACAAGTATAACGCAAATACATCTCTAAAAAATTCCGTAATGAAGCTTTTCTGATCTGGTAATTGAAAGCATCACTGTCCGTCTGCAGATGTTAGCAGGGAGCGGCTAATAGCATCTCTTGCATATTATTTATTATTCGCTAAAATACTACACCATCAGCCGGGATTTTTGGTTAAATAATTGCACGATCACACAATACAACGCGTGGGAAACTAACTTAAATAGCAGATAAGTATAAAATAATAAGATTTACTGGTGACACAGGCCCGGTTTCATTCTAAACAGCGGTAGTTACGAGAGGCAGCAGCGCAAACAGGTAAAATAAGATAAAACAGGGATTATAAAGCAGTTTTATATGGTAGAATAAAGGTTTAAATGTTATTCTGACCTGTGAATAGTTTAAAAGAGTGAATTCCTGTTTCAGATCGTAATAAAAGGCCCAGGCGCAGTAGGTTGGGTTGGATTCTTTGGAGGAAAGATGGAGAATTTGGGTCCTGGAGAGGCGTTCACGTACACCGTAACTCAGCGATTTTACGGAGAATTTCTGTTTTAAAACCACTAAAATTAAGTTTATGCAAAGATAAACAAAATTCAATTCCTTTAACTATAGCTATTCAATCATAAATAAAGCTACAGAAAATAATATGGTGGTTATCAGCTGTAAAATGGTTCATAACGTAATATTAATGTGTCTTGAAATCGTTACATAAAAATACAGGTTTGTTGAAAAGTTTCACAGCATAAAAGGTGTTGGTTGTTCAGATACATTCATTAGCAAATATAAAAAGCTCCTATTTAAAAATAACCTACTTATTTTATAAATAGTGAAAGTTAACTGATTCTCGTGATGTCCTCAAATCAAGCGGAAGTTGTCAAAAGGCCCAGCTGTGGCGCGCACTTTCACAATAAAACGAGGCAATAATAAAGTAAAAGTGAAGTACAAATTTTATTTACAAAATAATTTGATTAACCTTAATTTATAATCAAATTTCTCAATCGATAACAATGACAATAAATAATAAATCATAAACAAACATTTTCAAAATATTAATAAATTACGTACATTCACTGAACATTTTCCAAACATAGTAAAAACGAACACTATTTTTCATGAAATACGAGTCAACTAAATAAAAAAAGTAAAAATTAAAATAAAGTTTTCATTAAAAATGTTCCATCACAGGCTGGAACGCATTTGTCTCTTTACAGATTATTTCTCACTGACAATTAATATGTAGCAATGAAAAAATAAAAAGCTATTCTCCTGCCGTCGATTCTATTTGGAGTTGTGCCGTAGCATTTATTAGATCTTGGGGAAGACCTGCTCTGGCTTCCTGCATCTTTTTCCTGGCTCTCTGAAAGGCCTCTGTGAAAAAAACAAAAACAAAAACATAAATAAGCATAATTATATATGTAAATATATAAAAGAAAAAATAGGTTTAAGAAAATTCTCCTTCTTCAAATGTGTATTACCTAGAATGTTGCACACAGCGCCCTGTTGACTAAACCCTCCCAGCTGCTCCGTAACTTTCTGTCTTCTCTTCTTCAGCACACTGGCATCAATGAATGCACTGCAGCAAAAGAACATGTGAAATTTTAATAAGAATATTTTGTTAAAATGCTGACTTAGCACTGGAAAAGCACTTACTGAGATTGCTGAATGCAGTATAGATTGAAAGTGACACTTCCAGAGGACTCTGTGCTGAAGCCCAATCGGCTCAGTCTCTCTCCCTGCAAACACACATTAAATAAATTCAGCACTGATCAAAAGAGTACTGACAATTGTACTGAAGTAAAAGTACAGTTACACGGCATGGCAGTTACATGTAAGTAAGTATTATGCACTTTTAGCAGCATACTAGATCAGTCTTTTATACAAAACTTGATTAATTTTACTGTTTAAACCAAGAGTCTCCAAACTCTTTTTCACCAAAGGAAAACATGTTTAAGGACAAAGGAAAAGACTAAAATTTCACATTCATCAGGGGAGCGCAGGAGAATCAGCCTATTTTCCAGCTCCCAGTTGAGATCACAAACCTTAAAAGTGCTCGGTGTCCTGACGTAGCTGGGGTCTTCTAGTTCTGGAGAGCCGCCAATGAAGAATCGCCTGAGAGCCGAGGCTGTGCCCGTCTGAAGAGGCCTCCATGTATGGCATATGACTCTGTGTTTACCTGAACAAACAACAAGCTTCTCAACACACAATCTTGTAACGTGACAGGAATTTAAAGTGATAGTGTGTCACTTTCTGGAAGTAAAAGTGTACAGCATGATAGACCTTTTCCACAACAGGCAGAAGTGCCGCGATGTAGGGTAAACATAACTCCTGGTTAATGCTTTTCTATGGCAAAATATCTGTGGAAATGTCTCACGTATTTTCCACCAGCTTCATAAATCTACCCCATCACCAAATCTTCATCCAACAAGGTCCACAAACAATAAACATGAAGAATTTATCCACAACTATCAAGGTAAGAAAGACGAAAACGTAAAGGCGAACAACGACTAACATTAGTGAACTACTGAGCAAAACTAACGTTACAGTAACGAATAAAACATAAGTAATAAGTAATTCATTAATAGGTAACTTGTTAACTCAGACTGATTCTAAAATTAAAATTAAAATAAAAATTTTATGATGTAGATATTGTTCCCAGATTACATTTCTAGCATTTAAACTGCACAAATCTATTTGTCTATGCTAATATCAACATCATGAATTCAATATTTTATTTTAATTTTAAAATCAGTCTGAGTTCACAAGTTACTTACTCATCCATTACCGTAATGTTAGTTCACTAATGCTAGTAACCATTATCCACAACTATCAAGGTAAGAAAGATGAAAGCTTAAATTCTTCATGGAAGAATATTTAACCTTTGTCGACCGTGCTGGTGGAAGATTTGGTGATGGAGCAAATTTATGAAGCTGGTAGAAAATACGCGAGACATTTCCACAGACATTTTGACATAGAAAAGCATTAACCGTTTACGCTACATCTTCCGGCAGTTGTGAAAAAGGTGTATTATGTGAAACTTAAAACAATGGAGATGGATATGTTTTATGCCATACTGTAGAATAGAATGGCCACAGGTACAGCATTTTGGAAACAAGTAGACCCTCCTTGAGGCTAAATAAGAGTCAGGTTTATGGAGACGCAAGCCTGCTCACAGTAAGGACATACGTTTTTATATGTTTTTCAAAGCAATAAAAATGTCAATAATGAAAAAGTGACATACTGTGGCTTTAACTTGATAATCCATAACATACCAGGTACAGCTGGAAAGAGCAGATATCCATACCCCTCTGTTCGATGGCGATCCCAAAAATCCCATGACAGAACTTTAAAGTACAAGACGGGCCACTGTGGTATACCTCAGGAAGACAATTCAAATGTTAGAATCAAATTTAAAGGTGTATTGTGTAACTTTTCTGGTGGAGGGTTTGTCAAATGCTTTTCTCTGTGGAGCTGTTATCGCTTTGTCTGGAATGTAAACCTTTTTATCTTCATGGAGACCAAGCCAGATAAAATTACAGGTTGGATTTTTTAGATATTTTTGAGCAGTAAAACCACCTGTAGTTTAATAAGTGTAAAGTAGAGCTGTTTAATGTCACACTGTGGAACATTCCAGGCAGAGCAATGACATATCCATAGAAATAAGACAGCCATGGACCTTCAAGAGATTGATGGATAGACAGATGCTTTACTGATCCCAAAGGAAATTAAAAGTTCTTCTATACTTACCTTCATCCTCCTTTTCACTCATATAGAAGGCCTCAAAGTTAAAGGGGAAGCTGAAATAAGCTACAGCATCCTGTAAAAAATATTAATATGTAAAGAATATAAGAGGTAGAGTTGTCAAAAGTATAGAAAATCAGATACTAATCGACATGACAACAAGTATTGAAACTAGATTCTCATTTGAGGAGGTATCGACATTTTAAAAAGTAATGTTGATATGATATGAAGTGTTTTTTATAATCATCACGGTTTGGGAAACGGTATTGAATATCGAGTCGATTCCTTAATATCAAAATAGAACTTGAAATTTGAGTTATTTCTGTTATTTTTAACCAAAATTTTACTGTCTACTTACTTTCCCCACAGTTTTGGTGCGACATGTTTGTGTTACCAAATAAAGTGGATGTGAAGGTAAACTGGACCAATCTGAAAACAGTTTAATTCAGAAATATTAAAAATAAAACATTACTTAATACTAAACAATACTACATAAACATACTTAATACTAAACAGTTGTAAATATAACATCATAACATCATAGCTTTTTTTTAATTATTATTTAGGAAGAGAATTCAACAAGACAAGATAAGAAAGGAAATGTTCGTACTCTTTGGTAGTTCCATGAAGAAGTGGATGTATAAATTATCATATTCAAATCCCTTGGCTGACACTGTGTGGACATAAGAAATGTTATACAGTAGCACAAAAGACTTTGCTGAAATTAAATGTGGTATGATTTTATTTTAATTTTATTTCTTACCAATCTCTCCATTCATCACATATCGCAAAGTCCCTGGAGGAGGCTGGAAAAAAAATGAAAAATGTGAATTTTCTGGTGGAAGACCCGTCAAATACTTTGTTATTGTTTTGTCTGGAATGTTTCACAGTATGGCATTAAACCTTTCTGTATTCAGGGACACCAAACCAGACCAAGTCAGGTCTGGTCAAGGTAATAAATGTAAGGTAGAATTGTTTAATGTCATACTGCGGGACATTCCAGGCTAAATAATAACATGATTGTTAGTGTTTAAATTTGGGAATAAAAAGATAACACAGTAGCTTTGAAAGAGGATTTTACCATTTCAAACTCTGATCCAACAAGACTGTTCAGGTACTCTTTGTGCCGAACGTAGAGCTGAAAAAATGAGACAGGACATTTAAAAAGAGAAGTTAAACTGCACATTTAAATAATATCATGTGGTTTTGGGGTCAGCTCTATGTTCCCACAAACCTATGTTCCCTCATTTCTAAGATTTTTCTATATCATATTGTAAGATTTTTCTCAAAATTAAACTCTAAGTCAAGTCATTTTTATTTTTATACCGCATTTAAAAGGATGATTCCGAGTCCTTTGCATCGTGACCTCTATATTACATCTGTAGTCAACTGCTACTGGATAACAGGCCCCAGCCAAATTGGGAGAAATGGGGATCAAATCTAATGCAAACTGATGATAAAGGAAATGTGGGAACATAGAGCTTAATTTTGAAAAAATAAAATAAAATAAAAAATAGAAATCAGGGAACATAGGGCTGTGGGAACATAGGCACGCTCCCATGGTTCCAGTTCATATTTCAGTGAGCTACAATGTATTGCAGTTTAAAAAAAATAAACAAATACATTTTTATTAATCTAAAAAACTGCTAACCCTGTAGTTTAGACCTTCACAAACATGTTCTGAAGTGCACTGGAATCTTGAATCAGTCTCAGATGTTGCTGCTGCTGGACATGTTTAAACTTGCATTGTGTAACGTTACTACAAAACAAAAGTTACAGTTATAGTTAACAAAAGTTAAAGCTACTACAAAACAACCTGGAATTTAATAAACATAAGATAGATCTGTTTAATGTCATAGCGTGGAACATTTCAGGCGGAGTAGTGACATCTCCACCAGAAAAGTTACACAGAGCAGCTTTAAAATGTGCATTCTCCAATAAAAAGTAAGATTTTGTTCAGAGCAGTAACATTTGAGAGAAAACTGTGACACTGACTGCTGTTTGTACACATCTGAAGTGTTAGCAGATTTGAAACATAATTACTGGATATTTTGTTGTTTGCTGAAGACATTTTGGATCAAGTCAAATGAAGCTCATGAGGTTAGCAGTTATAGGACATCAGGTTCATGTAGAGCGGGTTTATACGAACATTTTAAGCCCAACAAGGAGAGGCTCACAACAGCAGTTATACAGAAAGGGGCAACAAATTTTCAACGTAAAGTCAATTGGAGCCAGAGTTGATGCAGCCGAAATATAATTTGAAGGTGAAACTAAGATGGCATTGTAGTTTTTAGTGGACTGTTCTCAATGGCGCGTGGGCCCAAAAATAATATTCTCTTCTGCATTTATTTCCTCTGTATGGGCGTTTGGACCAATCAGAGTGAGAGCTGCTAGAGCGGAGCGAGTGAGGGCTCAGAGTGGGGCTCGGTTAAGTCTTACAAAGCAAAATTTTAGGCGCTTTGAGGATTTAAAAATTTGAAAATGTTTATGTTGTGAAAATAGAAAAGAATCCCTGTAAAATTTTTATCTTCGTGAAAGCTCTCGATGCCCTGTCAGCCGAACACAGGCAGTTTAAATCTCAAAAAAATGCATCGCGGTCTAGAGGAGAATTCTTTCTTGGCCCAAACTCCTGGGAGCTGCAGTACCCAGAGCGGCCACTAGTTGGTCTCAAACAGGGACAGAGGGGGAATGTCTTATCCAGCTTTTATTATAGATCCATGAGTCGGAAGTGCCCCAATGCTCACTTTCTACTTGGAACACGAACACAGTCACATCTTGACACACTCACATCTTTGTACATGTGGAGCTCTTTGTCCTGGTCCTCCTTCACCATGGCCTCAGAGACATTGTCCACTCGAAGACACCACACCTCCTTCTTGTCCCCATCAGTTACAATCCTGCGACACAGCACAAAGCACGTCAGCCCATCCACATGTGAATGCAACGAGGACATACTAACACAAATTCTACAGACATTACGTAAAGAAATCTGATACTGGCATCTGAAAGGGGTGCCAATACTGAAAAATATGTGCAATCTGATATCGGTTTCCAAATATTTGTTTAGCTGAGATCCTGTACTGGAGATATAAACAGATATAGTTAAGTATTTACATAAAGCTTTTCTTTAGGTACTTGTGAGAAAAACAAAGCTACATAACACATTTGGATCGGGTTTGTCTGCCGTGCTGTGAAACATTCCAGGCAAAACAACATTTTCATCTAGAAAGGAAGGTTTCAGACCATCCACCGAAAATCTTGAAGAATGATTTGAGAGTCACACACTACCTGTACGGCTCTTTTCCTTTGTTGAAGTCTGGTTTCACTATGACTGTTCCACTACCGTCTGTCTTTATGGTCAGCAGCAAACACTCATTCTGTTTTTCACCCAGCCTGAAACAAATACTGAAAATTAACATCAAACCCCAGAACCATCCAACCTTTAGGACAGAGCGGTACCTTCCTGGAGGCCCCAGGTCTGCCATGATGTGCATGGTCTGCATGGCAGAGTTGAGCACGTGACTGTTCCTGATGAACTCCTCTGACGGCTCCCAGTTTATGATTTTGGATTTGGGAACACCCATATCTCTGCAAGAACGAAATCAGATTCACCAGAGACTTTTAATACAGTGTCAGAATGAAAGAGGTGTGATAGGAAATATATTATTATATTACTAATTTTAGGAACCAACAAAAAGTCTAATGTAGTAAAAAAAAAAGTATTAAGTGTTGTAATATTGTGCTATGGGTAAGTATCCATCCATCCATTTTCTTCCTCTTATCCGGGGCCAGGTTGCAGCGGCAGCAAGAATGGCAAGTATGGTATGGACAAGTATTAGTAACTAAAAAACTTACATTACATTCTTTTGCTTTTAATAGACTCAGAGACAGCTTCTTCCCCAAAGCTGTCACCATACTGAATCATTATTACACTGAGAACTATTAATTTGTTTTATTTTTGTTTATTTCTTGCACTTTGACAAAGCAGCTCTAAATTTCATTATACTGTATAATGACAATAAAGTCTTTCTATTCTATTCTATTTTAAATGTCATAAACTAATTTGTATTTTCAGATACGAAGTCGACCTGTTCTGTCAAATCAAAAATCAAATACAACTTTTATTAGTAACAACTTGGTTACTAATAAAAGTAAAGTAAAGCACCTGCATCATGAATCAGAGCTAGTGCAGCCTCTGTAGCTCAGTGAGGGAATTTTGGAGGTTCTGAGATCTCACGTGAGGACTGTCCATATACTGAGAAGCTATCTGCAGGTTTAAGCACTAGTAACTCAAATTCAGTTGTGATTGTAGTACCATTTTATGATCGCACTAACATTGTGTATTTCTCTTGTTTCCTGTGCCTCACGTTAGCCATTCTCTCGGCCAGGAAGGTGGGGCCAGACTTACTCGTCGTCAGAGCATCTTCTGTGCATTGCTACAAAATAAAAGAAAAAAACATTTAGTCAATGTTGAATACAAATACATGTTGACTAACAGAGTACTCCACACCAGCTGGCTGAAGGGGAGCAGGTTGGTGTATCGATCGTGGTCGGTGTAGGTGAAGATTCGGATGTTGCGTCGCCCTTTGCCCCGGATCAGAGCTTTGATCTCAGAGTGATACTGCCGCTCCAAATGGCTCTGGCAGGCGCTCTCGTTTTGGAAGAGCTCGTATTCGTACTACACCAGCACACAGAAAGACAAGGAAAAGAGATTATCAGTGAATATAATTATGCAAAAATAAGAACAGAGAGTAGTAAACTACGGATGGGTCAGATCCTGTATAGGCTCCGATATCTGCGATCGGCGATAAGTTATAATAAGTTCACAAAGTAACTTAACATAAATGTGTGGGCCTTGGGGATGGGCCACACTTTTTGGTATGAATGCAATACCAAGTACTTTTGGGGTTATTTTTTTCTATACAGATACAAATACATGTCTAAAATGGACAACTAGCCTTAAGATGTTCATTTGTTTTGATATTTGCAGTACTGATACTTGCATTTGTACTAAATCAGTATTGATACTTCCATCTCTAGTCTTGATTTTAACATCTGCAAATACTGGTTATTGATATTTTGAAATGACATCACGCTGGGAGTGCCCTACATATATAATTAAAATACTGTCCCACTTCAGCTGTACGCTTTTAACTGTTTTAATAGTATTTCATTTGTTTATGTTGTTGTAAAGCGACCTTGAATGCCCAGAAAGGCGCCTAATAAATAAAATGTATTATTATTATTATTTATAATTATTAGGGATGTAACAATAACCGAAATATTGTGAGGTCGGATCATCAAAAGTCTCACAATAATATCGTGGGCTGTCACAATATATCAAATTACAAGTTTCTTTGCTTAAATGCCTTGTTTTACAGTAGCAGCAGCTTATAAACAGAGGCAACTACATATCCCATGATGCATTTCGGTGCAGACAACATGAAAAATATGTTTTTTTACTTGAATTCTTGGGATTATGATGGAAATAATTCACACTAAAATCTTGTCAAGGTATTATAAAAGCAAAAAAGTTTCCTATCTACAATTATAGTAGCCTCTCCAAAATATCGCAATAAATATCGTACCGTGAGATGCATATCGTGATAATACCGTACTGAGAGATTTGGATATAGTTAAATCCCTAATCATTATTATTACATGTATGGAATGTTCAGCAGTTGCCATGGAGACACATTAGCAAACACTGCCAGAAAAGTTTTAAGAGAAAAAATACCAAATTTTTCAGAGGCCTGTGATAAATACGAGCGTGCATGGTCCTGCTTAGGTGTTTGGTTTTCAACAAAAAAGTGAGCGTGACTAAATAAAAAACTGTTGCCTGATGACTATAATTGTGACTACAATGTGACTATAATTCTATGTGTGAGGGACTCATTTAACAACACAAAATCAGCTCACCTAAACCAACTGTTTCTGGCCAGATTGTGTTAAAACAAAGCGTAGATTAAAGTCTAGCAAGCCTCAGACAGAGCAGTGCTTACAGTCAGAATCACACCCTTAGGAAATGTTGCAATCAGCTGCAAAGTATCAGTCGGCCACAGGAGACAAACAGATATCGGACTTTGGTATCAGCTTAAAAAGATCCATATCGGACCATCCCTGTATTAAACCATTTGCATTTACCTGACTGAAGAGTTTTTCTTGCCAGCCAACCACCAGCTCTTCTTCACTGTCACCTAAAGAATGACATTTAAAAAAAAAATCAATCCTTCTCAAAACCACAGGACAGATGCTTGTGTGTGTTCTCTATCTGCAGGTTTAGGCACTGGCAACCCGGGTTTTGTAGTTCCTTTTTACAGTAAGACCAGTTTAGTCCTCATCTACTCCAAGTTTAGTTTCATGTTAGTCCCAATTTTTATGTGATGAATGCGTACAGTCCCTTTAAGCGTCTATGTGAGGGTGAAATTATCCTGTTACCTTTTTGTCCTGGAGTGGCAAAGGTCTCCAGCTCCACGTCCCCACTCTTCTTCTTCTTCTTCTTCTTCTTGGAGTCTTGCTGCTGTAACAGGACCTGCTGCTGGAGGTGCTGGGACAGAAAGGCCGTGGACGTGAGCCGCTCGATGCGCACCCTGGAAAGACAAAAACAAACAAGTTAGAAACCAAGCATGTTGTGTTGTTAAAGGTCCCTTGATCAACCCTGTATTATTAGTCTGTCTACATCTCCAAAGATCAATCTGCTCTGTTCCACCTGGTGATGTAGTAGAGATTGGCAATTCCAGAGCTGAAATGATCAAATCATTCTAGTGAAGGTGTCTGGAGTTTAAAAACACAGTGGAGCACTTCCTGTATTACCATGTGACATCAGAAAGTGGAGTGTTTTCCCTTCAGGAGCAGAACTCAGCCTAAATGTGCAGGATTTGTGTGTTAAACATGCGTATGAATGAAACAAAACACAACTCGTATGGTTGTGATGTGTAAACAACATTATAACATAGATCAGAAAAGAGTGTAATATGGGCCCTTTAAACTATAAAATACTGTAGGCAGATCAACATTTCAGGAACAATGTTATGGTTAAAAGCTTATAAAAATCCATTTTACATAAGTCGTATCTACAACTACAATCTGTGCAGACATAAATGGTCCTCAAATTAGATTTTGCCCATAGACTGTACATGATTTTTCCTGTTTATTACAAATGACTTGGCCTATGTTTAGGGTGATTTTCTTTGTGTTTTTTCATTTTAAACAGCTTTTCTGTATTTTACCTAAACAAATAACAGTTTATGCCTCTCTTTACTGTTGACAGGGATCAGATTGGTCAAAAATAGGGACACCTGTGACCTTTCTTGTATAAAACTGGGACAAATCAGTGGTGTTGGATAAATCTGCTGGGACAAGGGACACACAGGGCTCAAAACTGGGACTGCCCCGGGTAAACAGGGACGTCTGGTCACACTATTATTCTACCCACTACATTAAAATAGCAAAGATCTGCCCACTATTGCAAAGAAACTGCACACAGAATAAATACTGAGCCCCAAAATATATTATCCCAGCTTTCATACTGAACAATACATCGATAGACAGTGTTGGGAAGGTTACTTTTAAAATGTATTCCCCTACAGATTACAGATTACACACCTCAAAATTTGTACGTAATTCATTAAATTATTTAAGGTGAGTAATGTAATCTGAATACTTTGGATAACTTGATTTGCTGTAGAGAAGTAAAGATGAGGAAGGGTTAGCACAGCCTGATTTAGTCCTGTTAAATCCTGTTTTAGACCTGTTATAGTCCTGGTTTAGACCTGGTTTAGTCCTGGTTTAGTCCTGGTTTTAGTCCTGGTTTTAGTCCTGGTTTAGTCCTAGTTTAGTAACGATTTAGTCCTGGTTTAGACCTGGTTTAGTCCTAGTTTAGACCTGGTTTAGACCTGGTTTAGTCCTGGTTTAGTCCTGGGTTAGTCCTGGTTTAGACCTGGTTTAGACCTGGTTTAGACCTGGTTTTAGACCTGGTTTTAGACCTGGTTTTAGTCCTGATTTTAGTCCTGGTTTAGTCCTGGTTTAGACCTGGTTTAGACCTGGTTTAGACCTGGAAAATACCGCTGTGTAATCCATTTATTTCAACAAAGTAACTGTAATCCAGTTACCACTCACTGAAACAGTAACTGTAACGGAATACAGTTACTCATAATTTGTACATAACTCCGGTACATGTAATCCGTTACTCCCCAACACTGTCCAATAGAGTAATTACAGTGACAGGCTTACACACTAACCACTGTAAAATCATGTAAAATGTAGAGTAAATGGTCAGATTAGGCTATAGAAGTGTTGTTTACAGCTTTCTTACCTGATCTGCAAGTTTTTAATCACATCTCGGGTCCGGTAAATAGCTTCTCCCGTGTCTGTGTTCCACGAGTCCGCCATGCCGTGAACTTTAAACACCAAAAAGAACAATTCCCCCGCTGTGTGTAAAGTTTAAAAGGTATAAAATCGTAATTTATATCATAGAAAAGGGCGCTCGGCGTTAGCACGTTAGCAGCTGTTGAGGGTTGCGATGGTAACGAGATGGAAGCCGTTTTCTTCTGCAGTTAGAGCTGGCGCGCGCACTGCCACTTACTGTACAGGAGAGGTACAGCATAGCAAAATTCATTAAAACGTCAACAAACTTTATTGATCCACATGCAAGACAACAAAAAGGAACTGTTCTAGAATTCTTGTTTATTACTAGCCAAACAATTTATTCATAAATGCAAATTCTCAAATATAAAACCCTTGTTCAAGGTATATCATCATGAATTTTTGCAATTTAAGAGATCCTTATGTCACATTAAATCAAAACAAGCCGTTATAATAAATGATTTTATGCAGTCAGATGCATAAGACCTCTTGCATTGTATTTTATTGTATTAAAATTGCATTGTGTGTATTTGTTTTATAGTTTTATTTTATTTATTTTATTATTATTGTTAAAAAAAATGTAATGCACATGCTCAGTTATACATTTGTATTGTTGACATAAGATATTTTGTATTGCTAGCATTGATTAATAAAAAAAAACAAAAAAAAAAAAAACTTTATTGATCCACAAGGGAAATTATTTGGACACAGCAGCTCACACATCACAGCATATTATAACAACAAAGAGTAAAAAGTATAAATGGTAATAATAAATTCTAAATAAGTAGCAAAAATAAATAAATTTAAAAAAATGAAAAAGTAATAAAATATGAAAAAGGTCATTGGAAGACAGTGCAAAAATGATATGATGATTGGCAGAACATAGGCTAATATTGTACAGTTGTAGGGAGTATTATCTGTTACATAAGAGTGAGATTTTGTACAGTTGTAGGGAGTATTATCTGTTACATAAAGGAGAGTTGTTGTCCAGTTGTAGGGAGTATTATCTGTGACATAAGGGTGAGCTGTTGTGTAGTTGGAGGGAGTATTATCTATTACATAAGAGTGAGCTGTTGTGTAGTTGTAGGGAGCATTATCTATTACATCAAGGAGAGTTGCTGTCCAGTTGTAGGGAGCATTATGTGTTACATGAGGGCAAGTTGTTGTATAGTTGTAGGGAGTATTATCTGGACAATTTATGCTCCTCTTTACTGTTGGTAGGGATCAGATTAGTCAACAATTGTGATAGTCCTCTTTTAGTCCTGGTTTAGTTTTAGTTTAGCCCCGGTTTAGATCAAATCTGTCAAAAATAGTCACCAATACAGATAGATGTAGAACACCCCCAGCGCGATGTCAACGCAAAGTATCTATAAAACTGAAAACAAACACTGAAACGAAATTTTGTAAATGCTTTATTCTGTCTGTGCAGCTTTGTGTCAGTAACAAAATCAAACATTGCAGAAACGCTTTGGTCAGTTATAATATTTGGAATGTTATACAAAAGATGGCACGTTTTCATGCTTCAACACAATCATTTTTCATTTTTTAGTTTTTTTTTTTTTTTTGGCATGAAATCCTGCATTTAACACACACTGAAAGAAAGTCATGCTAAGTAACATTTGCTCTTCCTTTATCAAGAAAATATTGCAGGTCCTACATTACGCAAAATGGACTCCTTCAAAAACGTACCGAGTTGTGTTTTGTTTTGTTCACCCATGTTTGTTACACTTTGTGATGTCATTCAGTGGTCGTTAACTGCTAAATACTGAAATATAATACAATAACCCTACACTATTGCCCTGTCTAAAGTATTTTTTGTTATTGTTTGAGTTTTCCACAGAAAGTCTACGGTATCTTCAGGTGCGCCGAGAAGCAAAGACATTTCAACGAGGCTAAAAGAATCACTTCAAACTTTGTCTGAAATTAAGGCTGTGGAATTAATTAAATTTTGATTTCTATTTCGATTTGTGTCTCAATTAATCTCCTAACTCATATAATCAAGTGGAAACCATTTATAAAGCTTAACAAAGTTCATTTTGGGATATTTTTAATATACATTTTTAAATATAGAGATTGTAGAACTACTGGATATATAGTTTATTTTGGACATATTTATGTTTTTCTATGCCTTATTTCATGTTCAGAGTAACTTTTATTCATTTTATGTTATGTAATGTACATATTTGTAGCCTACATTTATTTTCAATTTGAAAGTTTTGCGTAAATTATCAGTAACAAAGTGTTTTTTTGAGAGAGAAATACATCGTGTAAGTAAAAAAAAAACAAAAAAAAAGACTTGAATAATCATGATCATAATTTTTTTCCATAATTGAGCAGCCCTAGCTGAAGTTATTCCAATGATTCTAGCGACGGTGTACGGAGTTTAAAAACAGTTAAGCGATTCCTGTATTACCACTTAATGTAATACATGTTGGAACAGAGCGTTTTGAATTTGAGAGAAGAGAACATGTGTGAATGAAACAAAACACAACTCCAGGTCTGTTTGTGATGAGGAGGATCAAGAATTTGCATAATATAGATCCATAAAAAGGTGCACTACTGTATGTAACTTATTCATAGCGGATTGTTTCTATGGAGATGGCCTGGAATGTTCCACAGTATGACTTTAAACAGCTCTACTTTACATTTATTGAATTATACATGGATTTATAGCTCAAAAATATCTAGAAAAACAACATTCTGACAGTGAGCGGGGTCGCCTCTCCACAGATCTGACCTGTAACTTTGTCTGGTTTGGTTTCCATGAAGATTTAATAAAGGTTTAATGCCATACTATGAAACATTCCAGACAAAGCAATAACATCTCCATCAGAAAAGTTACAAAATCCACCTTGAAGTGAACAAAAGCAACATATTAATAATAATTTAAAAAGCAGTATTTTTGACAGTAACTTGCACAGTGAAGCAGCAGCACCAGATATTTGTGCAGTAGAGGCTTGAAAAATACACGGTAAAAGTATAAAAAAGTATTTGAATAAGACGTTTAGAAAGCGCCTCCACTTTAGGCTTACATTACTCCATGTCATATGAGCCGAGCTGGGAAAAGTGCTTGTGAGTATATAGCCCTCCTCTCACAGTAAAGAGTCTGAAGTTACAGAACAGCTGAGGGGCCTCGAATGCACCATCAGTATAAAGAAGGCAGAATGGGCTATGGTCTATGTTAAATGTGCTACACTATTTAAGACAATTTGTTTCATCAGATTTTAATTGATTGATTTTAAACGCCGTTGACTTTCTCACTGTTGAATTTTTTAACTCTGAAAACATCTTTGAATTATTTTTAGTAAGTAAATAAGTTTTTATTTATGTAGCTCTTTTCAAAGACGCTTTACAGAGCATTATCCAGTCACTCCAGACCTGGTGGTGATTAAGCTTCTATTGTAGTCACAGCTGCCCTGGGACAGATTGACGGAAACAAGGCTGCCAATCTGCATCATCCGCCCCTCCGACCACCACAATCACTCACGCTCCACTTTCGGCAATGTGTGTGAAGTGTTTTGCCAAAGGACGCGACAACAGTTTTTTTTTTTTTTTTTTGTGTGACTGGCGCCCCCCTGTGGCTCCTGATTTTCCCAGCGGTCTCAAATGCAAGTACTAACCAGGCTCGGTCCTGCTGCACGTCTGAGATCTGACGGGAGCGTGGTATGGCTTTATTCTAAATTTTAGTTGCTGAAATTTCAAGCGTACATTTTCAAAGTTTAAAGATGCTTTACAGATCATTATTCATTCACTCCAGAACCCGGCGCCTCCGACCACCACCATCACACACGCTCTATTTTCAGCAATGTGGGTGCAGTGTCTTGCCTAAGGACACGACAACAGTTTTTGTGACTGGCGCCCAGTGGTCTCCCATCCAAGTACAAACCAGGCCCGGTCTTGCTTAGCGTCTGAGATCTGACGGGATCAGGCTTTGACAAGCTCCTATGGCTTTATTCAAAATTTTAGTTGCTGAAATTTCAAGCGTACATTTTCAAAGTTTTTAAAATTCAATATAAAAAAGAAATTGCCTTTTAAATATTCACCGCAAACAGAGTAAAATTAACAATGAAAACAATTCTCAACAAAGATCCAAGATGCCAAGGCAAAAGCAATCGATCCAGAGTGATCCAATCTAATTTAATAAACAAGTAAGAAATGGTGTAGTGAAGCGATCTTATTTGTCAGAATTAGCCTCATCAAAACCTCAACTCTTTTATTTGTAAAGTGTAACCCCGCCCACAGATGAGAACGACCAATAGGAAACTGCCTCTGTCCTCCTTAGGCTGATAGGATCGATTCCTTAGGACTTGGCGTCTTAGTTCTTTGCTGTGAACATTTTCATTGCGAATTTTACACTCTGAATTTTGACTGTTGTATTGGAGGACTTAAAAATATGTGTGCTGAATGTTTGACCTCTTAAGCTCCAAGGCCTTATTCTCGAATTTACCAATGTATGACAACTCAAAATAAAAATAATTCAAACATCTTTTTAAAAAATTCTAAGTGAGAAATTCAGCTGCATTTTCAATCCAAAATCGAATGGAACTAATCCACTTCACGACTACAAGCAATCGTCACAGTGAGAAAGAAAATACAGGCACATATAATAGTAAAAGTATCGATTATGGTACTGATACTGATAACAGTTCGATATTGGTTCAGCTCATCTCCTGGTTGAGCCTACTGATACTTTGCAGCTGATCTCATCAATTTTTCCAGAGGGTGTGATGCCAACTGTAGTTGAGGGCTTGGTATCATTAAGAAGTTGCCAATACGATACATAAAATCGATACATAGGTCACGATACGATACATGTGTCGATACGGCGCACTTTCGATTTGATACGGTTCTGAAAGCTCATAAAAAATGATTGTTTAAATCTATTTTCTTCCATTTTTTCTTGCGTTTTCAGACAATCTTTAAACTTTTTTTTATGTCTGTTTGCTCCCGTGTGCATTGCGTCTCCGCGGCAACCCCTAAACTTCCTACCCTTAGAGATACACGTAGAACACCCCCAGCCTGATGTCACTGCAAAGTATCAATACATTCACGTTATAAATCTATTTTCTTATCGACGTCGGCCCAGAACATCTCATAATGTTTGAAGTTTTATTACACAAAGCTTTTACTTGAGGTATGAACGACGCTACAGAACATTTTTGGACTTGTTTTGTCTTTTGTTATTTTAGTTTTAAGGACATAAAAATGCTATTGTCACTCCCTGCACGGGTATCGGTTGAAATCAGGTAGATACTTAAAGCCAAAGCATCAAAATTGGTATCGAAACTAAAAATCGATGCATCTTAAACGACGACAAGAATGGCTGGTTTCTGAAGTTGTAAACATTGTAAACTTTTTTTTTCATTAAGTGCCAAAATAAAGGATTCTATAATTATCTATATCGCAAAATGTACTTACTGCTATTTAACCCATGAATAATACTACAAATACTGATACTATTTCCTTGCTTAAAGTGCATATGACAAGTATTTCTGTTGTTTTCTAATTACTTAATTCAGAGGGGTAGTATCTCTGGTGAATATTTATCATAGTTTTATATAAATTAAGTGTTGGTTTGTGGGAAATGTTGACAAAAAAGCACAAAAATACAGGAAGTAGAGCTGAGTTTTACTTCTTGTCGACACTAAAAATGCCATCCAAAATGTAACGCCAATTTACACAAAAGGAAGGTATACATGCATCATGAAAAGTCCAAAATTCACGATGCATTTATTTTCTGACAGTTTAAACCTCGATTTAATAAAATAAAAGATGTTGTCATTTATTTTTATTAGTCTGATCATAACTATTGTGTAATTTCAAAGAGTTTTTAATAATGTAAAGTAATTTTCACAAGAAGGGAAGTAAAATTATAAACTTCACTTAAAAATAAAAATACAAAATAGTTCCTTTTTTTGTGAAATCTTAAATATATAGCTGTTTTATGTTTATGTTTTAGTGAAAGAGTAGTCTTACTGTCATATGCATTTTAACTCTCTACTGAAGTTTACTTAAGTTAATTATTTAAGCACTTTTCACCTTTGGGCACGCTTAGAATAATTAGATTACAAAGACAAAAATCCATATTTGCTGGGCTAATATTGTGAAAATGAGGCTTATGGGTAAAAACTGCAGCGAAGTCTAAAAGGAAAACAAAGATAAAAATATATTTGTGCTTCCCCTGGAGGCCAAGTCCCAAGTAAACACATTTTTCACCAACTGTAAATGGAACTAGCCTGTGCTGCTTTGTGCCCGTTTATGTGACTCCAAACCACATTTCAACTTTTGTTTAACTTTGAGTCCATTTAGTTTCAACAGTTAAACCTTTTACATGTCTATATAAAGTTGTCTTGTAAACTTCGGCGGTCTTGTAAAAAGCTGGTTTGCAAATGAGCATGTTTGAAGTAAAAAGGTTAACAAAGACTGTGTTTAAAATAAAAGGTAGATGAGCCTGGCTGTCCAGCTCTATCACAGAATTAAGACATTGATTTGAGATTAAAGGCTGAAATATTTATATAAAGGGTCGAATAATTAAAGGGCCCATATTACACTGTTTCCTGATCTGTTATGATGTTGTTTCCTCATCAAAAACTTTGGTTCATTCACACAAACTCTGCATATTTAGGCTGAGTTCTTCTCTCAAACTGAAAAAAAAAACACAAAAAAACACGTGCTTCCACCTTGTGATGCTCCACTGTGTTTTTAAACTTCACACAACTTCACTATTATTTGGATCAAAGTAAAAAGAAAAAAAAAACAGAAAAAAAACTAACCGCTTCATAGGGCAGACATATCAAATTCAGGCCCGGGGACCAAATTTGGCCCGCGATATAATTATATTTGGCCCGCGAGATCATTTCAAACATGTATAAGAGCTGCCCACCGGCTACAGATAGACTATAGAGACATTATTTATTTAAAATGTTGTTATTTTATATTTTGCTTGTTCTGGCTTCAGTGTTAAAGCAAAACTATTATTAAACATCTATTTTAATAAGAAAAGGTTTAACATTACATACATCAATAATACATCAATAAATATTTAGTTTGGCCCACAACTTCCAAAGTCCCAGTTTTAAATTTTGGCCTCTGTGAATTTGAGTTTGTCTCCCCTGATGTAGGGTGACCAGATTTTCAAAATTAAAAACTGGGACACTCCTGGTTTGTGATGGTTGGTAATAATAAAAAGTGCATAATTAAGCAAAATTGTTCTGCACTTGGCACTAACATGACTCAGTATAGTCACATTTTACTTTGTGTTTTGGTCATTTTTACAGAGCATTTCTGTTTTTTACCTAAACAGATGGCAATTTATGCCTCTCTTTACTGTTGGCAGGGATCAAACTGGTCAAAAATAGGGACACATGGGACATTTCTTGTATAAAACAAAGACAAAGATAAATCACTGGTTTTGGACATATCTGCTAGGACAGGGGACACAGGGCTCAAAACTGGGACTGGTCACCCTAGCTTCATGACATCACAAGGTGGAACAGAGCATTTTGAGCTTTGGAAATGCACACGGAATAATAACAAAGTGCTACTCAAACATGTGTGAATGAAACAAAACACAACTCTAAGTGCCTAAAACCTCGCAGGAGTTAATTTTGTGTGATATAGGACCTTTAATAAGTCTTGAATATTGTGGTTTCCTGCTTTAATTTTCATATTTAGTAAAAAAAAAAAAGTCCTCTGAACTTCTTCTAAATCAAAAGCTTTAAGACTAAACCAGTGAACTTTGCATTGCCGCGGTTGGTTTGATTTGGTATTTTGATAAGCGAGTTGCTTGCTTAACTCAAAGTTTCATCGTTGCAACATTTGAGCATTCTCACGACTTGGCATTTGGAAGATGGCGCAATTTTGGTTGATCTTTGCTGTTCAGGGCGTGTGCTGTTGTTGTCACATATGTAAACAAACATGGACTGGTAATTAATGGTTACAGGCTAGTAAGTTTATCCATATTGAGGCATATAACTCTAAAGAAGTTGTCTTTAAGGCTAAATAAATACTAGTAATCTGATTTTTGACGTTCTGTTCAGTAAAATTTGTTAAAGGGGATCATGTTGCGCTGTTTTCTGATCTGTTATAATGTTTCCTCATCACAAACAGACCTGGAGTTATGTTTTGTTTCATTCACACATGTTTAACTCACAAACCCTGCATATTTAGGTTGTCTTCCACATTGTGATGTCACGTGGTAATACCAGAAGTCCTCCACTGTGTTTTTAAACTCCATATGCCTTTACGAGAATCTTCTGGAGAATTTCAGACATCACTACTAAACAAAAAGAGCTGTAAACTTGAAAACTGCAGCTTCATGACATCAACAGGTGGAACAGAGTGAATGAAACAAAATACAACTCCGGGTGTGTTTTTGAGGAGGAACTAGAGGCAGTATGAAGTGACTAGCTGGCAACCATTACAATTAAACTAATCGCTGTTAAAGTCCAATGCGACTCATTTGGGCTTCCGGTAATTTACGCTATTAGGTTTTTTTTTCAGACTAAGAGTTTTTTTCATACCTGACTGCTCACTGTCGTCTTCCTCAGAGTCAGGTGATGTTGCTGTGATGTGTCCGATCAGCTGATTTAAACAGATTTTGGCGCCGTCTTCCTACCGGTGGAGGCAGGACAACAGCGCCATCTGCAGTCCGACTTCCACAGGACAGTATCCCAGGTGTGTGAGTAAAAAAGCCCCTAAACAGGTGCGCGCACAAAGCAGAAGAAGAACAACTCAAATCGGCCATTTCTGACCGCTGTAAAAGAGAGAACCACATTCTGGACTGGAACGGAGCAAACATCATTGGGACAGAGGAAAACAAACATCCTCGCTGGATTAAAGAGGCAATCAAAATACAGAAACGTGCCCACGGGACGATAAACTGGGACAAGGGGGCTTTTTTACTCTCACACACCTGAGATGCTGTCCTGAGGAAGTCGGTCTGCAGATGGTGCTGTCGTCCTCCCTCCACCGGTAGGAAGACAGCGCCAAAACCTGTTTAAATCAGCTGAGCAGACACGTCGCAGCAACTTCACATGACCACTCTGATGAAGACAAAACTACAGAAAACAGAATAACATAAATCACGGTTATTTTTTTTACTTCCATCCGCAGGCAAGTTTGAAATATGGAGCTACTGAATTAAACTTTAAAAAAACAAAACCACGTACAAATCAGAGGTAGCCGATAGCAGTATGAAACAAACCACTGGCCAGTCAAGTTTAAATTCATAACCAAGAACTTATACAACTGTTTTTACTACTGTGTTTCCTGGAAATGTTGGCAAATTGTTAAGACTTCTCAGCTTTTCAAAATAGTTTCAGTGCACAGATGAACGTGAACAATCTGTGTATCATTTGTTCATTCTTTTTTCAAAGTAAAACCAAAAATAAGAAAATGAAAAGAGAACAGTTTTCTTAATTATTTGTCTCCAAAACCAAAATGAAAAAACAGATAAGGATTTGTTGGTTTTTTTTCAGTTTTTGATTTTGTGTTTAAATAAAAAATGGAAAAAACTTTTAACGACCATTTCCCGTTTCAGTGACTTAAACTGTGATGCTGAACTGAACCAGGACTGAAATAGGACTAAAACAGGACTATAACAGGACTAAATGAGGTCTAAACTAGGTCTAAACCAGGTCTAAACCAGGACTAAACCAGGACTGAACCAGGAACCAGGTCTAAACCAGGTCTAAACCAGGTCTAAACCAGGTCTAAACCAGGACTGAACCAGGACTGAACCAGGTCTAAAACAGTTCTAAAACAGGACTAAACCAGTTCTAAACTAGAAAAGCACTCAGAGAGCGCAGACCTCCGCAGACTACCCCCATTCAGTCCTGGTTCAGTCTGGTTCAGTCCCTGGTTCAGTCCTGGTTCAGTCCTGGTTCAGTCCTGCATCGCAGTTTAAGTGACGGGAATGGAAAACGAATTGTTATCCGTTTTTTTTTTTTTTTTCATTTTGGTTTTGGAGACAAATAATGAAGAAAATACTTGTTTTTTCGTTTTCTTATTTTTGGTTTTAGTTTGAAAAAACGAATGAACGAATGATACACGGATTGCGACCGCTGCCCACCACTGTGCAAAACTTACAGTGAATTTAAATGGCTATCAAGACCAGACAGATAAATAAAAAAAAAAATCTTATCTTTGCAACTATAATTTGGTTTGACTGAATTCCCTTTTCTGTATGTACACTCTCTCTTTTTGAGGAATCCTGCATTAGAAATTTAAGCTGTCCATCTTTCACTTTGAAGAAAACAACAAACATCTGTTCAAATGATTGGCGTCTTCTCATATGGCACATCTGAAAACTCCCCCAACCAAAAATAGTCTGAAAAACTGTGACGTAAGTAGCCCTTTTATGTAACAAATCCCTCCTGTGTTCCTTAAATTCCACATAAAGAATAAATATAAGTGAGTAGCCAAGCAATTTAAAGTCAACGAAGGTTTTAAACGTGTTGTAGCCCTCTTTCGTGACCGTCCAACTGGATTTTTATCTTGTGCAATTCCTCTATCTCCTGGTGGTGGCGCTCCGTCTTGTGGCGCACCAGCGAACGATAAAAATGAATCGTGAAGAGCACAAAAATCACTCCCACCGGCACCATTATGATCGTAGACGCCAACGCAGCCTGCCACCCGCTGTCCTCTTCTGGAGTTTTTGTAGGCTGTGATTTTGGGTCTTTTGGCTCTTTTCTGGCGCCGACGGGGAGGAATTTTATCCAGCACAAAAGGACGACTTCGGCCAGGAACAAAAGGATGCCCAGCGCGGTGGAAAAGCCCCAGGCAAGCTCAATGTACTGGTGCATGCGTTCGTGGGGGCTCTCGCTGACGGAGTTGAGGTTGTGGATGTTGCTGACGGCTTCCACGTTCGGCAGGATGCAGGTGCTGATGAGGAGGGCGAAGAGGTGGACGGCGACGAGCACGGTGGTACAAACGCTGAAGGCGATCAAGAGCACCCGAGGGTAACTGTACTGAGTCTCCAGCTGCACCTCCACCATGGCCACCTGTGACAAAAAGCTGCCTGTTAGAAGTCGTCTTTTCATGGTGTAACTTTTCTGGTGAAACATCCAACAAATGCTTTTCTCCATGGAGATGTTAATGCTTTGAATGTTTCACAGGATGGTATTAAACATTTCTAACTTCATGGACACCAAACCAGACTAAGTTACAGGTCAGATCTATGTAGAGGCGACTCTGCTCACGGTCAGATTGCCTGTTTTTCTAGGTATTTTTGACCTGCCCGCAAATCCCGCAAAATGGGGTTGTTCGCTTTCTTAAGCTCTATCACACAGAGAAGGGAAAGGAATTGTCTAAAACGTGCGCGAGATTAGACCACATCCGCAAATTTAGGCTGCTTAAAATATTTTTATTAATGCCAAACAAAATATTTAGCACAAATGTTGTATGATAGGCAAACATTAATCATTTGTATACTTTACTCTGCGATCATATTTAGTTGGTGGGACTGCAGTTTATCAAAGGCCTGCAATGGGGTTTCAAAATGTACCCCGCGACGCACTGTTTTGTGTCGGGTTCCCTCGGAGTGCAGTGCTCTATTATAAACCACCTGTAACTTAGTAGATGTATGGTACGACTGTTTAATGTCATACTGTGGAACATTACAGGCAGAGTAATGACATATCCATTAGGGGTGTAACAGTACATGTATTTGTGCCGAACCGTTTTGGTACGCGACATTTGGTTTGGTGAGCAGCAGTGCTTGAGTGAATTCACGCAATTTGTGTGTGTTTACATTCTGCCACTACATGTGCAGCTACACCGAAGGCTCAGCTCTTTAATATTCATGAGGGAACTCCGAATATTAAAGGAATATTAAAGGAATCCCGCCCCATACCCTGCTGGAACTGTTAGTGCTGCACTTTACTTTTTGAAAAGTTTTGTTTACTGTTTACAAGGAATTTATTTTTTATAACATTTCATACATTTGTTGCTTATTTGAGAATATTTTATTTAACTTATTAGTATAAAAGTGAAAAAATGCATAGCACACTATTTTCAAAATAACGGTTTGGCAAAAAAAGGATTCATTGCTTTGGACCACAAAAATATCTGATGAAGGCTTTTTTTTTTTTGCCGAAATGTTATTTTGAAAAAAAAAAAAAGCTTTTGAACATCGGACATCTGAGTGTGATATGCATTTTTTCACTTTTGTCTTGCTGCTCCTTGCATTTGCACCTCTACAAGAATTTTGGTGTGCATTTTCGGTTTCTTTTAACTTATTAGTATAACCAAGCAGCACTTTGCATTTACTTTATTTTCCTGTTTGTATAATGTTAAAACAAATTGTTGGTTTGATAAAAACACAAATAAATAACAAGGAAATGGTTTTGCATTTTGATCCCATACTGTACCGAAAATGAACTGAAAGACGAGGTTCGTACCAAACCATGATTTTTGTTTACTGTTACACCCCTAATATCCATACAAACAAGCAAGTGATGGAAGCCTAAACAAAAAGTTACACAGTGCACCTTTAAATGACCCATATTAGGCTATTTTCAGTTCCATGTTATAATGTAATATTTCTTTATCAAAAACAGACCTGGAGTTGTGTGTTTTTTTTAAATCACATTTTTAATGCACAAATCCTGCATATTTAGGCTGAGTTCTTTTCCCAAACTGAAAACATCATGTGGTAATTCAGGAAGTGCTCCACTGTGTTTTTAAATTCCTTTCCTTCACTAGATTCAGCCCTGGAACTGCCAATCTCCACTAAACTAAAATGTAAACGCTGGCTGTTAACTTGACTTTTACTTGTTACTTTTGACAACCCTAATGGTCTGTATGTTTATTTTTCATTTCAGTTTTGATATTAGATTCAAAACAAAGTAGTTAAATACACAAAGTAGTATTTGCATTGTAAACTGCCACAACTAGACCAAAACCAAACATCTGCCAGTACATATATGGTATGGCTTTGTAACTTGCTATGTAAACTGTTTTGGCTGAAGCTACGCCGCTACAAAAAAAAAAAAAAAGTAACTCTTGTGACCTTTACTCATGTTTAGCTAATTCTTCAGCTATGCACAGCTCATATGTCTCAGAAACATTCAGTATTTTCTGTTCAAAGGAAAGGAAAAGCAGCAGTGACTTTTTTTTTCTGAAAAAAATTTATTTTTTTTAAATTCTGAAATGTAATATACAGAAGTCTTTATCTGGATATTTGTCACAACATAAACATTTACTATACATTATCAGTCAAATGTTTGGACACAACCTCTCATTCGATGTTTTTTTTCTGTTTTTTTCGGTTTGGTATTATAGTTTTTTAACATTCAAAATCCTGTCAGTGCATTTATTGTAGTCTCTTTTAAAGAAAAGGCGCAGACATTTGGAAATAATCATAATAGCCTCATGATTACTTAACAGAAGGCTGTAGTTGCGTGAAAGAGAAACTAAAATTCCATGACTTTTCCAGGATATCCATGACTGTGAGAACCTTGTATATGGAAGTATTTAGTAAAGACAAAACGGTAAATAACTCTACTAAATATTTTTCGCCAAAACAAAGGGGGGCTAAACTGTGTCATTCGTTTGTGCTTTGTTTGTGCTGCAAAAAATTTCATTTGTGCTCCTTTCGTTTTTGAGAATTTATTCAAAACAGCATGAACGTTTCATATGATTTTCTGCCTGTTTTGAGACTATTTAACATGTTTAGGGGCTGGATGACGTCATCGTACGAAAATAAAGCTGCCAATATCTTAAGAACCATAATCACACAAATAGGAAACTTTTTGCAGCACAAAACAGCACAAACGAAGCACAAAGATAGACATAGTTTTTGTCTAGGTGTGCGTTTGATGGGGGTAAAACATCGCAGAGATTGCACTACCACATTATTTTTATTTAGTCAATTTTGTGTGTGTGTGTGTTTGGGGGAAGGGGAGGGTTAGAGGTGGGAAGCTTTGTTGTTTTACGTTTCTTTTATGTTTTTGTGTCTTGTTTTCATGTTTATTATTGTATTGTTTAATGTTATATTCTATTGTTTTCAACATAGACAATAGAATATAACCCCCCCCCCCCCCCCCCCCCCCAAGTTCCTTTACTGACCATAGCAAACCCTGAGAGCAGTGCAGAGGTGCGGCTGGACGCCTTCAGTTTGGCCCGGCTCAGGTAGAGCTTCCTCCAGGACAGGGCCTGCACGGAGTGGTGGTTGGAGCTGACCAGTTCCAGGTAACTGCGTCTCACCCAGTCCCTGTAGTCCATGCCCACGTCGTCAGGAGGCTGCTGCCCCACGGACGGAGACGGGGGGCCCATGGGCACGTTCAGCTCGCTCATGATGTCTGCCGGGAACAAAGGATGAAGGGAAAAGTTAGTTTCAATATAAATCATAAAGGCTGCCATTTTTGAAGCACCATAATTTCACAGATTTCACACATATTTTTCTTAGTTTCTGAAAGTTTTAGTCCATGAATGCTTTGCATGTATGCGGACACCATGTTTTCAAAAATTCATTTTGTGAAAATAAGGAAGAAGATCATCACAGACTTTGGATATGTTAAAAACAGACATCTAGTCTTTCAATTATCTGTTGGTGGGTGCTATCATTTTTTGGTATAACATGGTAAAGATGGCACCAAATGTATTTTTTTCCATTTTTGACACTTAATATCTTCTACAGCATTCAGCACAGAGGGGCAGTTTTAAATTATAAAGTCCACAGCATGTGTGGAAAGGTGTATGTTCACTATCAAACCTCTGTCTTTGAAAGTGCACTTTCCACAGTCCTTCAAAGATGCCCTCATATTTGAAGAGGAGAATTTTCAAGCAAATTCAAGCCCCCAGAAATTTGTGATAAATCAAAAGCACATACATATAAGCCAGAGTTTAACCCTTGAAAATTTGAAGGATCTGCTTAAAGCTAAAATTTGGGACTTTTCCTATTGGAAAGTGTGTGAACCTCCAAGAATTTTTTCAGTCAAATCTAAGATGGTCGAGCAGGGCCATTCGGACATTTGGCCTGGAATGACCCTTATGTTCAGCAGATCAACAGTTACAACCAGCTGCCTGTAAGTGACATCGAAGACGCGATTAGAGTCATGTCCCCCATGGAAAGCTTTGGCAGGTTGTGAAGATGCTGCTGCTGAATCCATGGTTTAATCACATGCCCACTGTTGGTAACTACACCGAAAGTCGTCATCTGCATGTTTACAAAGTCTTCCCGTAGGCGTGAATAGAGCCTATTGCAATAAAAAATATACGCACGATAAATATTGAGCCCCAAAATACACTACCAGTCAAAAGTTTTAGAACACCCAAAATTTTCCACTCATTTATTCAAGTCGTGCAAGTCCAAAGAAGAGCTTGAAATGGTACAAAGGTAAGAACTGAACAGCCAGAGAGTAAAAAAAAGATAAAAGATAACAAAACACAAGTCCAAGCTCTGCCAAAACTACCTCAGGAAAAAAGAACAAGACGGTAAAGCTTGAAAACATGGAGTGTCCAGCACAGTCTCCAGACTTAAACCCCATCGAGCTGGTTTGGGATGAACTGGACAGAAGAGTGAAAGTCAAGAAACCTACAAGTGTCACACATTTATGGGAACTTCTGCAACAGACTTGGGAAGAACTTTCTGAAGAATATTTGATTTCTACTGTAAAAAAGCCATGAGTGTGTTTGTTATATCTGTCAAAGGTGGACACTTTAATGAATGAAAAGTTTAGAATCCATTTTGGTTGACAGTAAACAGTAAAAAACTGGAAAAAGTGTGGTGTTCTAAAACTTTTGACCAGTACTGTATATTGTTGAACGATAAGTCGATATAGAAACAATCGTGACAGGTCTATGTACAAACCTTGGAAGTATAATAAGCTCTGGAAGATGAACTACAGTACAGATGGTGGTGTATTGGTTTCAGTAGCTCAGGCTCATGAGTGCATGAGGCCTAAAATGATTTTCTACTTGCTCAGCGCTGCCCACTGTGAGATGACAGAAACCAGAGCAGAGCTAGCACATAGGTTATTCTGGTTTTAAAAGAAAATAAAGTATTTTTAGTCCCTGCACTGGTATTGGTTTAAATCAGGACAATTTAAAAGTCATATATTATGTAAAATTGACTCCTGGAAGTGTTTAGCCATGTTCTAATGTTGTTACCTACACAAAAAACATAACTGGAGTTCTGTTTTGTTTCATTCACATACGTTTGAGTAAACCTGCATCGTTAGGCTGTCAGTATCTCCAAAGCTCAAAATGCTCTGTTCCAACTTGTGATGTCATTTAATGGTAGTTTTTAAGTTAACAGCTACCTTTTACCTTTATTTAAGCAGAGATGGACAATTTCAGGGTTGAAATTATTCTAGTGAAGGCATATGGAGTTTGAAAACACAATAGAGCCTGTATTGCCCATGACATCACAAGGTGGAAAGAGGATTTTTTTGTTGAGAGAAGAACTCAGCATAAATATACAGGATTTGTGTGTTAAACATGTGTGAATGAAACAAAACAAAACACAACTCCAGATATGTTTGTGATGAGGAAATAATATAACATAGACCTGAAAATAGTGTAATAGGTGCATTATGTAGCTTTTTGGTTGGCGTTATTAGGCTCATTTTTTCAGACCAAGATTTTGTTTTCATAAATGACAGTTTCGTCTTCCTCAGAGTGGTCATGTGATGTTGCTGTGATGTGTCCAGTCAGCTGATTTAAACACAGAAGCTGATTTAAATGTGCCCACAAGACAATAAACCGGGATGAGGGGGCTTTTTTACTCTCACACACCTGGGATACTGTCCTGAGGAAGTCGGACTGCAGATGGCGCTGTCGTCCTGCCTCCAGCAGTAGGAAGACAGCGCCAAAACATGTTTAAATCAGCTGACCAGACGCGTCACATCAACATCACTTGACCACTCTGAGGAAGACGAAATTGTCAGGTATGAAAACAAACTCTTGGTCTGAAAAAATGAACCTAATAAAGCCAACCAAAAAGCTACATAATGCACCTATTACACTATTCTGAAGAAGACCACAGTGAGCATCTAAACTGTCAGGTATGAAAACAAACTCTTGGTCTGAAAAAAGAACCTAATAACATAAATTATCGGAAGACCAAACGAACCTTATTGGACTTTTTGGTTGGGGGTTTGTCACTTGCTTGTTTCTGTGGATATGTAACTGTTCTGTCTGGAATATTACTTAATTTTTTTTCAATTACAGGTGGTTTTACGGCTCAAAAACATCTAGAAAAACAGGCATTCTGACTGTGAGCGGAGTTGCCTCTCCACAGATCTGACCTGTAACTTGGTCTGGTTTGGTCCCCATGAAGATAGAAAGATTTAATACCATACTGTGCATACTGTGAAATCTTCCAGACAAAGTAATAACATCTCCATGTAGAAATATATTTGACAAACCCTCCACCAGAAAAGTTACACAAAGCACCTTTAAATAAACCTCTTTTTGGATCAAAGTGTAAACACATAGCAGCTTTGTTTTTGTTTTGATGAAAAATTAAAGTTTCCTGGCTAATGTCCAGTCCATTTTTGCTGTTATAATTTTTTTGTAATGAAATGTGGAGTCGTCTGAAGGCCTGAGTCTGAGCGCTCTTGGGAGTTCATGTCAAAAATATGAATCTAATATGGAACAATAATAAGCAGTTTAAAGCTTTCCCATAACAGCTCTTTGGCTCAGGTCCAAGAAAAACATAACTCGATATTTAATTATTAAAAGACCTCACATTTACATTCTCCTAAACAGACTAGGGTCATCAAAAGTATCAAAAATCAGATACTAAACGATACTGAAACTTCTGAGTGTCGTGTCTATTTCTTAATATCAAAATTGAGTTTGAAATTTTAGTACTGTAACAACCCTAATTGAGAACAGTAAATAGTTTTAGGTTCATTATTTACAAGCCTAACACTGGCTGAAAATATTATAAAAATTGAAAACATTAATGAGAATTCCTTGAAAAGTCAAAACAAAACAAAGAATCTAGTATTTTTGTGCCATTGCCTTGATTAAACCAATATATTTTACTTTTAAAGCAGTTTTTCTTAATGTTTCAACCATCCTTTCATCAACAAAGAAAATTCCATCAAAAACGCAGGGACAATTTACGCACAAAGAAAGCATTTTTGTGAAACTTTAACCCTCATTTAACAAAATAAAGGTGATCTAATTTATTTATATTAGTCTAATCATAACAGTGTGCAGTTTAGACAGGTTTTGGCCTTTGTTAACATTAAGATTGCAAAGTAACGGTTATTGTACAGTTATGTTAACTATATTTTACTGAAGTGAGTAGTCTAACCTGTCATATGAACTTTAAACATGCATTATGTAACTTTTTGGTCGGGTGTCTGTCACCTGCTTTTTTCTATGGATATGTCATGTTCCACAGTATGACATTAAACAGATCTTCCTTACATTTATTCAATAACAAGTGGTTTTATAGCTCAAAACAGACATTCTGACTAGGGCTGGATATCATTAAGGAGCTGCCGATATGATATACACCTTGATACATAGGCCACGATGCGATACATATCTTGATACAGTGCGCTTTCAATTCGATACGAAATATATTTCAAGTTGATTTGATACGGTTCAATAAAAAAATAAAGGCTAAATCATGGCTGTGACACTAAACGTCTTTGTTAAACTACTTCTTGGGCAAAGTTCATATGAAACACAAACATTTTAATCCTCAAAACAGTGAAACTCTCAAATGTGTCGCATAAACAAGTTTCCTTCCTCTAAACAGGCAACAAAACTGTAGCGCTGTAACAAAATAATTTCGTAAAATATATCAAAAAATACTTTTGGTGATATATCGATACAGCTGCCCACGATATCGATACTGTATCGTCACATTAAACAAAACGATATATTAATATTTTTATATTTTTGCGCACCTCTGATCTCTATGAAGAAAACTTTCCACGAGAAAAGTTACACAATGCACTTTGGATTAAGTCTTGTCAAGGCATTTTAAGAGGAAAAAGTAGCATATTAACAGTTTTAGCTGTTTTGCCTCCACAAAATATCGCAATAAATATCATATCATGAGCTGTACATCGTGAAAATATTGTACCGAGAGATATGGATATTGTTACATCCCTAATCGTGAGCCTTCCAACCATATCGTGAGCTTTCCCATGATATCACAATAAGTATCATACCGTGAGATTCATATCGTGACAATATCGTTACACCCCTAATAAATCATCAAAAAAGTGAAAATGCAAAATGTGTCGCATGAACGAGTTTCCTTCCTCTAAACAAGCAACAAAACTGTAGCGCTGTAACAAAATAATTTCATAAAATATACAAAAAAATTATAATACTCATGGCGATATATCGATACAGCAGCTCATGATATCGGTACTGTATCGTCACATTAAACAAAACGATATATTGATATTTCGATATTTTTGCGCAGCACTGATCTCCATAGAGAAAACTTTTCACTAGAAAAGTTACACAATGCACCTTTAAAAACATACAAGTATACAAACACATCTATAAGGAATTAATGAAATAAAAATATCTTAGTGTTTTTTTTCCATTTTCATTTCCAGTGAAGATTACATCCAGTTTGCATACATGTATATTTAGAACGAGCTTCACAGGATCTCTTACCAAGTTCAAATAACACAAAGCAACCAACCATTTAATTTAATCACTTAGAATGAAAATGCAACGTTTTGGATCAATCATGACTAAAAAACAAATGTCCTCAATTCACTTTAATTTACATTTAAGCCATTTCAAAACCGCAGCGAACAAGTGGATTTGAATGCGGCTAGCAAAGTTAGCACACGCTTCCTGATCTGTGTCACCAATGCATCGTCTATGAAAGAATTAGCTAGCATAACGCAGAATCGTCCTTACCTGATTTGTAACGTGACTTGATGCGATTAATCCCCCAAAAAAGAGACGGAGAAAAAAATATGATCGGGTTATGGTTGGCACACGAGAATTGTATTCAGAGTTGAGTCCGGATAACTACTTTTACTTGCACTTTTCTGTGTTTTTCGCTTTAAAATAGTCCGAAAAGCGTGTGTAGCATGATTAAAGTTATCCCAGAGTGGTTGTTGTCATTGTGTCCGCTTGTGTCTGTCAGGTAGAGCTTGTTCTGTTGAAGGCATGGCTGTAAATGAGACTAAAATCACACGCTGCGCTTCGGCTTGTGCAGACCGGAAAAACAAAAGAGGGGGTTTCCGGTGCGAAACTTCAGTACAAAACAGTCTGTGGAAAAAACAAAACAAGAACAGAAGGTTAGAACAAAGTGTAATTCTAAGAAAACGTCTTGCATCACGGAGAATGCAGACTAAATGTCCTATATTATGCAAAACTGACCCTTGTGAGCTTTTCATCCGTGTTAGAATGCTGTTGCCTCCACAAAAACATACTTTTATTATTATTATTATGTCCCTATTTACCAGGGACAGTCCCAATTTTGAGCCCTGTGTCCCCTGTTCCTGCAGATTTATCCAAAACCAGTGATTTCTCCAAGTTTTATACAAGAAATGCCTCAGGTATCACTATTTTGATCTAAACCAGGACTAAACCAGGACCAAACTAAAACTAAATTAGTACTACATCAGGTCTAAACCAGGACTATCACAATTTTTGACTAATCTGACTCCTGCCAACAGTAAAGAGGAGCATAAATTGTATTTGATTAGCCAAAATACAGAAATCCATGTTTGCAAATGACCATAAAGCAAAGAAAAATGCAGTGACAGAAGTCCCTCAGATTATGACTGACACAAGAATGCACAATGTTACACGCTCTTTTCACATTTATGTCAAATCTTATACCTGTCCCAGCAGATTTATCCAAAACCATTAATTTGTCCCAGTTTTATACAAGAAATGTCCCAGGTGTCCCTATTTTTGACCAATCTGGTCTAAACCAGAACTAAACTAAGACTAAACCATGACTAAACCAAGAGTAAAACAGGACTATAACAATTTTTGATTAATCTGATTCCCACCAACAGTAAAGAGGAGCATAAATTGTGATTTGTTTTGCCAAAATACAGAAATCCATGTTTGCAAATGACCATAAAGCAAAAAAAAAAAAAAAATGCCGCAAAAGAAGTCTCCCAGGTTATGACTGACATGAGAATGCACAATGTTACATGCTCTTTTCACAATTTTATTTATACCAACCATCCCTGGCCACCAAATCTGGTCACCCTAGGTTAGGAAGAAAGTGTAATTGTAAGTAAAGGGTTTACATCACTGAGAATGCATCTTAAATGTTCTGTATTTTGTAAAACTGACCCTTGTGAGCTTTTATCAGTGTTAGAATGTTGTTACTTCCACAAAAACATACCCAGTGTTTGTGTGTTTAATATATGTGAATGAAACAAAACAAAACTCTAGTTAGTTTATGACAAGAAAACAACATAGATTTAAAAAGTAGCATAATATAGGCCATTTAAAGATGCATTGTGTAACTTTTCTGGTGGAGGGTCTGTCAAAGGTTTTTCCCATGGAGATGTTTTGTCTGGGATGTTTCACAGTATGGCATTACACCTTTCTATCTTCAAAGAGACCAAATCAGACCAGGTTACAGGTCAGATCTGTGGAGAGTAGGGTGACCAGATTTTTTAAATTCTGGGACACACATGGGTTGGGATGGTTCATATAAATAAAATTGTGAAAAGAGCGTGTAACATTGTGCAGTCTCGTGTCAGTCATAATCTGAGGGGTTTCTGTCGCTGCATTTTTTTTGCTTTATGGTCATTTGCAAACATGGATTTATGTATTTTGGCAAGACAAATGACAATTTATGCTCCTCTTTTCTGTTGGCAGGGATCAGATTAGTCAAAAAATGTGATAGTCCTTTTTTTTAGCCCTGGTTTAGACCTGATGTAGTCCTTTGTTTAGTCTGGGTTTAGATCAAATTGGTCAAAAATAGGGAAAACAGAGACATTTCTTGGGACAAATCAGTGATTTTGGATAAATCTGCTGGGACACAGGGCTCAAAACTGGGACTGTCCCGGGTAAATAGACATTTTTCTCGATATTCTTGAGCTATAAAACCAGATATAATTAAATAAATGTACGGTAGAGCTGTTTAATGTCATACTGTGGAACATTCCAGGCAGAGCAATGACATACCCACAGAAACAAGCAGGTGACGGACCCTTCCCAAGTTTTAAGAGAGTATAAAAACAATAGATTTTCCAGGAACGAAACAGAACGAAGAGGAGGACTTTTATTGGGACAGAGGCACTTAACTACAAAGCAGAGTGGCACTTATGTACATCATTTCATAATCATAATACTGATGTAAGTCGTACACATTTCAACAACAAATACACGGAGTAAATATATCACGGTAGTCCCACAGACAGAAAGCATATTAAAAAGTCATATAAAACATATTCAGATTGTTATTAGACAGTGTATAGTACATAACTTAAAGTAACACTGTTCACGAACTCTTCTACTCGTCAAGTAACATTCTGCAGAACTAACAAGCTCCACATCGTTCAGGTATCAGGCATTTTTCTGCTCATTTTTAGTGTTTATTTTAGACCTTTGACCGTGACTGAGAACACATTCAGTTGTAAAGAAATTGTCTGCGTTGACTAGGGCTGCAATCGTGATCGACTAAAACACAATCAGCGAATCACAAAAGGCTGCGATTTTTAAAGAGATCTACAGTAGATCACCACGTTATCTTTTATTGTTCTAAAAATGCTATATTTGCCAAAAACAACGGATTGTTTTAGAGGTTTCACTTTTGTTTTTGATGCTCTGAGTCACCCCTCCTTTTGCTCTCCACGCTAAGCCACTCCCCCCTTCAGAGCTCTTTCACAACAAAATCAGCGCTAATGAAACTACTGCAAGTTTGTCAAATTCTAGTGTGTTGTTTTGTGTTCTGCTTTTATTTATGTCAAGTTGTGGTGTGGGAGAGCGGATGATGTAGGTTTGTGGCTTGAGGATTGGACAGAATCATTCTGCTAACCATGAGCAGGGTTTGAATAGGCTCTATTCACTTTTAAGTCACAGGAAGACGTTTGGAAACATGTGATGACAACTTTCCACGTTCCCGACACTGGGCTCGCCGACCGATTGTGATAAAACCCACTGAAGTGTGATGAAAACATGGATTCAGCAGCAGCGGTCTGATCTTCATAACCTGCCAAAGCTTTCCTTGGGGGACATGACTCTAATCATAGCTTCGATATCTTTTACAGGCAGCTCAAAACTAGTGAAAGGTTACAAGTTCTTTGTAGAAAAATACTTATTTGGCTGCCAGGGTAAGTATTATTTGCTGGCAAATTTAGATGAATTTATTTATTCATTATTAAAACGATAAAAACTAAGGTGTGGTTGTAATTGTTGATTAGCCAAACATAACTGAACGCTACAATGACATGTAGATGAATAAAAGTGGGTCATTTTCTAATTTTTCCTACATTTTGTCAGACTTATGACCGCGAACAGAACCCGCCGGAAGCTGTCGTCGCATGTTTCCAAATGTCTTCCTTGTTTGTGACATAAGCGTGAATAGAGCCTATTGAGCCTGGGAGAGATCACTAGATTACTCAAACATTAGGGGTGTAACGATATCCAAGTCTCACGATACAATACCATCAAGGAACCTCACTTTATGATATTTACTGAGATATCGTGGTAATGCTCACGGTATGGTGGGAAGGCTCACGATTACGGATGTAACAATATCCAAATCTCTCGGTACGATATTTTCACGATATACATCTCACGGTACGATATTTTATGGAGGCTGCGAACAAAACTGTTAAAATATGCTCCTTTTTCCTCTTAAAATGCCTTGAAAAGACATAATCCAAAGAACTAAGACTTAAAAGTGCTTAGAACTGTTATTTCTTCCTGTAGTCTGCACTGAAATGGAGCAAAGGATCATGGTCTATGTAGTTCCCTGTGTCTGTTTTAGCTATTGCTTCACCATAACTCTTAATTTAAGCAAAGACACTTGTAATTCGATATATTGTGATGGTCCACGATATTACTGTGAGAATTCTGACGATACGATATCACAATATTTCGGTTATTGTTACATCCCTATCAAACATGTATTAATGGCATCTAAAAACCTCTACAGGCACGTTGTTGATGAGGGAACATTGCAACAAATCTCCAAAAAGTCAATTTTGCATAATAACCTCTCTTCAAGTACCGCAATTTCTTTCACAGATGACAAAACCTAACCCTGTAGTTTAGATTTGTTGAAAATGTTCTGAAATGTGATCCTTACATTCTTTTGTTCTTCGCGAAATGTAACGGAAATAAAAAATTTTCCCAAATTGTGCAGCCCTAGTAACCAATACGCGATGTTTCCTATGATGGGATATGGCACCATGAACTTTTGACGTGTACTTTATGTAAAAACAGAACAAAACCCTTCAGTGCAAAAATAAAATCTTCATGGTAAGTCTGTTGTGCAAAATAAATGGTATATTTAAAAAGGAAATAAAACATCAAATATAGAAGCTAAGTAGTCGCCAACATCGAAGTTACTGCAGATTGAAGGCACGTTTAGAGCAGTATTGCACTCTGGAACGGTCCATTAGTCGGACTTCAACATTGCACACAGCCAGTAGTGGGTTTAGATAAAAATTTGATTAGCAGTGGTGGAAAAAATATTGAACATTTAGTACTGCTGCCATAGTTTGTGCTGGAGTAAAAGTATACATAAAAAAATCAAAACTCAAGAGTATTCTTTACTTTTTTACACAATTTCAGTAGCATTGAGCAGCTCAGACTTTATTCACTCCTCAAATTGTCTGAGGTTTTAGATATATTGGTTAGATATTGATTCTTTGCAGCTGATGTGGGGGGTGTGGAGTGAAGCTAACTAGAGGCACTGCTATGTCTAAAGCTCTGTTACTCAAGTTAGACTTTAATTTCACATGTTTTAACACAATCTGACTATAAAAAACTGACTTCTCTGGAACTACAACAGGTGAGCAGATTTGTGTCCCTCCCAAATCACATTAGTCACTCTTATCTCTTTCGTGTTAATGAATTAATGTCATATTTTTTTCATTTAGGTTGTGTTTGTGACTGTGTACTGCTGAAAATTCCACCATAGAACAAAATTAATATTGTTAAAATGTAGATCTTTGTTGTAATACAATGAGTTATAGGGTTTAGTCAATAATATAAATAATCAGGCTCAATATTTGTGAATTTACGTTTTAGATACTTCATGGCAAAGTACAATGTAATCAATATAATCAACAGGGCAATAGGCTCCTGCCGTCGTCTGACAGAATCTGAGACGGCATCAGCGCCTTTTAGAATCTGAAAAAACCACCACGACGTCAGCCAAACACTTTCACTTGACTCGGACAACAGAGGTGCTGTGGATGGACTCCATGAGCGCGGCCAGCCGGTTGCACAGGTCGTGGGCGGCGTGCACCTGGATCTTTGGGGGGTCTTTGAGCACCACTGTCTCCGCTGAACAGTCCAGGACTCTGGGCAGGAACTCCCCCAGCTTCACCTGCAGAGACTCTGAGGAGAGACACATGCAGAGGCTGCGTTAGGCCCAGGGGGCAGTACACACACTGTATAGATCAGGGGTCATCAAACTTATTTTTCCACTAGGAGCCACATTATCGCTCCTGACTGTGATGGGGGCCGAATAATAGAATTGTATGATCCTGACGACACAGATTAAGTTCTTTAAAAACCTTCACACTTTCTTTACATATCAGACAAATTACACGGCCCTTACAAACAATGAACAAAAAAATAATCATCGTCCATTGTTCTTTGAAAACTTGGCACTCTCTGTCAACATTTCGTACTTTAACACTCACCATTTTGCTGTCCTTAACTGCACTACAGAACTCTGCGCATGTGTCGACTGTCACTGTTTGATCTCGAGCTTGTCAGGTGGTGAAAATTCAACAGCAAATGTAAATACATCATATAATAATCTAAATCTAAATCTAAATATAAATAGTTCATATAAATATAAAATTTTAATTGAAAAAATCAACAAAATACAAGATGCAGATGTGTTATTATTTGCTAAAAAGTAATAAAAAATAGGCCATGACAACTTTTGAGGATTGCCTCATAGGGCCAGTTCAAGTGGTGTGGGGCAGCGGGGCTGGGGGGCCAGTCAAAGGGGCATGGAGGGCCGGAGTCAGCCCACGGGCATTAGTTTGATGACTCCTGGTATAGATAGTAGCATCATTAATAGCAAATGTTTACAATCACAATGCTTGTCAGAAAAATCATATTTTCCCAAATCATTTTTGTAGCCCATGGGGGAATATTAGACCACAGAAGACGACTGTAATCTTTTCTGTTAAAGTGCACATGACAGCCTCAATTTAGTTTTTATTTAGCAGTTTTTACAATACAATGTACAATCAGCATTTATGTTACTTTGCTGCTGATGTCTGAAGCTCTATTACTCAAGTTAAACTTTAATCTGAGCTTTGTTTTTAAAACAATCTGACCATAAAGAACTGACTTATCTGCATCTAGAACAGGTGAGATGATTTGAGGCGTTAAAAGAGTCCCTCCGGAATAACATTATAGTCACAAACAAACACCAAAACAGCTCGTTTTTATCACACGCTCCTGAAAATGTGTAGTTTAAATCAATTTTGCATTTCTTCTTGAGTTTCAGACAATTTAAAAGCGTTTTTGTCTGTGATTGCTAATGTGCACATTGTGTCACCATGGCAACTGATGAACATCACATATTATACATCCATACAGGACCCCCCCAATGCAATGCCACAGCAAAAAATCAATAATTAAAATCAGCTACAAGGCCTTTAATGGGAAACACTCCAAGCATATTATTGATGATTAGAAATGAAAATATCTCTAATTGTATCTTTGTACAGTATAGAAATGTGTAAATTATTATTATTTTAGTTATTATTTATATTATTTGTCCACTCTGTCCTGTTCTGAACATGCATTCCTTGGGTAATGTAAATAAAAACAATAATAAAAAATAAAAATAAAAAACTGATTGATGAAAACGTGCTGAAGTGACCGTACCGTCCATGTCTTGGCTGAGGCAGCAGCACCAGTGGCTGCGTATGCTCTCCAGCGTCTCTCTGTCCTCCAGGCTCAGGGCGGGGTCCCGGCTCATCAAGTGCAGACAGGGGATCACACACTCGTCCATAAGAGCCAACGCTTCTGTCACTTTGTCCTCCTCGCCACTGCAAAACCACCTGGAGGCGCTCTCGTTCAGCGTCTGAGAGGAGAACAACAGAGGTGAGAAAAAGAGTCAGATCTCTTTATATGAACAGATGAAAGTGTAATGAACAGGAATGTAACGATATCCAAATCTCTCGGTACGATATTTTCACAATATGCATCTCATAGTACGATATTTCGTCCTCCTCAACAGTTTACTTTCACCACTCACTCACATGGTTAACATGTCACTTCAATCTGGAACATTCCCAAACGCATTGAAAACTGCGGTCATTAAGCCTCTCCTAAAGAAGAGCAGTCTTGATGCCACAGTACTGAACAATTTCCGACCCATCTCAAATCTGCCGTTTTTTGGCAAAGTCCTTGAAAAAGCTGTTTACCAACAGCTTACGAACTTTCTCCAAATGAACAACTCCTTTGATGTTTTCCAGTCAGGTTTTAGAGCCCACCACAGCACTGAGACTGCTCTTATCAAGGTGACAAATGACATCCGCCTGAACACTGATGCAGGCAAAGTCTCAGTCTTGATCCTGTTAGATCTGAGTGCTGCTTTTGACACTGTCGATCATGGGATCCTCTTACAGAGACTAGAGGACTGGGTGGGCATCTCTGGTACTGTACTAAACTGGTTCAAGTCCTATCTAGAAGACAGGAAGTATTTTGTTGAAATTGGAAACTGTGTCTCAGATCACATGGCCCTGACCTGTGGGGTGCCTCAGGGGTCAATCCTGGGCCCCCTGTTGTTCAATCTCTACATGCTGCCATTAGGCCAGTTAATAAGCAGCAATAACGTGTCCTACCACAATTATGCAGACGACACTCAGATCTACGTCTCTCTGGCAGCAGGAGACTATGGACCAGTGGACTCACTTGGTCACTGCATCCAACAGATCAGTGTGTGGATGCAAAACAACTTTCTCCAGCTAAACTCTGACAAGACTGAAGTCATAGTGTTTGGTCCACAGAAACAAAGGGACAGTGTCAGCAGTCACCTCCAGTCTCTCTCTCTAGAACCTTCAAATCAGGCAAGAAATCTCGGGGTAATAATGGACTCAGACTTGAACTTTAACAGCCACATCAAATCAATAACATCTGCAGCCTTTTACCATCTAAAAAACATAGCAAAAATCTAAGTTTTACTGTCTAAAGCAGACTTGGAGAAACTTATCCATGAGTTTGTCTCCAGTAGGTTAGATACTGTAATGTTCTGCTCACTGGTCTCTCCAAACGAGCTGTGAGACACTGCAGAACATCCAGAACATCCAGAACATCCAGAACGCTGCAGCTTGGGTCCTGACTCGAACTAGGAAGTACGAGCACATAAGTCCTGTGCTCAGGTCTCTGCACTGGCTTCCTGTGCCTCAGAGAATAGACTTTAAAGCAGCTCTGCTTGTGTACAAGTCTCTCCATGGCCGAGCACCAAAGTACATCTGTGACATGTTAGTGTCATATGAACCATCTCACACTCTGAGGAGCTCAGGGACCGGCCTCCTGCTGGTGCCCAGAGTCACGACTAAACAAGGGGAGTCAGCATTTCAGGTTCATGCAGCTAAAACCTGCAACAGTCTTCCTGAACATGTGAGACAGACTCTTCTGTGATGCTGTTTAAATCCAGGCTCAAAACATTTCTGTTTAACTGTGCAAATAACTGAAAGGTTTTTATTCCGCACTTTTCTCTCCAATTTATGTCTCTCTTTTTTCATTTTAATCTTCATGATTATTTATGTTTTGATTTGTTTTTATTATGATTTTAGTGTATTTCTTATTCTGTAAAGCACTTTGAATTACTTTGTGTATGAATTGTGCTATACAAATAAACTTGCCTTGCCTTGCCTATTGCGATATTTTGAAGAGGCTAATATAATTGTAGATGGGACACTTTTTTGCTTTTAAAATACCATGACAAGATTTTGGTGTGAATTATTTCCATCATAACCCCAAAAATTCAAGTAAAAAACATATTTCTTCATGCTGTCTGCACTGAAATGAATCATGGGATATGTAGTTCCCTATGATTATAAGCTGTGGCTACTGTAAAACCATGCATTTAAGCAAAGGAACTCATAATTTGACATATTGTGACAACAAACGATATTATTGTGAGACTTCTGACAAAACAATATCACGATATTTTGGTTATTGTTACATCCATAGTAATGAAATTACTAGGGATGTAGTAATTGGGATGTTATATGGGCCCTAAGCTCAATAAAGGGCCCATATAACACTATTTTCAGGTTGTTTCCTCATCAAAAATATAGTGTTTCATTTTGTTTCATTCACACACATTTAACACATAAGCACTGCATATTTATGCTGAGTTCTTCTATCAAACAGAAAGCACCCAATAATACAAGTGCTCCACTGTGTTTTTAAACTCATTCATAAATCATTAGAAACTGTGTTCTGTATTGACATACCATTTCGACTTGAAACAATGTGTCTGTGTCTCCTGATGGGTGAAAATGTGAAGTATAAAATTAAATACCTGCTCCAGATTTTGAGTGCAGCTGCTAGGAAAATTATAACCAGGAAATGGCTTAATTCACAAATACCAACATTGGATGAACGGTTTGAGATTGTTTATGATATGTTTAAAATGGAGAGAATTACTTGGACTAAATTGGACTGGACTGAAGACCACACTTTGTTTGACCCTTTACTTTGTTTTTCTTGCAATTTATTGTAATAATTATAATTTTTTTTTATTAATTCATTCTTTGTAAGTATCAAAGGCACATCCCACATATTGTACTGTATTTGTCTTTTTCATACCACTTAAAAAAATTAATATCAAAATAGGTAAAAGGTAGGTATTAACTTGAAAACTACCTCTAAGTCCCATTCACAGGACAGAAATGAACCTTTCCTGAATAGCTTTAGAACAATCTTGAACAATCAGAACAAGTATAAGAAAACATACAGTACATCCTCTTGTTGCTTTTTCTAACTCACTGTGAGACATTTTCTTCTGTAGACTGAAATAAGGGAATCGTCCACTCCACGCTTGGGTCCGTTCTTGAGCAAAGTGCTGTTGGTGTCGTAAGCATGAGCCAGGTAAGTCAAAGCTTCTCTCATTCTGAAAAACATCACAACAGAAAAAATAAATAAATAAAATCACATTGTAAAAGACTGTTGTGTTTTCATAGTTTTACTTGAATAAATGCGATGGAAAGATGTAGATCACTATGTATTCAGGTTTGTGATGGTCCAGAAGTTTTTCCTCACTTATCCTATGCATTTTCAGATCAGAAAATAATATAATATTGGCTCTTTAAAGACTATTTGCAGACATTTAAAGTGTCAAAGCTTAAAGAGACAGTCTGAAATTTTGAACCTCATTTCCTAGTGAGCCAGAGTGTTAGAGACACTTTTTAAAAATATTCCATCCAGTCCTTGTATTTACAGAGGTCGCTGGTGCTAGGTTAGTGCATGTCAATGGCCATAGTTATCCTGCCACTAAAAACAGTCTAACCCACTCTACAAAACACCCGAAGAAAATCTGTTATTACACCAGACTGTCGATGTGAATCTCTGTGTTGATGGAATATTTTTAGAAGTCAAACCAACCATTTGAAGGATTTATGTCTGAGCAGCAGCAGCGAGTTGTACTTCCTTTTAGAAAACTTGGCAGCGGCGGACTGATATATGAGAAAATAGTCCCTCAACATCTGACGATTCATGCGATGCAAGGTTAGTTTTATTTAAAAAAATATTCTGTCAACACAGCCATTTACACTGACAGTCTGGTGTAATAATAGATTTGCTTCGGGTGTTTTGTGGAGTGGGTAAGACTGTTTTTAGTGGCAGGATAACTATGGCCATTGACATGCACTAGCCTAGCACCAGCGACCTGTGCAAATACAAGGACTGGATGGAATATTTAAAAAAGTGTCTCCACACGTCTCCAACACTCTGGTTCACTAGGAAATGAGGTCCTATGTCCAAAATTCAAGACTGTCCCTTTAAGTTTGTTTGTTTCCTCTCAGTCTTTCAAGGGCTCATATTACACAATTTTCTGTTCTGTTATAATGTTGTTTCCTCATCAAAAACAAACCTGGAGTTGTGTTTTGTTTCATTCACACATTTAACACACAAATCCTGCATATTTAGGCTGACTTCTGTTAACTTGACAACTACTGCTTCATGACATCACCAGGTTAAACAGAGCATTTTGAGCTTTAGGAAAGTAGACAAACTAGTAATAAAGATGTACTCAGATGTGTGAATGAAACAAAACACAACTCCAGGTCTGTTTTTGGTAAAGTAACAACATTATAACACTGGTTTATTTCTCACACGAGTAAATTTTGAGTAATATTGGACCTTTAAAGATGCATTGTAGAGATGTAACGATATCCAAATCTCTCGATAACGATATTTTCACGATATTGCTCTCACGGTACGATATTTATTGAGGTATTTTGTGGAGGCAAATCAAATTGAGCATATGCTACTTTTCTGTCATAATCAAAAAATAATGAGATTTAAAAGTGCTTTACAACAATTATTTCATTATGTAGACAGAGCAAAAGATCATGGTCTATGTAGTTCTCTCTTATTTTTGTTGATGCTGCACCATAACTATAAATTTAAGCAAAGAAACTTGACCCACGATATTATTGTGATACTTTTGATGATACAATATCACGATATTTCAGTTATTGCTGCATTCCTAGTGCATTGTGTAACTTTCCTGATGCTTTTCTCGCTGGAGATGTTATTGCTTTGTCCAGAATGTTTCATAGTATGGCATTAAAACTTTCTATCTTCATGGAGACCAAACCAGACCAAGGTACAGGTCAGATCTGTGGAGAGGCAACCCGCTGACAGTCAGAATGCCTGTTTTTGAAGGTATTTTTGAGCTTTAAAACCAACTATAATTAAATAAATGTAAGGTAGAGCTGTTTAATGTCACATTGTGGAACATTCAGGCAGAGCAACGACATATCCATAGAAACAAGCAGGTGACGGACCCCTAACCGAAAAGTTACACAACATTATCTGCATGTGTTTGACTTACTTTCCGTTCTGGTAGTGCTCCAGGCCCGTGAGCAAATACACAAACACCGTCTTGAACATCTTGTAGTCCTCGTGCCACTGCTGCAATAAACAAAGGGGAAAATATATTGATTCAAAGCTCTCATATCTACAGATTAAACACACGCTCTCAATTCAGTGTTTACATTTGAGAAGTCACCATAGGGACAAAAGTATGAAGGGTAAATTGCTGATATATAATTGCACCCAAACAATGTTATGGTTTTTTGTTTAAGGTTGTATATTATGCAAAACTGACCCTTATGAGCTTTAAGTCATGTTATAATGCTGTTACCTCCTCAAAAACAGACCTGGAGTTGTGTTTTGTTTCATTCACATATGTTTGAGTAACACTTTACTATTAGTCTGTCCTCATTTCCAAAGCTCAAAATGCTCTGTTCCACCTTGTGAGGTCATTAAGTGGTAGTTTTAACAGCTCCTCTTACCTTTTGTTCAGTAGAAATCAGCAATTCTAGGACTGAAATTATCCACATGATTCTACTAAAGGTGTGTGGAGTTTAAAAACACAGTGGAGCACGTTCTGTATTACTGCATGACATCACAAGGTGGAACTGTGTTTTGTGTTTAAGAGAAGAACTCAGCCTCATTATACAGGATTTGTGTGTTAAAAAAACTAAACAAAACATTACTCTTGATATTTTTTGATGAGGAGGCATTGAGGAAATCAGAAAATAGCGTAATATGGGCCCTTTAAAGGTGCAATACGTAACTTAACTTTTCTTTTCATGACATTTTACTTATCTATCTTGTATGTGTTTAATTTCTGGTATTTTTATTGTTCAAAAATACATGCCTACTGTGAGCTTTGTCACCTCTCCACAGATCTGACCAGGATTGTTACCATGGAGATAGATCATTTTAATGCTGGAGTAGAATATTACAGGCAAAGTGATACAATCTCCCTGAAGGAAGCAGGCAGATCCTCCTTCTACAAAGTTACCTAATGCAGCTTTAATAATAATATAGAATGGGAGGAGACATTACCAGGTACTCGTCCATGTCCATGTCTTCAGGTTTGATCAGACGCAGCTTGGATCTGGCCTCCCTCATGATGCTGATGGCCCTGTGCGGACAGAAGACAAAACATTTACATGAGATTTATGAATAGAGATGTTATTATGAATACTCAGCAGCTGATCTCATCCACATTCCCTGGGGGTGTGTTAATAACTGTAGGCTCTGCTCCGTCTGAAGCTCAAGTCAGACTTTTATCTGAGTTTTGTTTTAACACAATTTGAACAGAAAGAGCTGTCTTGGTTGGAACTACAACAGGTGAGCTGCTGCAATATTTTCACGATATGCATCTCACGGTACGATATTTATTGCGATATTTTAACAAAATTGTGAATATGCCACTTTTCCTCTTAAAATGTCTTGACAAGAACTAAGATTTAAAAGTGCTTAGAACAGCTATTTCTCCATGTATTTCGCACCAAAACAGAGCAAAGGATCATGGTCAATGTAGTTCACTCTGTTTTTTAGCTATTGCTGTACCATAACAATGAATTTAAGCAAAGAAACTTGTCCACGATATTATTGAGAGACTTTTGACATTACGATATCACAATATTTTGGATATTGTTACACATCTAGTGAGCTGATTTATACTGTTAAACAAGTCTCTCTCACATAAAATTACAATAACAAGCTAGATAACTTTAGTAACAGTTTTTTTGTTTGGCAGCTTTTTGTTGAAAATCAGAAACATGTGTGAATGAAACAAAACACAACTCCAGGTATGTTTTTGATGAGGTAACAGCATTATAACATGCCTTAAAGCTTACAAGTCAATTTTGTGTAATATAGGACCTTAAAAATATGAAGAGACTATGAATTTGGATTTCATGAACAAAATGGATAGATCATAATATCAGTTTTATTGTTATGATAAATGTTAAGGTTTTTTTTATTTTTTTATTTCGGTGAGTATGACACACTTAGTTCTGTTTCTTGATGTCAGGATGTAGTTCAGACACTAGGTGGCAGCATGAGATCATTATTTGAGCATCAATGATGAGGTCTGCACAGCATTAAGTCACAGCCGCAAATTAATCAAACCATCAGTTTATTTTAATGTGACTAGAAGGAAAAATTGATGCTATTTTCCTCGCTCTAAATATAACTCGTACCTCTCGTCGAAGCTGAGGTTGCGGTCTGTAAACTGCTCGAGCAGCGTCCTCTCGATGACGCGTTTTGGAGCTTTGTTTTGGAAGAAATAAACCAGGCAGTGCTGCAGCCGCGCGTCCTCCGCCGGGGTCGCCTCCTCCTGGGACAGCTCGTACAGACGGTTGTACTCCTCGTGGAAGGCCTGCAGGGGGCACTGCACTGTTATACTTGAGTGTGCTGATGCTACGCTCATCAGAACTCTACTCACTACCTCATTATTATCTGAAATTTATAAGAGTAATATACAGTATTTATTATTAACAGAGGTCGGCCTCACTGCTGATTTTAAATATCAGTCCTTTTTGAATTATGTATTTATTATAGATTTTTTACTGAATGTGTGCGCTTTTTTCTTAAATGCACTTTTTACCTGTTTTACTTGAACGCCCAAGAGCCCTGAACAAGAATTCCAATGTGTATGGACTTTTGTGTGCGCACTAATAGCAAATACATTTCTTGAATCTTGGTTTCAACACAGTGCATATAAAATGATTAAATAGTTAAAAGCTCTTAAAGTTGATTTTACCCAATATGTCTCCTTAACGTAGGAGGCCTTGTTGAGTGGACACACGTGAGTGAGCAGACACCACGTCACTGTCACTACGGTTATGACACACTCACCTTGATGAGACCTGCCTCAGGACCGTCCTGGTCAAAGGTCTTTCGGGCTTTGGCGATGGCCAAAATGATTCCCTGCATGGCTGGGGTTAACATCATCTGAAAGATACATCGAGAGAGTTAAGGCACAATATCTGATTTACACTTTTTAATCTATGGAAATGGGTTGAGTATAATTATTCAAAAGTCAGATTTTAGCAGTTTTATTACCTTAGTCCAAATGTAAACATGTGCTGACCAAGCTATAGTCCGTGTTATGGCTTTGTCTTAGTTTGACCAATACAAATGAACTTAGATCTAGTATATTCCTAGACAGGATCTGCTGACCCTACCTGACCAGTCCTCCTGTTAAACTGCTCTAAAACCTTTAACTGAGACACAACGGCCACAGAAACATGCAATATACATTTTGCAGCAACATCAAGCACAACAGTTTGCTGCAACAAAACTTGAATTTCCCTCGGGATAAGTAAAGTATCTCTCTCACTTTATTTACTCTGTGTTTGCACATTTTAAATATTCCTGTAACTCTTATCCAGACTACATGTACCTCTTCATTGTATCCGTCTGCGTCTGCTCGGACCATGATGCGACCCACGTTGGGGATCTCCACCTCGGACACCTCGTTCTCTGGCTGTTGGCGCTCTGCTGGTGCGTCCTGATGGTGCGTTTGCTGCGACTCGTTTTCTGGAGTGCTGTTTGAATCCTCCTGTTCGTCTGTGGCGGTGGGACCAGAGACAGTCCCCTCTGTGCTCTCCTCCTCCACCTGCACCTGCACCTCTGATGTCTCCTTTGTATTTGCTGGCGGGTCGGGAACCTGCCAAAGACCAGCCGTACAGACAGAGTTTATTGTATGTTGATATGGAGCTCACTTTAATTTTCTCCATAGACGTTTTGAATAATCCAGCTACTTTTTTAATGGGTTGCAGATGACATCGCAACATTATATTGACCAATATTATTTAATACAGATGGGAGGCAGCTAAAATGAATACTGTTAAAATGCTCATTATTACCATTTATATTGTTTCTCTTTGTTATCAAAATATATTGTGACGTCTGAGCTACTGTGTCCAAATAAATGTAGATCAATAAAGTCTATATGTCGATATGGAGAATTTTCATTGAATTATTTTATTATTCTTGACCCATGTTTTTTTCTGGTATTTCTCCAGCTGTGTGTGTTTTGAGTTTTACTTTTTTGTCAAATTTAGCCCACGATATAATTATATTTGGCCCACGAGATCATATCAGATATGTATTAGAGCTGACCCGCCGGCTACAGATAGACTGTATTATTTAAAATGTTGTTATTATTTTATATTTTGCTTGTTCTGGATTCAATGTTTAAGCAAAACTATTATTAAACATTATTTTAATAAGAAAAGGTTTAACATTACAAAAGATCGAAAGAAGAGAAAACATGCAGATGTTGTTGAAATTTTTCAATAAATATTTAGTTTGGCCCACGACTTAGTAGTTTAATTTTGGCCCTCTGTGAATTTGAGTTTGACACCCCTGTCTTAGTGTTTTAATTTCACTATTTTGACTGTAAATAAATTCCTCTTCCTGATATGTTTCTCATTAATTATTCTGTGGTTTCCTAACACTAACACCAACTAGCATGCTACTGCCCACTTCCTGATTATTTGACAATAAAATAAAATTAGGTGTAGACAAACAATGGAGTTATTTTGATATCAAAAGCTGCTTATACAATATATCTGTACTGAGACAAGATAGTTTTTGCTTATATACATGTGAAAAATCTGGTACAGGGCCTTTAATACCACATATGTAATGCATATATGTGATGATGTGTATATAAAACTTTCGACAAGATTGTTTTTTATTGGTCATTACCAGGACTGTTTACAGGCACAGATCAGAGTGTCACACACATCAGACGCCGGTGCCTCTTCACTGTATCTGTATCACCATACTGTACACCCCAACACTATGTTAAGTGGTAAAATTAGATCCATGACCCATATGTGCAGTCTGTATTTACACGGCCTGGTATTTCTGACCCACATCTTGCAGGAGGAGGAGGAGGGGGGGCAGGTGGCGCGCTGCTTACCGAACCGGGAGCCTCCTTCTGGGCTGAGTCGGAACTCTGGCCCTGTTCCAAAGAGTCTGAGGGTTCTGGAGGTTTGTCATCACTCGAGCTCTCAGGAGCCTCAGGGGGGTCTGGTGCCACCTCTGAAATGGAAATAAAATGTGTTGATTTGTTTAGTGGAAAGTCCCAGTCTCTGGTTATGTTTGCAGCCAAAAAAACGTCAGACTAAAGAGAAAGATGTTTATGAATGATTATAAAATAAAAGGTGCACTGTGCAACTTTTCTAATGGAGGGTCTGTCAGATGTTTTTCTCCATGGAGATGTTATTGCTTTGTCTGGGATCTATCTCAAGGGAGAGAACTTAGATATATTAGTACATTACTTTACAAATCAGATCTGTGGAGTGTCGCCCCTATTTACAAAGAGAATTGTTGTATTTTTGAGCTGTAGAAACACCTGTAATGAGTAAATGCTAGAAACCTAATGACTTAAATTATAGGAAGACCAAATGAACCTCATTGGGCTAGAAAGATCTGTTTAATGTCATACCATGGAACATTACAGAAAAAGCAATAACACCTCCATGGAAACAAGTAGGTGATGGACCCTCCACCAGAAAAGTTGTGTAGTGAACCTTTAAAGACACAACGGATTAACAATATTTTTTGGACTGCTACCTACTTGCTGATACCAATATTTACCTTTTCAAATTGTATAAAATGTATTTATTTGAGATATAAAATTATTTGTCAACCATATTTTCAGCATCATTGTTTTTCTGTTCAAAAAGACAAATTTGATGCACTTAAACACAAACTGGGAATGACACATGGGCACACATGGGGCAGCACAAAAAACAGTGGCTGCTACTGATATCACAAAAAATAGCTCTATAATCGCTGATACCTTCTTCTTGCTGTGTCTGCTCCTGCTCCTGCTCCTCCTCCTGGGCTTGAGTGTGAGCCTCCTGCTCCTCTGTACCCTCAGTAGACTCTGAAGACTCATTAGACTCTGTGGGCTGTATAGACTGAGTAGCCTCTGGTTCCTGGTTCTTCTGGTGCAGTTCTTCAGCTCTGTGCTCTGTTGTCTCCGTGCTCCCCGTGCTCTCTCCCTGCGGAGCAGCAGCGGAGGCTTGACAGAACTGCTCCTCCCACTCGCTCAGCTCCTGTTGGAACCAGCGGTTGTCCTCATGAACGTAGCGCCGCAGCACTGGAGGAAGGGAGTCCATGCCCACGAGCGGCTGGCCCGTCTCATCATCTGTGTCTTCTGAGGAGAAAAGAGAGAAACATCTGTTGTGAAAGTTGGTCAGTTAGAGGAACTGTATATCACCTGTGCTGTTTCTAAAAACTTGCAACAATCACGACTGAACATTGTAAGAGAATTTAAGTAATTTATCCTCCACGTATATCTCTCAGTTTATCATTGACTCACAAAAGCCATATTTACACCATGATCTTGGTGTCTACTGGCCTTCATAGTCTCATCACACTTGCTTCATAAACCTCCTCCTTTGGAAGCATGGTAAAGGGGCTTGGACACTCAAAGATCATATTACGTTCACTTTTCAAATCACACTATGTTGACTTTTCGAGTCCCGCCAGGCCTGTATTACTGATGTAAATAAACTTCTTCTGCTGTCTCCAGCCTTTTACTTCCACCCTTTCTTAGACAAAATGAAAACTTCCACAACAAACAGATTCAGTATTTTAACCTGCAGATAGAGGACACATACAAGTTTTTTTTTTTCTCAGTATATAGACAGGGCATCCCTCATGTGACAGTTCAGAACCTCCAGAATTCCCTCACTGAGCTGCAGAGGCTGCACTAGCACTGATTCATGATTGGCTGCAGAAGCTGGGGTTTAGGCAGTGACCATTCAGATCAGAGAGGCATTTAGGTTTAAACCAACTGGATTTTAGAGAGACTCACATGAGGCTCATTCTGCTTTTTGATTGGATAATTGTCTAATCAGAAAACAGTAATCATCAGAACCAAATCACCAAATTATAACCTAAACAATCCGGCCGTCATGTCAATGTTTTTGTAATTAAAAATAAATCAGAATAGTAATATAACTTGCAAACTTATATTTGTTTTGACCATGTATTCAAAATTTAAAATCCAATTTTTAAATCAAAAACATTGATCCATGTTTTGTCAAGAACCTTTAATACAACAGGGCTTGCTGTGTATCAGAATAAAAGACTAACCAGCAATGTAGCAGCTAATGTGCATTCTGTGAATCTCAATCTGAAGCCCATTATCTTTATATTTGTACAATGTAAAGTGTTTGGATAGCCCAAAAGAGAATTGTACAAAGAAAAAAGCCTCATTTAAAGTATCAACATTTCCTAGTATTTTTGGTCCTTGATACCAAAAACCAGCTGAACTCTCCTCACCCGTTATGAGCTGGGGCATCCTGTCATCGATGTACATGAGGCAGTATGCGCTGGCATTGGTCATGCCTCCGAAGGAGTCCCTCTCCAGCTCCTCCCAGGACGACTCGCTCACAGTGATGTCATTGTACTTGATCCAGCGCTGGTGGGCGTGGTCGTAGATGTACGCCCAGTAGTGCCCAGCAGAAGCCTGACCCTCATGGACCAGGACGGCGTGGAGTCTGTACGGCACCTGGACAACGATACAACCACAAACTGTATAAAGAAGTGGAATAAAGGAATGTGACGTCGCCCACAGCGTTCAGATCCAGTCAAATGAAGCTCACTGAGGCTCACGGATATAGGTGCGGATTTAAAGCCAGAATAGGAATTTATTTGAGGACAAAATAGTGAAATAAAAACACCAGAGTCACGTAGACTTAATACGAACATTTTACGCACACGATTCTTACTGCAGCAGTTAGAGAGAGGGGCAAACACTTTTCAACGTACAGTAAAGTCAACTGGAAACGGAGTTGATGGAGCAGGACGTGCCCTCGTGCTCACTTCCTATTTGGAATACGGTGGCTAGTGGGTTAGTTATGTACATTTATATATACAGTCTGTGTATACAACATGGTGTACATTACTCCATCAAATAAATGAGGTCTTGTAAACATCAAGGATCAGGGGTGTTAACACTGGTCAAAATAATTGCCATTCACACAACAGAATTGTCCCATTTACATGAGAGCTTTAATTCCGATTAAAAATTATTTAATTCGGAATAAAAATGAATTCCGCTTTAAAAAAGACCATATAAACACTTAATTCCTAATGATTATTTGGAATAAAACTTATTTGGAATTCATTTTAAATCCGAATTAAGTGGGTAGTTTATTCTGATTTTTTTTTAAAGTATCATCTTAATTTTCCATAAACAACTAGTTTGTTTTAACCAGGAGTTTCCAACCTTTTTCCTCCTGTGAGCTACTTTTTATAAAACGAAAATGCCAATACAAATTTTATCGGTTGCCAGAAATGGTGTAAATATAAGAGAAGATGGGGCACAGTTAGATGCCTATAAAACATAAACCATTATTCATTTATAGGTATGAAAATGATAAATGGAATAGGCATTTAATCAATCAAATTTGAGTTGCCCAGGGAAATATGCATAATTCAGAAATCCCTTGGAGAGCTATTTGGAAGGGGGGGGAGAGCTACAAATTGGAGACTCCTAAACTAGACCCTAAACCAGGTCTATACTAACAAAAAATCAAATCTAGACTTAACTAAACCAGGACTAAACCAGATCTAAAGCTAAAACTCAACCAGGATCAAAACAAATGAAACAAAATCAGGACTAAACCAGGAACCAGAACTCAAAAGGGACTAATCTAGTATCTCTAAGAAGCCTCGTGCCCGCATGCATACCACGAGTAATTCTAATACCGTGCTAAAATGGTCTGTGTAATGAAGTTGAGTGGTGTTTTGGAGTGTTACCTGGCACAGACTGTTATCAGAGTACATGCTCTCGAGTTCCTGGGACACTCTGTCGATACTGGCTTTAAGTTCTAAAAAAAAACAAACACACAAATGAGCAATGAACAATTCACATAAACAATCTGAAATTATAACATATTTTTTCACTTGTTCTGTCAACTTTTAAACACAGAAATGTTGATTATTTTTAGAAGAAAACATGTTATGCAGAATTGGCTTTTTGGACATTTTAAACATGCTATGTCATCCCCTTATCACAAAGATACTTGGAGTTGTATTTTTGCTTCATTCACATTTGTTTCATTAATCCAACACGCAAACTGTACATATTTAGGCTGAGTTCTTCTCTCAAACAGAAAACACCTTGTTTCACCTTGCTCTATTGTGTTTTTAAACTCCATACGCCTTCACTAGAATCATTTGGATAATTTCAGCCGTGACATTGCTCAACAATGAACTGAACAAAAGGTAAAATGTTGTTAACTTGAAAACTACCACTACATGACATCACAAAGCTGTCGAGATGTAGACAGGCTGAAAAAAAAAGGATTACTCAAACATTTGTGAATGATAAACCACATCTCTGGGTATGATTTTGATGACGTAACAGCATTATAACATGGTTTAAAGCTCACACGAGTCAATTCTGAGTAATGTAGCCCCTTAAAAGTCACAAGAATGCATAATGTGTGATGTTTAATACCATTGATATCGTTCTCAGCCTCAGTCCTCCAGCGTTGCAGACAGTTCTTGACGTGGAACAGTTCCTCCTCTGTGATGCTGTGAGGTGCGGGGTGAGGGGGGCACTCTACCGGGGGTCTGCACTGGGTGAACGGCTTGTAGATGGGCGTTCTTTGGCACGTGGACACACCAGCGCCCAGGCAATCTGACCCTTCCTCTGTTTCACTAAAGAAAACAAATAGTTATATTAGGTTTAGATTGTTGTAGCATTAAAAGTAGGGCGTGAAGCATATATTGGCTGGAGATACTGATACTTTGCAGTGACATCTCGCTGAGGGTGTTCTCTAGAGTTTGACTGTAAACATAAATCATCTCAACCATTGTCTTCCAACTACGGGAGCTCTTTCCGGTCTGATGGATAAAGCTTAGACTAAAGTATAGCAGAGCCTCAGACAGAGCAGAGCCTCTTATTAGCATCACATCCCCAGGGAATGACATGATGACATTAGTAGCAAAGTATCATTAGTCCACGTGGGCATGCTATACGTCGTTATAAAGCTTAGCCTCTCTAGAATACAATGATTTAATCCAGTTTACAGACAGATAATGCTCTAACATGTGGTGTTACATCTATAATTGTAAGTGCAGTACTTTGTCTGTGTGTCTGAATGTTTAAAGTCCATAGACACACACCAAGCTCTAATGATTTTACAACTCCAACGGCCTTAAATATATTCACAATAAAAGTTCTGGCTATACGTATATCAATTTTGATGTTTCAGGCTTCCCATTTTTGCCAGCAGAGGGAGTAGTTCCTCTTGGATTTTGTTCAGCTGTTTTCTATAAACAGTTTAATAAAGGTCCCTGATGACCACCTCTAAAACTTTTCCTAAAAACAGCATAACATATGGACTTTAAAGTGGCCTATACATATGAAACATGTATAGGCCATTAAATCCGAACGAACATTAAATCCATACAAATACACATTTTAGTTTAGTTTAGAAACAGTGTTAGAAGATAAAAACAGGACTCAAATAACAGTAAGAATAATACTCAAGTAGAAGTCTGAAGTAGTGGCCCAAGAGATTACTAATTAGTAACAGTAACTTTAAGAGTAACTGTCAGAATGTAACACCTGATTTATAATTTGAAGCTACAAAACATTAAATAATGCCCAAAATTTTGTATTTTCAAAGGGTAAATACAAACATGCGAATAACTAAATTGTAGCTGAGAAGCGGCGCAAGAAACACAAATAATTTAATATTGTCAATAGGGCTGGGTATCATTAAGAAGTTGCCGATATGTTACAAACCTTGATACATAGGTCATGATACGATACATATCTCGATTAGATACAATATATTTCAAATTGATTCAATACGGTTCAATAAAAAATAATGTCTAAATTATGGCTGTGATACTGAAAGTCTTTGTTAAACCGAGTCTTGTGCAAAGTGAAAATGAAACACGCCCACTTTACTCATCAAAACAGTGAAAATGTCAAATGTGATGCATAAACGAGTTTTCTTCCTCTGAACAAGCAACAAAACTGAGCTTTGTAGCAAAATAATTTAGTGAAATACACCAAAAAATACTCCTGGAGCTATATCGATACAGCAGCCCACAATATCGATATTCTATCATCACATTAAACAATACGATATATTGATATTTCAATATTTTTGCACACCCCTAAATGTCAACTTAAAGATTTGTCACTTGTAGACTTACTCACAGTGGGAAGAGAAGCCAAAACTTTTACTCAAGTCAGAAAACTATTACTTGAGTAAAATATCACTTGAGAAGAAGTAAAAGTATGCTGCTAGAAAAGTACAATTTTAACTATTTACTACCATCTCAGTTAGAAGATAAGACGTTACCATAACTGACTCAGACATCCAGGGTGGCGTTTAGAGCTTGTCAAAAGGTTAATGCGAGCTAAAGTCAGTTGTTGTTTTGACAGCTTCATCCTTTGGGGGGGTGTGGTGCTGGATGTCGCGTGTTTAGGGCCCACCTGTCTCTGGGGCTGTCGCTGCTGAGGGGGTGAGGGGGCGGGGCGGTGGGGGCAGTGGCGGGGGTTGGGGAGGAGGCAGCTGCTGTCAGGTCCTCGGCGGGGGACACGTTGGAGGGTTTGGTGGTGGCGAACTCCAAAACAAACTGAAGCATGTCCGTCAGGGGGTATTTGGTGGGGCCTGAGCCGTAGTTTTTGTAGCTGTGAAAATAAATATTGTGGATCATAATTGTATGAATGGCCCCATAATATTACGACATTTCCTAATGTTCTGGGCTATAATGCTATAAATCTGGAGTTGTGTTTTGTTTCATTCACACGTTTAACACACAAAGCCTGTATATTTAGATTGAGTTCTGCCCTCAAACAGAAATCACTCTGTTCCAACTTGTGATGTCATGTGGTGATACAGGAAGTGTTTTTAAACTCAATACACCTTCACCAGAATCATTTGAATAATTTCAGCCCTGGAATTGACAATCTCTACTAAACAAAAGGTAAGGGGTAACTGTTAACTAACTGTTAACTGAAAACTACCACTTCATGACACAGAAGCGGCGCTACCATTAGGCAAAAATAGGTGGCTGCTTAGGGCCCCCAAACCTGGAGGGGCCCTCAACAAATTGCACTCCACCAAGGGCCAATGAGCAATTTGATTTTCTCTCAATATGACATTAACTGAGAGTAGTTTACTTTTAAACAATAATCAAAAGAGAAAATAATAATAATACTCATATGTAATGGATGTAAATAAATATGTAATTGTACTAGCAAAAAACCCCAACAACTTTCAGTTCTGGTTATCTAGTAGGCTAAGAACTAATAAGACAAGTTTAAGAGTTTAAGAGATGTGCATGTCTCAAGAACAATGGGGAAAACAGGCAATAAATATATTAAAAAAACATAACAAAACACAATAAAAAAGCGGTGCATTATAGGAAGACCCCCAAACTCACTTCGCCTAGGACCCCCTAATTGCTAACTCCACCACTGCCATGACATCTCAAGGTAGAACAGAGCATTTGGAACTTTGGAAATATAGACAAACTAATAATAATAGGTTACTGAACCATGTAAATGTGTGAATGAAACAAAACACAAATCTGGGTATGTTTTTGAGGAGGTAACAGCATCATAACATGGCTTAAAGCTCACAAGAGTTAAGTCTGAGTGAATATAGGACCTTTAAAATTCATAATTTTCTCACCACTCAAATTTCTGTTGGAGCACTGCCAGTTGTTCCTTGAGCTTCTTGACCGTACTTCTCCGTTCATGTGTGAGCTGTATATTTTGGTGAAGATATCTGTCACAAAATACATTCCACTCATTATTTTTCTAATAAAAAACAAACATCAAAAAATGTAATCTCTCAATTTTTTCCTACAAATTACCTGTCCATGTGAATAATTTGTGGGAATTCTAGTTTCTTGTGAATCTTCTCTGGTCGACCCAGCTGTGTGTTAAACTCAAACCTGGAGAGCTCAAACGTCAACACCGGGGGCAACTTTTTGAACCATCTCTAAAATAAAAATAAAAATAAAAATAAAAATAAAATTAAATTAAAATTAAAAATAAATTAAAATTAAAATAAATAAAAATAAAAGTTAAAATTAAAAGTAAAGGTGCACCATGTAACTTTTCTGGCGAAGGGTCGATCGGCATTAAACATTTCAATCTTGCATTTACTCAATAACATACTTTTTATAGATCTAAAAACGTGTATTCTCACTGTACGTGGACTTGCCTCTCCACAGATCTCACATGTAAAATGGCCCTCTAGCGTCACCTGCTGTCTCCGTAGAGATAAATAAGTTGAAATACTCTGTCTGGAACATTCTGAGCAACATCTCCATGGAGAAAACCAGACGACAAAAGCTCTACCAGAAAATTAAAATTAAAAGGTACACGGTGTAACTTTTCTGGTGGAGGGTTCGTCAGTATTAAACGTATAAATCTTGCATTTACTCAATAACATAGTTTTTTATAGATCTAAAACTCACTCTTTTTCACTGACAAAATTTCTAAACTTTTCCATGACTTTTTCATGACCTAAAGTGAATTTTCCATGACTTTACAGCACCTACATGTGTAAAATTGATCAGACTTTTAGGGCTAAGTATGAAATGTTAATTCTTTCCACTCACCTTATGGTTTATTATTATAGTTTTTTAACATTCAAAATACTGTCAGTCATCTCTTTTAAACAAATGGCGCATACATTCAGAAATAATCATAATAGCCTAATGAAAACTTAACAGAACACTGTAGTTGCATGAAAGAGATACTAAAATCCATGACTTTTCCAAAAATTCCATTGAATTTACAAAATTCCATGACTTTTCCAGAATTTTCATGACTGTAGGAACCCTTAAAAACCTGCATTCTTACTGTGATTGGACTTGCCTCTCCACAGATCTGACAAGTAAAATGGCCCCTGTGGCGTCACTTGCTGTCTCCATAAATAAGATAAAATGCAATACTGTGGAACATTCCAGGCAACATCTCCATGGAGAGAAGCAGGTGACTGACGCTCCACCAGAAAAGTTACATGGTGTACATTAAAATGAAAACAATACATACATAAAAAACACATTATTATTTTTTATTAGTAGTATTTTTATGATTATTTGACCTCTCGCCCCGATGTGACGCAGTGGTCTGAATGCAGTGACTCGATCTCTCGCTCCACCATGGCCCCCTCTAAACATTCGTCCAGGTTGTTGAAGCCGTTCACTTGTAGAGGATACTGGCCAAACTGCTCTATGTTGCACAGTGTTTTTCCTGATTTAACAAAGATAATTTACATATTTCATTTACAGTTTGCATAAAAATATAGTATGGAGAAATCGTACCCACCTTCGTGTAGTCTCTCGGTCAAAAAAGTCCCGTAGAAAAGCTGGACCATCGGGTTTTTCAGTTTGTCCTTTTCGTCACTATTAAGAAAACATGTGTTATACTTTAGTTAAACCTCAAAAGCAACAAAATATATGATATGTTTAATGTTTAACAGTGGTGGAAAGTAAAAGTAAAATACTTTAGTACAATTTTGAGGTATCTGTACTTTACTTAAGTACGTTTTGCAGTGGATACTTTTTTACTTTACTTCACTACATTTGAGAGCAGGTCTCTGTATTTCTACTCCACTACATTTTAGATCTGGACTCTTCTTTATGCTTTGAGACCTTTGACTTATTTTTAGCACATTTAATTTGAGTTAACGTTCCAACTTTGAGCAAACCAAATACACAGAAACAGCTAGAAAAAATAAGAAATCAATTGACTCACTTAAAACCAACAAAATTCCTTCAAAATCACTACATTTGATGCTTTCATTGTTCTAAAAGTCCCTGCAAAATACTTGAAGTACAATGGCACAATTTTAAACAGGCACTTCAATAGGTTTACTTATAAAGATTATTTCATGTGATACTTTTACCTTTACTTGAGTACTTAGGTAACAAAATTGAGTACTTCATCCACCTCTGATGTACAACTTACTTTCCATTGGCAGCCAGCTGAAAGGCGTCCTCGAGCCAGTCCAGGAGCTTGTGGGTAAACTCACTCACATCCTGAAAAATATATATTGGTTTTAATGGACCTGTTGTTATACATTTATACCATTATACTCTTCTGATACACCTCAAGATCATTCTAAAGCTTCAGGAAAGGTTCATTTCTGTCCTGTAAATGTGACTTTTTTAGTACTGATACCTGCTCAAATAGTATCTAGTTTCAATAATAGTTTTAGTAGATTTTCAGCAGTTAATCGATTAATTGCAACTAATCAATTATTGAAGTAATCACCAATGACTTTTGTAAGCATAGGCTCTGAAACATGACACAAGCTGAGAAGAGGTTTTATGACTTAGACAGAGCTCTAATCAGATGAAAATACAGGAAATGTATCTTCCGTCTATAAATACACTCCATCAGGAAAACAGCTTTACTTCAGTTCATTTACTTGGGTCTCATATTTTGCTTTCTTAAAGCTTTCAGCTTAAGCTTTAAGCCATGCTATAATGCTGTTACCTCATCAAAAACATACCCAGAGTGGTGCTTTGTTTCCCTTCTTTTTAGTCTGTCTACATCTCCAAAGCTCGAAATGCTCTGTTCCACCTTGTGATGTCACGAAGCAGTAGTTTTCAAGTTCTTCTAGTTTTCAACAGCTCCTTTTACCATTAGTTCAGTAGAGACTGGCAATTTCAAGGCTGAAAATATATGTATGGAGGTGTATGGAGTTTATAAACAAAGTGGAACGCTTCTTATTATACCACATGACATCACAAGGTGGAATAGAGTGGTTTTAGTTTTTAGTCTGAGCAAAGAACTTGGCTTTAATATACGGTGCTTGTGTGAAGGAAACAAAACACAACTCCAGGTATGTTTTTGATGAGGAAACAACATATTAAGTTAGATGAGAAAAAAGCGTAATATGAGCCCTTAAAAAACTAATCAGTCAAGTTATAGCAGCAGTAATATTGGACCTGCTGAGCCTCGCTGGTCCTGAAGGCGTCTCGGAGCAGCTCCACGGCAGCTGAGGGGTCCACAAACCTTCTGCTGGAGCCGACCATCAGAGCAAAGAGACAGCGCAGCTCCTGCATGAAGGCTATGTTCCTCTTGTCCTGGACACACAAGAACACACTCAACAGGCACGCCAAGCAAGTCCTGGTTTAGTCCTGGCCATAGACTGTATTTATAAATGGACATATCTAACGTACTAGTCACAGTGTTCAAAATAGGAAGTTTGCATGCAGACACTTTGGACTCCTTCTGATCCTGGCTCCCATTGACTTAAGTTAGAATATTGTCGTCTCTCTCTCTCTCTGTACCTGCTGCTGTGATCCTCGTCATTTTGGTCTTAAAATGTTCGTATTAACCTGCTCTACATGATGATGTTTTATTCTGCTATTTTGTCTGTTAAAAAAATTCTAAATGCTGTAGGTAAAGTCGCATTCGCTTAGTCCATTTCTTTACACATTCTATGGTCCTAGCCAAGACCAGGTTTAGACCCAGTGTAGTTCTGGTTTTGATCTGATTTTGACCAGCGTTAGAACAGCTTTAGTCCAAGTCTAGCCCAATATAGTCCTAGTTTAGCCCTGGTTTAGATCTGATTTTTACCAGCTTTAGGCCAGCTTCATTCCAAGTCTAGCCGAATATAGTGGTACCTTAGACTTCGTTTAGATCTGATTTTGACCAGCTTTAGTCCAAGTCTAGCCCAATATAATCCTAGTTTAGATCTGGTTTAGATCTGATTTTGCTTTTGACCAGTTCTAGTCCAAGTCTAGCCCAATACAATCCTACTTTACACCTGGTTTAGATCTGGCTTTGACCAGCTTTAGTCCAAGTCTAGCTCAATATAGATCTACTTGGTTTAGATCTGAGTTTGACCAGTTTTATGCCAGCTTTAGGCCAGCTTCAGCGCTGGTCTAGATCCAGTAAAGTCTTGTTTTCATTTCAGGGGCTTCATCATGACCATCATTAAGAGAACAACAAAGCAAAGAGTGGCTATTTTGATCACATGAATATAAAATATAAAAATTTAAAACACATTTAATTTAGTTACAGTATTTAACTTTTTTTTCTTGGCTACATTATTTCATAGCATCTTGCATAATATATTTGATGTCTTAAAAATACCTGGTCTTGGTTTAGTTCTCACATTAACTGTAAAATCTATTTATTTACTCACAGAATTTGTCTTGCACTTCTCCAACAAACGCTCTGACAGATGATAGTTGAGAACCAGCCTTTTGAACACTGGAAGATGGAAGAGCGACTGAAAAACAAAAAAGTACAAAACATTACTCTATACTTTTACACAAAATAACATAACGCAAAGGATTCTGGTACGATAATACAAACTCTTACAGTAAAGCTCTTATTTAACTTTCCTTTCACCTCGGAAATTCAATTAGTTTTATCTTGGCTCGTTTAGACCCTGAGCCATAATACAGGGAACATGATCTGACGAGAGAGCCCTGTGGTCACTCTGGCCTTTTCTGATAACGTAATTACTGTTAGCTAAAATATTGACGATATCTAAATGAATGGAGACGGCGGTTTATTATTGAACTTAATGTAATCAACATAAAACACAGCTCTTCGTTTATTTTCTTTATGCAAACTGAATATTAAGGTAGCATCAGCCGCCTTGTACCTGATTTTTTCCCGTGTATTTGAGAAAAATGGGTCTTGCTTCAGTACAGATCTATTGGAAAAGCAGCTCTTGATGTTAAAATAAGTAAGCTCTGTACTGTTTACATCAAATTATAAAGTGTGCGGTTGGTATTTATTTATTTTTTCCACCAATTTTGCCATTTTTTAGGTTTTTACATTTTACTTTCTGGTTGAAAATCACATCATCCTGCTGTTATCTAGCTACTATATTATACACTGGGCCAAAACTCCTCTAAGAAACACAGAAATTATTAAACAAATAAAAATATAAGAAAGCAATAATGTAAAAATAACATTTAAAGATTAAGAAAAATGTGTTTCTTGTGTAAATTGTGCCAAAGTTTTGTACAAAATTATTCCTAGTGTGATGAACAATGCGTTTTACAACTCTCTACCTCCTGTAATTATCAACTTTTTTTCAACTTTTCTTCACAAATCGCTATAATATAGTATAATTTATATTTACAACAGGTTTTATCTCACCAAATTAAAGATGAACTATGTAACTTTTTGGTTGGAGGTCCGGTCTGTCCCTGCTTGTTTCTATGGCTATGTCATTACTCTTCTCCTGCAAAAAAGAGATGACTAAGGGCCCATGCAGTGCTGCTGTATATTTAAAGCAACACTGTGTAGCTTTCTGGAGTTGGCAAATCACCTGCACGATTCCAAATAGAAAGTTAAAACTAGGGGTGTGTAAAATATTGAAATATCGATATATCGTATCATTCAATGTGATAATACAGTATCAGTATCATAGGCTGCTGAATCAATATATATCGCCAAGAGTATTTTTTGGTATATTTTACAAAATTATTTTGTTACAGCGCTACAGTTTTGTTGCTTGTTCAGAGGAAGGAAGCTCATTTATGCAACACATTTGACATTTTCACTGTTCTGATGATTAAAATAAGTGTGTTTCATATTAACTTTGCACGAAAAGTGGTTTAACAAAGACTCGATTATTGTGATTTAGCCTTTATTCTTTATTGAACAGTATCAGATTGACTTGAAATATATCATATCTAATCGTATCGAATCGTAAGCTCACTGTATCGAGAAATGTATCGTGTCTTGCCCTATTTATTGAGGTATGTATCGTATCGGCAACTTCCACATGATACTCAGTCCTAGTTAAAACCATACATTTTTCACGGAGATCAGTTTTATGAGTCAGGTTTGTGAAGATGCAAGCACGCTCACAGCCAGGACACACGCTTTCCTTTGTTTTCTAGTGCAATAAAAACATCCAAAATTAAAAAAGAAATGCCTTTTTATCTATTTCTTGGATAAAAATTTACTTTAAGGAGTCTAAATCTGCGAGGATAGAGTGGATAGGCAGACAGCACAACATCGCAGTGACCACATTGCACCAGACTGAAACAAGCTTCAACAAATACAACAATATTTACTCCTCTACAAACAGCTCTACTTTATATTTATTAAATTACAGGTGGTTTCAGAGCTCAAAAATACCTAGAAAAACAGGTATTCTGACTGTGAGTGGGGTTCTTCATGAAGATAGAAAGATTTAATGCCATACATTAAAACATTCCAGACAAAGCAATAACATCTCCATGAAGAAAAGCCTTTCACGGGCCACCAAAAAGGTTACACAATGCACCTTAAAGTAAAAATTAAAGAATCAAAACCTGTTATAAACTCTTTGACTGGTCTTTGCCCTACACATAAATACACCGAGGCTCTAAGAGAGAATTTAGTCTGAGCTCAGCTGCTGACACAAATGACGGAGAGAGGGCGGGGCCTTATCCAGGTCTTATTATAGATCACGATCCACACAATGTCTCCTCCAGTGTTGTTGGAATCAGCTCTATTCACGCTTACATCACAAACCAGGAAGACGCTTGGAAACATACGATTACAACTTCGGGTGTAGTTACTAACACAATCCGTGCGCTCAGTGAAGAAATGATGAAAATTGGCCGAAAATAACGAAACGCTACAACGACATGGAGAAGATGAAAACTGGACCATTTTTTTTATTTTTCCTAGATTTTGTTAGATTTACTACTGCGAACAGAGCCTACCGGAAGTTGTCATCGCATGTTTCCAAACGTCTTCTTGGTTCGTGATGTAAGCGTGAATACAGCCCAGCTCAGATTCGATATTTAGCCTTAAACTTAGACAAACTTTATTGATCCACAATGGAAATTACTTGGACACAGTAGCTCACACATCACAATATAATATAATAACAAAGAGAAAAAGAGAGACAAAGACACTGGTGTCAAATAAGGCATAATTATATAAATGTATATGTAGTAAAATATCTATCTTTCTCTAACATACTAAGAAATATCCACCTTATTGCACACCACCCACTTTTGTCTCTAAACGCTCCAAAATAGTGCTTTTTTTTTTGGTGGCACTTTCAGTTAAACGGGGATCCCAGTCATGTCACAACATGACATAAAGTCGGTTCATTTGTATAAAACGTTCAGTTTTCATGTGCATCAACAAGTCACACTGTACCGATTTTCTGGAGGCTTTAAAAAGGCTTTGTCGTCCATATTGAACTTATTTGCTGTAAAGGTTTAGCCTGATTCATCAGCCGGTTTCTACAAAGTGAAACGAAATGAAACCTTGCAGCGTTGGAATTTATTCGCTCAATGGTAAGCAGGTACTTTTTTTCATTTAACCAATTGCTGCTATTTGGTAGTCACCTAACGGGGATAACTGGTATATTAAGCTTTTCTCAAATCCTGTAGGAAGAAGGGCAATAACGTCTTTCCTCTTGATAAAATTCACCAAACATTCTTTTTGTTCTGGCTTTAAATCCTCGATCTCGGGATTCGTTGACAACACAGAATGTATGACTCTTTGCTGTTTTGCTGGTGCCCAAACTTGCACTTCTGGGGTTTTTGCGAACTGTCTAGTGTATTCTGATTCCTGACCTAGTCGCTGGAGAGAAATTAAATTGAGCGGAGGCACTAGTTGATAAAGGTTGGCAACCCCTTACAAAATAATACAACCCAAATCATGATGGCGAGGCGATGGATATTCTATATATAATACTGATTCTGATACCACAATGATAATAAAAAACACTCACACTCAGCCCCTTCTTTTGTGTGGTCTTGTTACCTGTATTACCGCGCTGAACCAGCAGGTGTTTCCCACATTGCGGATGCCCACGGGCCAGTCGTCCTGCCTGATCCAGTCTGCGGGGCTGCTCATATCGCTCTGGCCCTCACACCTCCTCCTCTTCATCCGTGCAGCGTTCTCCTCTGCACTGGCCTCGAGAGCTCTGTGTTCAACATGGTATTAATCCAACAGTACAATACAATACAGCTGTAACTTCTTTTGGCGTTAATTTGTACCTGTGAAATTCTTTCTCTTCTTCCTGGGCTTTCTGAGACTCCTGGAGACTGAGCTCAATGGCTGCCTGGAGTTCATCTTTGCCGAGGCCTAAAGCAGCATAGACGTAACTCGTAATATCTCAGCTCTCTCAACAAACCAACAAAATAAAGTCTGTCTAAGTCAAAGTCTAAAACAGAATAAATAAGCTACACATGTGACCAAGCTTGTCATTTTATTAGACTAAAAAGCTTTCCCTTTCCCTAAATATTGAAGCAGCTGCAGGGTGATATGGAAGATACCAATAAGACAGGAACTGATTTAGACAGAACTCATTATAAATTTGCAAAGCAGAAGAGTATGGTAAATGTAAAGAGCATCATGCCTCAACTCAAACCAAATCAAACTTTATTTATAGAGCGCTTTTCATTAAAAATGCAACACAAAGCGCCTCTTCTCTTCAACTCTTCAGCTACTACAGTTCAGTCTATAAGCACTGATTATTTTTCATTTAGTTTCAGTCTGCAAAAATATGACACTGAGGAAAAAGTGTCACTGATGTACACTGCTGTAGAGTCTCACCAGTGGCTCCTTGCTGTCCTTCTCCCGGCTCCTGTGCCTCTCCAGTCTGAGCGGTCAACAGTCCCACCGCATGTCCAATGTCCCCCTGACTGGCCTTCAGAGACAAAGACAAAACAACTTTCCTCTTGGAGATGTAATGATTTATCGACTAATCATGCGAAAACGACTTTAGAAATAATTGTAGTTGTATTTTGCAAAACGTTATCTGGACTATACAGACTCAACAAACAAATACAAAAATTATTTTTATCGCTCCTGCTAGAGTTGATTGACAGCCACATTGCACCCGCCCCCCACTAAACCAAAAGTGCGAGCATGAGAGGGTGTGTACCTACAACACTCTCACTTCTGACTGGCTCTTCGGTTTCTAGCTATGATTTCCAAATATTTGTTTTTGCAGATTAGTTGCTATAACTTCTAGCTTCGATGAGCTTCATTTGGTTGCAACCGAACGCTATAGCCAATTTATGGTCATGTGTACCTCCGAAATTTTCTAACTACGTGTCGAAACAACGCAGACAGCAAGGGAAAGCGACGCAGACAATAAGGACTGCGATTGGTCCTCTCTACATCCGCTCTACATACATTTCCGCTTCATTTTGTAACAGGGTATCCCTAAATTTAAGACATTTTTAAGACCACTTAAATGAAAATTAAGACCAGCATCACACCCATTATGCGGGTGAAAAACACCAGATCCAACTCTAATAATGACCAACCAACTACAATACTCTGTCTAGAATCGAAGAGCCACTGTGGATTTAACCGACACTTCCCCATGATCCATCCAACATCTTCCTCCACTCTACTCATTGTTTACTCATTGCCGCCCGCACCAGAAACCACAGTATTGTTTGGGAATACTCCAAATTAGACATTCATTCACATTACATGATTTCATGTTGTTGTGTTTTTTTTTTGTGCCTCCCTCCGTTTAACATCGCACTGCAGCTCGGTTGAGTATACAAAAAAATTGGCTAAAATAAGACTTGGACAACAGAATTTAAAACTTTTTAAGGCCTTAATTTAGGGACATGAAATTTAAGACCTTTTTAAGATTTTTATGACCCCGCAGCTGCCCTGTGTAAACATGAACACAGTCTAGCCTCCTGGTGTTGTGACGGTGAATTACTTTGAGACGCATAGACCTCGACGCAGATCCACAAATCAAAAACGATGGCGACAAGGCGACAGTGTGCTTTGAGTCGACGCAGAACTATACTTCGGCCTTAAGGGTGGCGGCACACTCACTTAATGTACTTCTTTTTGACCATTAGACCATAAAACTCTCTATACATGGTTTATTTCCGATGTATCTGAGCAAAAAAGCCTTGCCCCAGTGCAGACTACGGGTGTGCAAAAATACTGAAATATCAATATATCGTATCGCTTAATGTGATGATACAGTATCAATATCGTGGGCTGCTGTATCGATATATCACCAAGAGTATTTTTGGTATATTTTACTAAATTATTTTGTTACAGAGCTACAGTTTTGGTACTTGTTTAAAGGAAGGAAACTTTTTTATGCGACACATTTGACATTTTCACTGTTTTGATGATTAAAATGTTTGTGTTTCCTATGAACTTTGCACAAAAAGTGGTTTAACAAAGATTTTTAGTATCACAGACATGATTTAGCCTTTATTTTTATTGAACTGTATCGAATCGATTTGAAATATATCGCATTGAATCGAAAGCTCACTGTATCGAGATATGTATCGTATCGTGGCCTATGTATCGAGGTATGTATCGTATCGGCAACTTCTTAATGATACCCAGCCCTAGTGCAGACATATTGTATAAGCAACTCTTTGACGTCAAAATGAGTCTGCTATGTGCTGTCTGTGTTCTGTTGGCTGATAATCAGGAAGTGCACATCAGCATGCTAGTTGCTGTAGGCTGTACAGTCACAGCAAAGCTCCACTGTAGTCTCGGAAAGTTGTGAAAAGTGCTTAAAAACTCATCGCGGTGAATAATTCGGATGCTCAAAATGCAAAAGGTACAACAGCGAACGGTTTAAAATCAACTAGTTTTCCACATTTTTAAGAGAATAAAAGATCATTTAACATCAATATATACAGTAGTTTATCCCCCAATGTTATTTCTCCGCCAAACACGTGATGTCGAGTTGCCACGGCTCCCCCTGCCCCCCTCGGAAACAGGTGGCTCTGCATTGGCTCGGTTTATTGCTCCGCTAGTCAATTATCACAGTGATGGGGTTCCTCAAGCTAACTGCAGCTCGTGGCCAGTTGTGTTTCAAAACATAATGAGTTAGCGCGGATGCTAATTTAGCTTCCTGGGGCAAACGCAGCCTCTTAATGTTCCCATTTGTAAGACTTAATGATTTGAACAAAGTACTGCTGGAGTGTTTACAACTTACTATAGGAGAAGGGTTAAATAGCCAGAATAGATGGTGAGATGGTATGGACTCAGACAGATAAAGTGCAAAGAAGTGTATTTAAAGAAGACGTATTAGGCTTTTTTTAAATGTAATTATTTTTTCATCTGTGGCACATGTACCATATTTTCCAGGCTATTAGGCGCTCTGGATTATAAGACGCACTGTCATTAAATGGTCTGTTTTCAAACTTTTTTCACAAATAAACCGCATTGGACTTTAAAGGAAACACAACATTTGGGTGGGTCAGTGGGACTTTGTTTGGCGCGTTCACGGTGACTCTGGGCTTTATTCAGTTGTGACTCAGAGTGGCACATTGGACTCGCTTTTTCGGTTCGTTCCTCCGTTCCGTTCCTCGTCGACGTGGAGTGATGAGTGTGTCTGCGGGTGTTTTTCGCTGCGTGGGCGCTGTCTGCTCCGTGCATGTTTGCATGTTCTGCGGATGGTGCGGCTTTATAGTTTACTGAAGTCGTGCTGGGACACTCGAGTGGATTCGTTCATGGGGCGCTCTGGATTGTGGGGCGCGCACTCATTTTTTGATGCGGTTAGAGGCTTAAGACCGCATCTAATGGCCCGGAAAATACGGTAATCATAATTTTATACTTTGAACATTTCGAATTTGTGAACGTTTTAATGTTAAATACGTATTTGACGCTCGTGACTCCCTGCTCTCCTTGCTCCCTACGCTAAGTCACTCCCCCCTCAGAGCGCTATGACAACACAATCAGCATGCATCAGGTTTGAGAAGTTGTAGTGTATTGCTTTATATCAGAATTTTTGTGTTGGAGCGTGGGAGATGTAGGCTTGTGGGCGGAGACTTGGACAGAATCGTACTGCTAATTGTAACGAGTGTTCAAATAGAGCCTGGCTGAAATAACTCAAACATACATATAACTCAAATAACTCAAAAAAACCCTCCTCAGCCATGTTTTTGATGAGGGAACAACATTGGTAGAAAGTTCCATTTGTATTATAGTGTTTTACGTGCAATAGGACTAGAGCGTCATGCAGTGTTACAAAGTCATATGAGATTTCTTGTTCTTACTTTCAGAGCTCTGTACAGAATGTGTGGATCCTGGATGCCAGTGACCTCTCTCAGCTGGTTGATCAGAATTTCAGTCTGCTGTAAAAAAAAAAAAAAAAAAAAAAAACACAAGAAAGGTGGGTTTAAGATGATGTCACAACATGCCTAAAATTCTATTGCGTTTACAAATTATTTTAGAATATGAGAAGATAGATTTATTAATATGTTGTTTTTTCCTGTGGTATTGCATGACCATGGACTTAGTCACTAATATAAATAATCATTTCTTTAGATTAGAGTGTATTTGACGAACAGGGGGAAAAGAGGGGTGGGGCTAAACCTGCAGATGGAGGACGCATACAAGTTTTTCTCATTCCCAGTGGATTGACAAGCTCAGAACCTCCAGAATTCACTCACTGAGCCGCAGAGGCTGTACTAGCACTGATTCATGATTTAAACCAACTGGAGTTCAGCACTGAAACAAGCAACTCAAATAAGAGATTAATTTGAGTCTCACTATGCTTTCTGACACCACATTATAACATACACTTTTGAGAAATTTGCTTTTTTTTTGTTGTTTACAATGTTTATGTAGTATGAGTATGATTATTGTTTCTCTCTTGGCACAAACTCAAAATAAAAAAATAAAAAAATCAACCAATCAATAAATAAATGGGACAACATCTCCAGTGTTTTTGTAATTTAGAATAAACCAGTATTAGAATTGTTATCAGTAAAAGCTATATTTGATTTGAACATGTTTGTCGTATTTGTGGACACAGGAAATGTTTATGTTTACACACAGTTCCTTTAATAATACAGATGGTGGCCTCTCATAGTCTAAAAAGAACATGGATTAAACACTGGCATGACAAAATCTAACTTTGTTCCTCCATGTATTGTCGTTCACATGAAAGGTGACTACACTGTTAAATATAAAATGCAAGTGACATTTCAACTTCACAAACTGTATGAAAGAAAACAATTAATATAGGAAGTATGTGAAAGTATGTGTGTCACCACCATATATATATATATGTATATATATATATATCCTTCTGACCCTGGCTCCAATTGACTTACATTAGGATTTTGTGGCTTCTCTCTCTGTACCTGCTGCAGTGAGTCTCGTCATTTTGGTCTTAAAATGTTGGTATTAACCCGCTCTACATGATCCTGATTTTTTTTTTTCTTTTCGCTATTTTGTCTGTCAAAAAACTGTCATTTGAGCGCCGTTGAACGCTATGGGTGACGTCACACTTGCTTAGTACGCTTCTTTTATACAGTTTATGGTCACCACACAAAATCTAAGAGAAACACAAACACACACTCAAATTAAAGTTGCTATATTACGTAAATCGACTCTTGCTTCTTTAAGCTATGTTATAATGTTGTTACCGCATGTTTTGTTTCATTCACACAGGTTTTTATCAAGTTTTACCTTTTACCTTTTACGTTTTGTTCAGTAGAGACTGGAAATTCCCAGGCTGAAATCTTAAGATGATTCTAGTGAAGATTTATGAAGTTTAAAAACACAGTCGAGCAATTTTTTACCACATGACATCACAAGGTGGAACATCTGAGAGAAAAACTCAGCATAAATGTGCAGCGTTTGCGTGTTTAAACATGTGTGAATGAAACAAAACACAATTCCGGGTATGTTTGTGGAGAGGAAACAGCGTCGGTCCTACGTATCACCCTAAAAATATCAGCTCTTTTGGATTCTAAACAATCTGTATCAGCATCGTTCTTAAAAAAAACGCATGTTGGTCTCTCTCTAACCAAAACTATCAACACTGACACGCGGTAAACACCACACGTATCTCCCTCTTTATATAAACATAGATTGGGTTAGTCTCTATATAAAGCCCAGCGCCCAGTAGCAGGTGTACGGGCCCACTGTCCACTGTCCGTCCTGTGACCCACACACAGAGAGAGAGACAGCAGCAGGGACACAGGAAACCAGGCCGACGGGTCAGACTTATATGGAGCTTGTGGGGCTATCTGAGAAGCCCCTCTAGGTTAGCCGCTATTTTGGTCTCACTGACATGGACCCCAGGCTTCTGTTTATCATTCCTCTCACTGCCACCGAGCCTGACTGACACAGACACTTGCACCCATGCCTCTCCTCTGCAACTGCTAATGTTAAGGGAGAGGAAAAACACAGCAAAGGCATTAGTGGATTAGTAATGAAGAGTTATTTCACAGTAGCGTTGTCAAAAGTATCAAAAATCTGATAGCGATAGTGGTGAAACAAGTACAAATACTGGAACAGACAAATACTCAAGTAGTAAAAAACTAAAAGTATCATATGAAAGTAGTAAAAGTATTAAAGTACCTGTTTAAAAATTTGCTTAAAGAGTAAAAAGTAAAAGTATTTTGCGCAGTTTTTGAGGTCTTATGAGAAACCAGAAACCAGAGGTGGGGACCTGCAAGTCGTGATTTGGACTCGAGTCAGACTTGAGTCACTATTTTTAGGACTTGAGACTTGACTTGATAAAATGGACTAAGACATGGGACTTGACTTGGCCTGTGACTTGAGAAGACTTGAGAAGCACTTTTAAATCTCAATTATTTCTATTTTGACTGTAATGATTCACTCTAAGATCTTGTCAAGATATTTAAGAAGGAAAATGTAACAGTTCTGCCAGTTATATACTCTAAATACTCATATATAAACATCGTATGATTTTTTTAAAGTACAATTTAGTTTAAAAGTCATTTAAATTGCAAAACTCTAACTTATATTTGGTACATTGGTTTAAAGACTTGAAATAACTTGAAGCTCAAAGCAGACGACTTGGACTTGACTTGGACTTCTGGGCCAGTGACTCGAGACTCGACTTGGACTTGCCTGTATTTGACTTGGGACTTGACTTGGACTTGAGGTCAAAGAATTGAGACTTACTTGAGACTTGCAAAAGAATGACTTGGTCCCACCTCTGCCAGAAACGATAGAAGTAATTTTTTTTTTTTTCTTTCTGAATGGCTTTAGAATGATCTTGAGCTGTAAAACTACCTATATCAACACAGATATAAAACCACATGGAAAAATCAAAGAAAAAAAAAATAAAAGATTTAATGTTGAAAATGACATTCTACTGTTTAAATAAAGTGTTTTTTTACTATCATCGTGGTATTGGAATCAGTTTTGAGTATCGACTCTGTTCCTTAGTATTGAAATTGAGTTTGAAATGTTAGTCTCATGGCAACGCTAAATAGTTTTTTGTCAACCAATCGCTTTATTTAGCTTTTAAGGATTTACATGGGACAGCAACAGAAAGGAGAAGTTAGTGAGTGAGTCAGTCAGCTGAAGATTTGTTATTGTTTGGTATCTATCTGTAAAATCTCAGATTAAACTCATGATTCAAATATTGTTAAATCTGTCTTTATATAAATATGTTTCCTGGTATTCTTTTCTGCATATAGTTTAGAGTACAGTCAGTACTGTCAGTACAGTCAGTTTGAGTTTTAGATACAGATATATAGATTTCATTAATAATACACTTTATTCATAAACATTCTCAATTTAGAAGCCTTTAGAAGCCCATATTACGCTATTTTCTAATGTTGTTTCCTCATCAAAAACATCTTGTAGTTGTGTTTAGTTTCATTCACACACATTTAACACACAAATCCTGCATATTTAGACTGAGTTCTTCTCTCAAACTGAAAACACACTGTTCCACCTTGTGATGTCACACCTTCACTGCAATAATTTCGATTATTTCAGCCCTGGAGTTGCAAATTTCTACTGAACGAACAGTAAGAAAGCAGCTATTGACTTAAAAAAAAAACACTGCATGACATCACAAGGTAGAACAGAGCATTCTGAGCTTTGGAGATGTAAAAAGACTACTTATAAAGGATTATTTAAACATGTGTGAACGAAAAAAAAACACAACTCCTGTTTTTGGAGGTAACAGCATTATAACACGTGTTAAAGTTCACAAGAGTGAATTAAATTTTGCGTAATATTGGATCTTAAATATGAATAATTGTAAAAAATGTATCACTGGCTAGTCGACTGCTAAAATAATCTTGAAATATTATTTACTTTGATATGATTTGACTAAAAGGATGAAATGATGGAATTACGGGTCATTTCGATGTTGAAAGAATGAAAAGGGCAAGAGGCAGCCTATTAATAACAGCCAACTAGACGAGCAAGACGAGAATAACGTGAAATGGAAGCTTTAAATAGAGGCAGCCTATACCAAAAGTGTAAATAGGTTATAACATGTAAACAAAGTAATAGGCCTATGACGATTATCGGTATGTGAATAAATAACAGGGTTCTGGATCAAAAATACTGTAGTTTAGTGATATTTTAATGATAAAATGATAAATAAGATAAAATGATGAAAAAAAGTGCAACTAAACAAATAAAAGTTAAATTCTGACAGACAAAATGGTCAAAAAGCAGCAGCTGTGGATCCAAAATTGTAAATATCATACATTAAAAAAAAACTCTTAATTCACTTAAGATCAGCCCAGATGCATTTTTGATAAGATTAAAAGCATGTATGACTGTTTTTCATCAACATCAACATCAAATACATGCTACAACAAATAAATACCGCATTTAAAAAATATATAGTATATATAGTATTAAATCTTGACGACATAGATTTAAACACTTTTGACATTTTTTTCAGAGGGTAATGCGTCTTTGATTGGCAACTCAGTCATGCAAAATGGTGTTTATATCCTAGTAACAAAACTAACAAAATGGTATTATTTATTTTTGTTACTGCCCAACTTGTGTCTTTTATGTTCGATGTTACATATTAATAATAAAAAAAAAAAAAAAAAAAAAAGTAATGAAATAATATATAAGTTAAATGAGAACTTAGCGTAAATCAAGATCAAAATTAAGTTATTTCGTTAAAAAGTCTGCTGAAATTAGTTAACATTTTTGCTAAAGGGCATGTGATTGACAGGTCCGCGGCTCACACATGAGTTGTTAATGTTAGATGTTAGTGCACACAACACGAATATTTGTCTTTTTCCAAACTCCCTCTCACCGAGTTGCTTGAGTTCTCCCCATTTTCCGCGCCCATTGCAGCCCCCTGAGTTGAGCCGAAGTCCTGTCCGCGATCCTCGAGTGTTTTCGGGCCGTGATCCGACAGTCACAGCGCCTCGTCCATCGGCCAGCAGCTGCAGCCTGCGCGTACACGGTCACCGTGGTCACTCAGCTCCGAGCGTCCGCGGAGAGGCAGCGACGCCACGCGACGCGACGCTCCGCTGCGCGCCGCTCCGCATTGCTCCGCAACACAGCGCGCTCACGTGGACGGGAGGAAGCGTGCGTGAGAGAAAGAGAGGCGCGCGCTAAGTTGGTACGAAATGAGTACGTTAAATAAGTACTTTTGGTAAGTATTATTGAATTATTTTATGTTTTTGTCCCAATACTATAAAGGCACAAATAAAATTTTTTAGACAATACAATAATAATGAGGCTAGTACTTTGCTGATGCTGACTTCTCTATTAGCCTACGGTTTGATACTTTCCAGTTTTTTAATACAGGGATTGCCAAACTTAATTGGGACCCCCAAAATAACTAAGCAACCAACCCAGGACACCCCAAAGAAAAATACTATGTTGACTGTAATAATTTCAAAGAGAAAACATCTATAAAACCTAGTAAATTATTGTTAATTTGAATAGTTTATTGTGTTATTGTACTTACTTTTTTATAGAATAGAATAGAAAGCCTTTATTGTCATTACACAATAGTATAATGAAATTCAGAGTTGCTCCGTTAAAGTGCAAGAATCAACAATTAAATAAAACAAATCAACAGTTCCCATTCAGTATGGTGTGACAGCTTTGGGGAAGAAGCTGTCTCTGAGTCTACTGGTCCTAGCTGGTATTGACCTGAAGCGCCTGCCAGAAGGCAACAATTTGAACAGGGTGTGTATATGTTGCCTACAATGTTTTTGTTTTTTTTATTATATCTGGAAATCATCCCACCCAGTTCTTGCCTCGCAACCCCCTCTTTGGGAACCACTGTTTCAATATAACAATGTCTTTTATCTTTTCCAGCCTCTGAAGACAGTGTGGAAATGGACCTACAGATGGATCATGAGAAAACAGACTCATCTCATAGTCAGTCTCAAAATTATACAGTATGCACTGCTTTTATTGTACTGTTGTTGTTGTTTTTTTTTAATTAATCAAAGTTTTGTTTAGTTTTTTGGCACTCAGCATTAGATTTTGTTACATCAACATGTTTGCCCTGAATTCTTACAATATTCTAAATGTTATGTTTACATCCACTCAATTAAATCGTTTACATTTTATTTTTATAGTATAACTCACGGTGATGAATGAAGTAATACCCATACTTCCCCGAGGGGGCTTTATCTCAGTATCATTTTACCTTAACAATGGAAAATCAATATGAGCCTGGCAGCCGTCATGTCTCCCCTACACTGCACTCTCCCTGTGTGACTCTAGCCTCTTCAGCTTTACAGAAAATGCAAGAATATAACTTTCACTGGATTTTTTATGTGTATTTTTAACTGGAGAATGTCTGTGGTTTGGCTGATTCGGGTGCTGGCTCTCTACAGTGCAGGTAAGTTTGCATGTTTCTGTACTTATGATTTAAGTTATGGTCTAAATTGGGTATTCCGACAGTGGGTAAAATGACAAGTATTTTCACTTAACTTTCGTATTTATAAAGTCACAGTATGTAACCTTTTATCCAAAAAAAATACTTAAATAAAGTTCTTTTTTTCATTTTGGCTGTGTTAAAGAGTGTACGTCACCTGCTCGTTTGTACGGATATTGCTCTGCTTAGAATGTTCCACAGTGTGTGTGTATATATATATATATATATATATATATATATATATATATATATATATATATATATATATATATATATATATATATATAGTTTATTAGCTCAAAAATACCTATAAAAACAGACATTTGGGCTATGAGTGGGGTCGCCTCTCCACAGATCTGACCTGTAACTTGGTCTGGTTTAGGCTCCCTGAAGATAAAAAAGTTTTATACCATACTGTGAAGTATTCCAGAAAAAGCAATAACGTCTCCATGTAGAAAAGCATTTGACGGACCCTCCACCACAAATATGTTACTCACTTTTACACTTTAACACTGACCTGTTGTTGTTTCCTCATCACAAACAGACCTGGAGTTGTGTTTTGTTTCATTCACACATGTTTAACACACAAGCCCTGCATATTTAGGCTGAGGTCTTCTCTCTCAAGTTGGAAACACTGCGTTTGTCTGGGAGATCTAGATTAAAAAAAAGATTTAAAACATAGATAATAAATAAATAAAAATTCTCTCTCTGTCTCTGCGTGCCTTGGATTGTTCTGCGTAACCTCTTGTGGTATCTGTGCCACAGTTTTGGAATACTGAAGTGTATTATTTATATTACACAAAATTGACTTTTGTGAACTTTAAGCCATGTTAGAATGTTCTTATCTCATCAAAACCATATCTGGAGTTTATTTTATTTCACTCACACATGTTTAATGTTCAGTTGAGTTTGGAAATTCCAAAGCTGAAATGACTGAAATGATTCTAGTGAAGGTGTATGAGCACTTCCTGTTTGTTTGAGTGTGAATGAAACAAAACACAACTCCAGGTTTTTTTTTGATGAGTTGACAACATTATCGTAGATCAGAAAATAGTGTAATTGGGCCCTGTAAGTAGTTTAAGTGTGTGAAAAGTTTAACAACACTTTAATATTTAATTTTTTTCTTAGTTTGGGTCGCTGAATGTATCCTGGAAAAACCAAAGAGATCCGCCTTGAACCAGCTGACCAGATCTCTGCTGAGGAACTACAACAATGGCGTCCGGCCCGTTCACAACTGGACTACAACTACCACTGTTTCCATTGACCTCATTCTGCAATCTGTCCTGGATGTGGTACGCTAATTATACCTCATTATTCACGAACAGACCTGGTTTAAAATGCTACTTAGAGATAATAATAGATTTAAAGTAGTGTATGTGGTATGTCTGTCACGATAGACACATGTGGGCTATGAAAGACAGACACAGGGCAGCAGGCTTCTCATTCCTTTGGTACTTCACTGTGGACTTGGCATGCTTAGAAAAACTATCCCTACACCAGAGTAGATAAGTGGCCAAAATATCCAAAAATCTGCACCATTGTGGGATTACAATGCAAGAGTAGTCGAGTATCATCCAAAATTACTCAATGAATAAGGTATAAAGTGTTGTGTAAATGTTTTAGTGTATTGTTTAAATTGTTTCAGTACTGTGACTTTGATTTATAATGAATTTATATGGAAATTATGTTTTTTTAATAACATTAGAGAGTTCAGCACTGGGGAATTTCACAATTTTAACAGAAAAGTACAAGCAGCAGTGAAACAGAAAGTATTAATAATATGCAAGATAAACTATAATTGTTACAGCCCCAGGCCTTCAGCTTGTCCTCTTGTTCTGCCTATTTTGTGTGTGTGGTTGAATTTTGTCCCCTTTCCTCATGTAATCCTGGTTGTACGAGCCCTCGCTGTGGATCTGGACAGTGTTCCTCTCTGCTCCTGGTTTGATGCTCCTCACTGGCCTCGGGTTGGTCTATCAAACTCCCGCCTGGCCAATTCCTGTGCCACACCTGCAGCCACCTCCACCTCCAAGACTTAAGAAGATTCTCCACGCATGTTCAGGGCTGCTGGTCTTTGTGGCCAGTTTGCCATTTTGTCTGTGTGTCTTATTTAGTTTGTTAGTCTAACTTTGTGTGTGTGTGACTGGGGACACATCTCTGTGATTTGGATTGGTCAGAACTTAGCAGGCAGATTTTACCCATATGTTTTGGGTCGATGGGGGAAACTAAAGTGCCTGGACTAAACCCATCCAGATATTTTGGTTCTTCATTATACGTTTTTGTACATATTTAGACCAATTTTATTAATTCACCTTTTACATTCCTTCTCATTAAATTATTATTTTATTTTATCATTTAACATCTTGGTTTTCTGTTACTTCCCCAACTGTCCTAACGGTAGCTGAGCTAACAACAATAAACATTACGAATAACTGATATAAAAATTGCATTTTTGTATATATATATATATATATATATATATATATATATATATATATATATATATATATATATATATATATATATATATATATAATACTCCCTACAGTGGAAGCACACCAGACTAGGCTGAGTTAGACTGTGTTAGTGCTCCAGCCTCATGGTTTACTTCTGTTTATACTACAACTCTTAATGTAATGAGAATATTAAAATATACTTTGAATAAAGTTAAAATACAATGTGACGAAACTAGTAACAAGTTAACCACCAACCAGAAACCTGTCCAGTTGCCTGACTTTAAGAAACAAACAAGAATACTTCCTCGGATTCTGATTCAAAATGTCAAAATGCACCGTGTTGACCTCTGCAACAGATTTTTGTGTTTCAATAAATGTGTTTAGTTTTTTGTTTTTTATCAGGATGGAAAGACCCAAACAGTAACCACCAGTATTTGGTACAGACAGGTACGTGACCACACAGGCCTGTATGTTTGTATCTATTCACTGTTAACTTTGTGTTTTGCTCTGTAGACCTGGACAGATGAGTTCCTGGTGTGGGATCCTGAGGACTTTGACGGCATCACTGAAATTTCCCTGTCATCCGACGCCATTTGGGTTCCTGATGTCATTGTCACCGAATTGTAAGATATCAGGAAAACTTTAGGATTTTATTCAAATTCACAAAATAATGAAAATTAACAAGGCAGTGAGTTGAAACAGTATATAAGTAAGTCGGCCTCAGCATGCAGGCCGAAGTGACTGAAGCTATAATTTATTATTAGATAAAAAATATACTGTGCAATTAAATGATTACTAAGTCAGATTAAAATAAGTAATATCCATCCAGTCCAGTATTCTTCCAAGATCGTCTTTTCATTCTTTTCTTTGTCTTTTTTTATGAATATTGTTTTATTTGTAACACTTAATCCTTGTTTTGGTCTGAGTCTTTAGTCCAAGGTGCATTGGAGAAAGGTTAAAGGTGCAATGTGTAACTTTTCTCCATAAAAATGCCAT